TCCCCCTCCCTCCTCCTCCTCCCTCCTCCTCCTCCTCCCTCCTCCCCCCCCCCCCCCCGCCCAACTCACTCTCCTCGCAGACGCCTCGGACCACTGGGCGCGCGACGACCCGGCGTTTGTGGTGGTCTCGGTCGCGTTCTTGACCATCGCCTCGCTGGCGTACGGCATCGCGTTCCGGGCATCGCTCTGGGCGGTGCTCAAGCTGTTGCTGTGGTCGGTCTTTGTCGACTTTGTGGCTGTCGGCATGCTCGTCGCTACCGTTGGCTGGTGGGTGGCCAACACCTTTCTCCGCTCCGATGATGGCGCCTCGCTCGAGGCGGCGTCCAACGAGCGCCTTACATCGCTCACCCTGGGAGCCGACCCACTGTACGGCGAGTTCCCGGGCGGGTCGGGCCCGCCGCCAGCGATGCGATCGCCCAAGGTCGAGTGGCTCTATGCCTTTGACATCCACTGCAACGCGTTCTTCCCGCTCTTTGTCGTCCTCTACGTCGTCCAGTTTGCGCTCCTCTTCCTCATCCTCTCCAACTCGATCGTGGCGCCGCTGGTCTCCAACGCCCTCTACGTCATTGCCACACTCTTCTACTACTACATCACTTTCCTCGGCTATTCGGAGCTCTCGTTCCTCTCGCGGACCAACGTCTTTCTCTATCCGGCTGTCGTCTTTGTCATTCTGTTTACCATCCTCACCCTGCTGCAGTACAACATCTCGGCGGCCGTCTTCTCGTTCTACTTTGCGTAGTACGTCGGGCGGCTCTGGACTGACAATGAACAGAGAGCCTTAGTGACCGAGGTCGTAGATGTAGCCCCACTCGTCCCACTTGTCGCACTCGGCCGCCCAGAGGTCGGACTGGATCGACGACGGCGTGGCAAAGTGCATGTTGAGCTTAGTGTTGGGATCGTACTGCGGCCACTTGAGTGGTGTGTCGGCAGCATTGGGGTCGCTCGTCTTGGCAAACGTCGCCCACGACGTCGCCATCTGCGTCGAAAGCTCCAGTTCGGGCTGGGTGAAGAACTCCGAGCCAGAGCTGAAGACAAACGGCAGCTCCTCGCCGTGGCACACCTTGTCGACGCAATATGGGAACTCCGGACCCCAGATGTCGTGCCCGATGACATGATCAAACTGGTACAGGTACGTTGGCATGCCGGCCTTGGCAAAGGCCCGCGCCGTGGCGCGCGCAGGGCAGGTAAAGATGAACTGCGTCACCATGTGCGCAATGTTGTCGCGGTTGTCGACTCCGCCCTTGAGCGCCGGGTACTCCTTCAGAATCGCGGGCGCGCGCGTGTTAAACACGTCCACAATCAGCGCATCGTATTCCCACGCAGGCAGCGTGTGGTTCCATGCCTGGTAGATGAAGAGCAGGCCCTCGTTGTACACCGAGCCGAGCATGGCCGGCACCTTCTTAAACTCGCCAGCCAGAATAGCCTCGATCGGCTGCTTGGTAAAGAGCTTGCCGTCCACGGTCGGCGTCCACGGGTAGAAAGCCGTGAGGAACTTGAGATAGTCGATCTTCTGCTGCGCTGCAATCTGCGCTTCCATGACCTTGGCCACAGGCAGGCCGCGGAGGCACGCCGTGTCTGTCGACTCGCAGCCGCCGGCCTTGGCAAAGTTCTTGCCAGTCTTCTGTGCCATCTTGGTCGGCTTCATCAGCAGTGAGAACGGGTTCGACTCGATCACGACCTTGGCAAACAGGTTCGAGTCACCAGCGTTGGCTGCCGTGAGGTGGACCGTCGTCGACGTGCCGCCTGCAGACTGCCCAAACAGCATCACATTCTCGGGGTCACCGCCAAACGCCTCGATGTTCTTCTGGACCCACTCGAGCACAAGGACCTGATCCATGAACCCAAAGTTGCCCTCGATCCCACCGTCCGTCACCAGCCACCCCAGCGCCCCGAGCCGGTACGCCGCGTTGACCAGAATGACTTGCGTGTCGTTGACGAAAAAGTTACCCGAGTACAGCGACGTCGGGATCCCGCCCTGCTCAAACCGCCCACCAGGCAGGAACACCATCACAGCGAGCTTCGACGTCGGCTTGGCCCAGAATGGCACAAACAGATCCAGGTACAGACAGTCCTCGGCCATGACCTCGGGACACGTCCCAGGCGGCAGCTCACACTTTTGCGGGCAGCCAGGCTGGAATGCTGTCGCGTTGATCGCTCCCACAGCCTTCTGCGCTCCCAACACACGCACCAGCCACCCACGCCTCTCGCTGTGAGTCTGTTCTCTCTTCATCGACCATGACTCGTTTCGTAGCCGCAGCTCTCGCTTGTGGGTGACGATCTCTGCAGCCAAAGACGGCGCCTTTTTCCCCCGCCATGTGCCCACATCGAATTCAACGAAAAAAAGGAAAGCGCTCACAAATGAGCCGAGTCACGCGCTCGCAGGTGCTGCCTGCCGTTGACAAACACAGGCATGTGGGGCGGGGTCAGGAGGGGGGAGGAGAGAGAGATAGAGAGAGAGAGAGAGACGGCGTACCGGTACAGGCGGAGCCCAGCGGAGGTCTCCAACAGGAGGCTCGGCGTATGGGACGCCCAGGAATTGGTTGACGTTGATGTCGCGGATGCCCGTGATGGGTCCGGCCGGCGTGTCGATCGTCACTGTCTCACCGACCGCGCTTGCAGCAAAGGCCACGGCGGCAAGGGCAAGGAAAGTAGCCACAACACCCAGGCTCTGTGGCCGTGTCCAGCGTGTGAATATCTTCATAGCTAGCAACGTGGGCAAAAGAAGAGAAAAGTGGCTTCTTATGACGCCGTCGGACTGGGCCCATCCATGAGCCCACCTCGTATGAGCCGATAGGGGCGCCCAGGCCGAACATGCTACCAAACAGAACGATCCCGGGCAGGAATAGCTTTTGCTTGAATATCCGTGAAAGATAGCCAGATCCTCATCAACGCGGAGCAACCCATGGGCAGGCTTCGGGTCAGTCGCCATCGCGGGGCTAGTTCTCGATGCCGCGCGCGCACCCGGCGCAGGTGACGTCTGCAGGATCCTGAAGGCTGAGCTGTGCTGTAGTGGGTGTCCGGTTGACCAACATCGACCAGCCCCAGCCCGGTCATGGTGCGGCTACGAGATGAAGTGGTCGATGACGCCCAGGGTAACAGCTTCTGCATAGCGGACCACGACGCCAAAAGCGTCGATGAGTCCCTTCTCGGCGGCAGAGTCGACCGCCACCAGCTGGCGAAACTCTTCGACGGTGAGATCAGAAGTACGGTACTCGCCCATAAAGAGCTTGTCGGTGATGGCGGGCTCAAAAACCTCGGGCCGGCTGGCGAGGTCGCTCATGGCCTCTTTGAGAGCTGATTCCTCCGCAGCAGTGAGGAGATCATCGAGATAGAGCTGGTAGTTGGTCGAGTCAACATAGTTGGTGGAGAGCGCGATGGGCGCCTCCACGTTGCGAACTTGATGCGGCGAACCGCCGGGCACAAAGATCATGTCGCCCGACTTGGTGAACGCTTGCCAGCCGCGAATGTGACGGGCACGCGGGAAGCGATCAAAGTCTGGGTCGAACGCGTCGAGGTCAAAGACGGCCGACCCGGGCTCGTCACCCTGGTACAGGTTGCGCATCTGGGTCTGCGGGAAGATGAGCCACTCCTTTCGGCCGAGAACTAGCGCCTGCCAAAAGTGGGTGTGCCGCGCGTCCTGGTGCATGCCCGACCGCGATCGGCCTTGCTGCACAAAGAGCGACGGCCAGTGCAGACAGCGGCCACAGCGCGCCGCCACCGGATCGACCTCCTGAAACAAGTCTGATGCAAAAACTGCCGGGATGGTAAACTTAGTCGCAGCCACTGTCCGCGGGCAGTGATCGATGAACGACCAGTCAAACAGGTGTGCGTTGTACAGCGGATCGTCCGCTGGAAGCTCGCTGTTCGGCCCGGCAGCGGTCAGGAACTCGCCCAGTGTCACCGGCTTCTCGGTCTTGACTTGCTCCAGCCCAGCCCACACGTCAGCCTCGGCTGCGTATCGCTGCAACTTGACCGGCTGCGAGCCGCATGTTGCGTTGAGCAGCTCGCGGGTGAGTGGTGCCTCCGGAAAGAGCACAGGATTCATGTCCTCCAGGATGACTGGGATGCCCGGCTCAGCGTAGCGCGTGCGGAACTCAGCGACCGAGAGACTGCCGCGCGGCCAGCGGTCGATGGCCCGCAAGTGAGTGAAGCCAAGCTCAGAAGCACGCTCAGCAGCTAGTGCTTCCTCCTCAGCCATCTCACGTCCGCCGCGCTCTACAGCGAGGTAGGCAGCTTCAGCACCATCGACCGAGTCACCATCGCGGAGAGCATAGTGATCTAGAGCACGGACGGCCCGCGGCCCAGCCACATCGCGCGGAGTGCGACCACGCGCATCCTTGGCTTGCGGATCTGCGCCGGCCACCACAAGCATGGCAGTGATCGAGTACCAGTCACCAAGGGCAGCGTAGTGAAGCGGAGTGGCGCCGCAGGCGTCTCGGGAGTCCACCAGAGCCCCATGGGCAAGCAAGTCGCTCACAATGGTCAGAGAGCCCAGGCGGGCAGCGGGAGAGAGAATGCTCAACGCAATGCACGGCATGTCCGCTCCGGGTGAGTACGTCGTCCATTCAGCGCCCATGCCCTTGGCAACGACCGCCACCGGGTGCGAGACCACCGCGGGGAGCGCCAGCGGCGCAAAGAACGTCGAGACATAGACTGAGACCACCAGCGTGATCCACGCAGAAGACACTGCAAGCACTATCCGCGCAATGATCACTCCGCGTCGAGTCCGCTGGCATCCCATGTTTACGCTGCCTGTGGTGTGGCGAGTGGGGGTGGGGGGGGGGGGGGGGGGCGCGAGCGAGAGAGGTGCCCAGCTCGACACGGAGCTCGACACGAGCTGGGCAACTCATCACAGCCACCATCTCACAATCTGGCACAGGCATCGAGGAAGGTTCCGGCGCCGGATGCGGGGGCAGAGAGAATGAGAGGATGCATGATGCCCTTGCCCTTGATTGGCGTTGCCCCGCGAGGGGTTAGAGTAACAAAGCTGGTATCGTCGACGTGCGGGAGGAGTCGCGCACGCTGCAAGTCAAGCGCAGCCGCACAAGCGGTCGAGATCTGGATGGTGCTTTGCGGCGCAAACGACTCCATGCGCGACGCAGTGTTGACAGTGTCGCCAAAACAATCAAAAATCGACTTGAGCGAGCCAAGCACGCCGCCGACTACATGTCCGGTGTTGATCCCAATCCGCACGCTCAACGCCAGCCCAGGTAGGCCGAGCGAGTTCGCCGCGGCCGCCGAGATCCTCGGGAGCGCCGCCTGGATCTCCAGCGCTACCGCAGCAAGCCGCAAAGCATGGTCATTGTTCTTGTCTGGCAAGCCTGATACAGCCATGTACACCGTGCCAACCGTCTTGATCTTCTCCACACGGTACTGATTGCAGATGGCGTCGACCGTCGAAACAAAGGTGTTGAGCAGCCACAGGTGCTCGCTGGGGAGCAACGAGTCCGGCACGTCGTCGAGAATCGCAAACAGCACTGATGCCTTGTACTTGTGGGCAATGGTGCGGATCTCGCCGCCAAGCTCGTCGTAGATGGTCTGCGGAAGGATGTTGAGAAGCAGACCCTCGGTCTGCTTCTGCTTGGCCTCCACCGCCGCCACCCGTGACGCCATTGCCTCAGAGAGCCCAAACGAGTACCGCGACATTCGCTCGGCATGTGCCACCCCGATGGCGCCGGCAACAAAGATAACTAAGAGAAAGGCGTCTGTGCCAAGGAGTGACGACCGCAGCGAACGCACTTCCACCATCACAAACAGATGCCATGCCGAGAGGAGCACTACATGGAGCATGAGCGTCCAAAGCAGCTCCAGCGGGCCAAAGAGGAGCGAGAAAAGCGAAATGAGCACCATCCGAGCATTGATAAACGACTTGGTTGTCTGGTCCAGCTCCTCAGCCGAGCCATCGAGAATGCCGGCTGCCCGCTGCGCTTCACGGCCATCCTCGGCCTCCTCCTGGATCCGCATTGTAAACGAGACGCAAAGCATGACTACAAGCGCCGAGGCAAGGACGTTAAAGTAGTGCTTGGTCTCAGTGATCGGATGGCGAACAAAGCCAGCCGCACCCACAGCAAAGACGCCGACTACAACCGCTCCCAGCCTCTTCGGCATAGCATTAAAGGTTCCAATCATGACGTCGACAACTTCAAAAGTGATCACCATCACCAACACCATCGCCAGTGCCTCGCGGAACCGCACCACACGCAACCGCCGGATGTGCTGCTGATAGTTGGCCTCGACAGCCGCGGAACGGAACACATGACACGACCATGGACGCATCGACGCCATGATCGTTGTCTGCAATACTTTGTCGGACTTTGTCTCCTCGCCCATGGTCTCGACCCCAGACGCGTGAAGTTGGGTGAAATGCGAGACAAGCGTCGCAAGCTCGGCGGTGGATGACACAGCCGAGCGCGGGGTCCGACTCGAGCTCCGAGCAGCGGCAAGCACGGGATCAACTCCGCCGATTGTGGTCAGCAAGTAGGTGTCGACCGTGGTGGCACCATCATCCGCCATCTGCGACAGAGCGTCAGCAAAGAACAAGTCATGAAGCGCTGCGCCCTGTGCCGTCATGTCCTCGGTACTTGCCATGGCTGATCTCAGGTCATGGGCCATCGACTCGGAACGCCGCACGACGCCTGTGCTTGACGGCTTTTGCTGCGGCAACAGCTTGTAAGGGACCAGAATCCAGTAGTGGTCGTCCCGGACTGCCAGCTGATTGAGCGATGAGGGAGCAGTGGCGCCGGGTGCGAGTCGCCGAGCCGAGACCGGATCACCGGGACCAGGAATGTACTCGAGGATGGCGGCGGACGCTGCCGATACGTGGACACAGCCGGGCTTGCCTGACGACTCGAGAGTGGCTGCCATGTCGACGGTTGGACCCCAGAGGTCGTGCGAGAACCGATGTGTACCAATCACGCCGCCAATGACAGGACCCGAGTGCAGGCCGACACGCATGTTGAGTGACGTACCACGATCAGCGTTAAACTCGTCGATGATAGAGACAATGGCTAGCGCCAGGCGGGCGACAGCCCGAGTGGCGTTGCGACCCTCTTCGGGGGTACGGGCGCCAAGCCCGCCGGCCGCCATGTAGCAGTCGCCAATGGTCTTGATCTTCTCCAGACCAAGCGTGGTAGTGACGGCGTCAAACCGAGCAAACAAGTCGTCGAGAGCGTCGACAAGCTTGCGAGCCGACATCGACTGTGAGAGCACCGTAAAGCCGACCACATCGGCAAAGAGCACCGTGACGTAGTTATGCCGCTGCGAAAGCGGCGCCGACGCCTCAACGTAGGACCGTGTCAAGCTGGCGCCAATGTTTGCACTCTGCTTCAGCTCGGCTCCGACGTCAGCCGGAAGCAGATTGTTAAGGATGGCCTCTTGCTTGACCGACTCGGCGTTGAGCAGGTCGTTGGTGGCAACGAGCCGGCGGGTGGTGAGAAATGAGGTCCGGAGCGCGCGCGACGGAAGGTACGTCCCGATCATGCCCAAAAGCGAAGCTACCAGGCTCGAAAACGACGCGCCGATCCGGATACCGGCGTTTCCTTCGCCCCACACAGCTAGCGTCAACGCAAAGATGATGCAAACTGTCCATGCCACAACCACACGCTCGGCATAAATGAGAGGCGCCACCAAGTAGATGCCGGCGGTGAGGACAATAAGACCAGGCGAGGGACCCAGATCCTCCGCCGAGTGCTTGGTGATGAGGAAAACAAGCAGGATGAAACCGGCAGTCGCGGCCACAATCGGCCTCATCCACGCGATGATGATGGCGCTGGGAAGGCATACAGTGACAGCAAGAAACAGCGCGAGGGCGAGCGACGGCGGCCCGACTCGAACGGCAATGTCGGTCTGGTACGCAAAATGAACGATCCCAAAAAGAGCGGCAATGAACGCTACGATGCCAAGGCCAATGCGGGTGACTCTGACCGACTCCTCCTTCAGCGTCTCGACAAAGTCGTACTCCTCTTGCATCTGTTCGCCAATCCACGGCACAGCACACAGCGTGCTGAGCCAAGATCGGTCCCTTGCCGCAGCCTCGTCTTCAAAGTGCAGCCAGATCGGATGGATGTGAACGTCTGACAATGTTGCCGTGCGTTTCGGGCGGGTGTCGACGCCGGCTGGCACGCCAAGGGAGGTCACCAACAACGACGACGACGACGACGACGACGACGACGACGACGACGACGACGACGACGAAGATGATGACACCTGGGCCGGTTTTCCCTCTTCTGGTCCATCCAACATGACAACGCCATCCTCACTTTCGCTGTAGCTCTCGCTAGAGCTGTTGTCTGCGCCGTGGAGCGGCTCAGGTGAGCAACGCGTGTGGGCAGGCAACGCGGCCGAGACTGAGGTCGAGGTCGAGCTGGAGACCGTGGCTGCCAAGACCTCGACGTCAGCAGGGTCGAGTACACCCGGGACAGCCGAGTCTGAAGATGTTGTAGACGAGCCGGATGAGAACGCAATTGTCTCCTCCTTACGTGCGTGTCGTACGTGGGAGGACTCGTCTGCCATGGTCTGCAGCAGTCGAGTGTGTCACACAGTTGTGCGGCGACGAGTGATCAGTGGCTGGCACAAATCGAAGAGAGCGGGAGAAGCGATGAGCATGCAGATGCACATGTTGTATTTGCAGTACTTCTTAATAGAAATGAGTGGATGTAGTGGAGAGTGAAGGGCGTTTACTCTACGCAAAGGACTGCAGGGCCTGGTGCGCAGGGCGGATCCAACGATGGGGCGATCACGGACCCTTGCGCGGGGTAGGGATACGACGTGATGAGAACGAAGAGAGCCAGTTGGTAAAGGTGAGGACAGGCGGAGCGTTGAGGACCATGGCAAAGTAGCGACCGACAAAGGGTAGTGAGCAGAGAGTGGTCTTGACGGTGGGGAAGAAGTCGCCAAAGAGGTTGACAAAGCCAAAGAGCTCGACGATGATGCCGAGGAGTGTGTATCCATACAGCAGGATGGCGATTCCAGCAAGGAAACAGCCAGTGCCCTTGGCCTTACCCCACTGGAAGAAGAATCGCATTGTCCGAGAGACGCCAATGAGCATGGGAATGCCAGCGAGGAAGAGCATGTTGCCGATGGCGAGGAGGCCACGGTCGAGGAACATGATGATGCCCATGACAAAGAAGAAGACCCCAAAGCCGGTGAGGCCCATACCTACACCAGCCCACCACCGTTACGTCACTACGTGAGTGTATGCAGTTCTAGGAAGCAACCATCGCTGTATCAGCCGCCATCGACTTGTTCGCTCTCTCCGATGACGTCGCAGACAGACACCCTCGACAGAGCTGACCTTCCATAGGTTGTGAAGGAGAAGCCGGGGAGGAGAGGGGGAAGGGATGGCGGAAGGCATGGAAAGGCTATGGAAGTGGCCGAGTGTGGGTCTTGTGTGGGCCTCTTGTGTGTGGGAGAGGGGACGAGAGGGGAGAAGGCGTTGCGGGAGGGGGGTCTCCTGGTTGGCGCCAAGCGAGGGGGGAGGGCCATATGGCCAAGACGTGGATGGTGGAGGCGATGGGGAAGGAGGGGAGGGGGGGCGGGGTGAGGAGAATGGAAGGGATATGAAAGGGATGGGGTTCGGTCGTACCGATGGTCTGCCAGTCGGATAGGCCGAACATCGTGATGTGTGGCGGTGTGGTGCGAGGGTGGAGTTGAGTGGAGGGGCGTGGGTGTGTACTGGTCAACCATAGCGGGCGAGTTCGGTGTGGGTATGTGGGTGGTCCGATGGGCAGGGGATCGTGTGGTTGGGACGTTTGAAGCTCGACAAGGGCTAGTGAGCTACGAGAACATTTGGGTGTCGACCAAGGCCTGCCAGGTGAACCGGTTGGTCTCGATGAGCGAGTGGCAGGTGGCCTCGACAACGGGCAGGAACTTGCCGACGGCGCTGAAGAGCGGGAGCGAGATGTAGTCGATAAGGGTGACGCGAACCATACCCGGGTCAGTGAGTGGGACGGGTCGGTCGGCGGCGGCGGCTTCGCGGACATCCTCCTCGGCCTTCATGTCGGACCAGTACTTGGCGAGGGTAAAAGGACGGATGTCGAGCGAAAAGTCTGCGGTCTTGGTGATCACCTGGCAGAGGAGGCGGCGATGGACGCCGTCGGCACCGTTGAATTGCGAGGCGACGAGGTTGAACGAAGAGAGGATCTTTGGGTGGGCCTTGAGGTCTGTGGCAAGGATGCAGTGGGTCATGAGGTTCTTGACGTACTCGGCCTTGGCCGGCTCCACGTTGGCGAGGACATTGGACGAGGGAACAGCGAGGAGGCCGCAGGCGAGCGACGCCGCGCGGTTCTCCAGGATGGACTCATTGTTGTACTGCATGGCATAGTCGGACGACGACTCGATGAGGTAGTTGTTCGACGTCCCGGTGTGGCCCATCTGGAAGGCGATGACCGCCAGCATGACTGCGAGCACGTCGTGGGCGTCGAGGTGCTTCTGGGCCCCGCCGCGGGTGAGAATCCAGAACGCGAGCTGCGCTGAATCGACAGAGCGCCTGAACGAGTGGTACGGGTTGGTGATCGGGCACTGCGCAGCGACGCCATCCAGAAAGGCCTCCAAAACTTCCTTGGGGATGAGGAAGTGCTGCAGGAGGCCGAGGTGCCGAAACATGGCAACCACGTACTGGCTCATCATCTCCTCGGGCGACGACCAGACGTCAAAGGTGGTGAGCTCAAAAACAGCCTTCAACGCGTGTGCATCCGAGTCGCTGGCCTCGTCGTCCGAGTCGCCGGTGTCGCGGCTAGCGGAGGTGGCAGCAGCAACCGCGCCGCCGAGCTGCGGCTCGATTTTCCAGGCGCCATGCAGCGTCTGGTCGCCGACCAGCGAGGTGATGTACGCCTTGGCCTCGGGCGGGGCGGTGCCCTGCTCGACTAGGTCGACAAAAGCCGAGGTCGAAGAAGCCGACGACGAGAGCAGCAGCGACTGCATCGCCCGGTCCAGGTCTGTACGGAGCGTGTTGAGCTCCTGCCTCAGTTGCTCGTCGGCGTTAGTCTGTGCTGCCAGCGTTTGGAGCGCCTTCACTCGCTCAGCCAGCGAGGAGATCGGGGATGTCTCTGTGGCGTCGACAATGAGCTTCTGCTCATGCATGATCGAGTTGCGCCGTTCGCGCGACCGCGGCGTCTGATCCCGAAGCGGGTTGACCGGCTTGGGCGGTGTATGGCCCTTGCGGACCAACTCTGCAAACTTGTCAAACGTGCCCTTGCGCACAGGCTTGAGGATAAAGTCGTCCGCGCCGGCCTGCAGCGCCTGATACGACGTGGCGGCGTCCTTGGCTGAGCTCATCATAACCACCACTAGCGAGGCCACCGCCGTATTCTCGTGTCCGCGGATTCTGCCTAGCAACTCCATCCCGTTCAGCTTGGGCATGTACACATCTGACAAGACCAGCTGGAACTTTTCCGGCTTGCGCTCGATCTTGCGCAACGCCAGCTCGCCGTTCTTAGCCGACGCCACTGTCCAAGCGAACAAACGACAGAGGTGAGGGTAGGGAGGGGGTGAGTGAGAGGATGTTTGAATATATCTATATCTATATATGTGTGTGTGTGTGTTTGTGTGTGTGCATGTGTGTGTGCATGTGTATGGGATTTGGTCTGTGGTTATGGATGTGGTTGTGGCAATGACGGTGACTGCCTGCTGCTGCGGCGAGGCGGTGCGCACCTGCGGGTAAGCGGCGAAGATCAAGTACCGAAGGGCTGCTGGTGGCGGTGTGGAAGAGGGGGGACAGGGGGTCGAGCAGGGAGACGCCCACTACAGTGCAGCAGGATGGAGTTGGAGGGAGAGAGGGGGAGGGGGGAGGGGGGGGGTAGGATGTGGCGTCCTTGTTCTGTTTTCTACAAGCAAGGGGCAGGGGTGGGGCACTGGGGTTGGGGGCGTGGGTGGGGCCTGTGCGGGCCAACCAACCACCTCCTCCCTCCCCCCCTATGTCAGGCAAAACATACCAGTGTGACCAGCTTGGCGCAAGAAACGCTCGACAATCAGACGGGTAGTAGGCTCGTCCTCGACGACCAAGACCGAGATGGCTTCCGTATCAGCCATACTGCTTGCGTTCTCTGATCCGGGAGTGGAGTGCAATTGCAGTCGTCGGCTCCGTCGTCACCCCAGTCGACGCCATTGCCACCAGACGACGGCAATGACCCCCAAAGCCTGAGGAGATCCGGTATGGTATGGTCTGTCTTCCTCGTTGTCGCAAAAAAAAGTGCCAAGCCGCTGAATGAGAGCCCGTTTCACCGCCGCTCCGCCGCTCTGTCTCTCCGCTGCCAACTCCCGACTCACCCCCCCCTCCCCCCCCCCCCCCCCCCCACCCCCCTCCACCCTCACCCTCAACTGTCGCTCTTCCGTCACCTGCAACCGTACTGAGAGTCTGCAAGTGGAGGGATATGGCGGCACAGATGCCCGGCGGATTGGAGCATCCTTCGCACAAGCTTCACGCTCTGCTATCGTCCATGCACGCTGCCGTTGGCCTGCCTGGACCTGGACTCGGCCAACCACCGCGTCCAGCTACTGAGAGCAGAAGCGAGGCGGCGTCGACTCCGACACGAACCCGACAAGATGGAAGCAGACTTGATCAAGCTGGCGAGGCCGACGCGCCGACCCGCGAGAGTCCAGGCGGCTATGCGTCGCCGCTCAAGTCGCTCCGCGCCCGACGAGCAGCTCGCGCTCGCGCCTCGCTCACTCCGTCGCGCCCGGCCTCGCTGCGGCCGGTGACCACAGGTAGGGGCAATGGTGCGACTCCGCCGCCGCGCTCGCATGGCGATAAGAGTATGAGAGAAGAAGTCGACTACGCAAGTGAGCCGATGCCCATCGGTGCTATCCCGTCGGTAATGCAGACCCAGCTTGCCCAGATGACCGCCACCCGCAAGTCGCTGCATGCAATGCTGATGGAGGTTTTGCCGCGGGTGGATCGTGCTGAGGCGCTGGCTGCCGACATCCTTGGAGTGCTCGCTACGCCAGGACCACCGCCGCGCGCCCTTCTTCATGCCATCGACGCAGCTATCACGTATGCGTCTGACTACGCTGCCCAGTTGCCAACTGTGGCCGAGGCAGACAGTCTGCGCAGCCGGTTACTAGAGCCACTGCGCTCGCTACGATCCATGGAGGCGGCACGGGTAAGCCGAGCCGTTTGTAGCCCGACACATGGACAAGTGGCGCCGTTGACGCCGACGCCAGTCACATCAAGCGGTCACTTGCAGGAGGCATCGCTCCAGCCGCTCCAGGCACGAGTGGCTGCTGCTTGTGCGGCAGCGGCCCGGCTTGCACCCGAAGTGTCAGCTCTCCCGGATCCGCTCACTATCCAGTGCCAGCCACCTAGTGTTGCGTTGCTCACACGGCACCTTGACGCTTTGACCCAGGTGGTGACTGATGCCTCCCTAGATCGAAGCTTGAAAGCTACCATCCCAGCTGCAACTGCAATTGTGGCGCAGCCAGCCGGTATGGCTGGTGCCTCGTCGACTCGTGACCAACTGCGGCAGCGAACGCAAGAGCACGTGGCGTCGCTGGGCAAGCGCCAGAGTGCGGCTGCGGCTGCGCTGGCTTCTGCCACCCGCGCAGAAACCTTGGCCACGGTCGGTGACGTGTTGGCGGCGGAGGCTGATCGGATTGACAGCCGGCGGGCAGCAACCGCTGCCGAGGCTGCTGCTGCCGCCGCCGAGCGGGCGGCAGTGGATGATCGTGCGCAAAGTGTGGCCGCGCGGAGCGCTGCGGTTGACACTCGTGAAGCCTCGCTCAGCAGCGCTCAGGCAGTGGCTGCTGCTGCAACATCCGCTGCCGCCCTCGCTGCAAAGCGTCTCGAGGCGCAGCAGAGCGAGTTGGCGGCGCAGACTGAGCTCCTCGCGCGACAGCGACTTCGTCTCGAGAACCAAGAGGCTCGAGTCGCTCGCGAGCGAGCCGAGGTCGAGGCCGCTCGGACTGAAACAGTCGCCACACGCAAGGCGCACGATCAGCGGGCCAAGGTGATCGCGGCCGAGGCCCAGGCTCTGGCCCAGGCCCGCGCGCAGGCCAAAGTCGAGGCCGGCAGTCTTGCCACGCAGCGTGCCAAGCTCGACGCCGATGTAGACGAGCTGCAGCAGAAGCGCCTTCAGGCCGGCTTTACGCTTGCAGGAGCACAGCGAAGCCAGGATGCACTCGATGCCATGCAAGCCGAGCTTGAGAGCGCCGAGGCACGGGTTGACGCACGAAGCCGCGAGCTTGTCGCTCTGGTCACGGAGCTCGACAAGCGTGCCGCGGCACTCAATGCGCGTGACGTTGAGCTTGCCCGCCGCGCGGCCAAGCTGGATGTGGAAAGTGCGAGTTTAGATGGCCGTGCTGCGGAGCTCGAGGCCCGTGTAGGGCTCATCGACGAGGAGCAGGCGGCGCTGGCGGCGGCGCGGGCTCTTGTAGAGCACGACTCTGCCACGGTGCTGGAACGTGAGTCAGAGCTGACACGGCAACTAGCCGATGTTGCCGAGACTCAGGCCGAGCTGCATGCGACTCGAGTCGAGCTGCGGAGCTTAGAAGTCGCACTAGAGAGCCGCGCAGCCGCGCTTGATGCCGCCGAGCACAAACTGACGCGTGACCGGGCTGCACATGCACAGACATTGCAGGCGTTCAAGGCGTCTTCAGAGGCGCTTGCTCAAGAGTCAGCCCGGTTGGAGGCGCGAGAGGCAGAACTGGCACAGATGGCCGAGTCGGCACAGAATCGATGTGTTGCGCTCGATGCGCAGGGCGCTGCGCTCGAAGTCCAGGCCGAATCTGTCGGCGCAGCCGTGTCGCGAGCCGAGGCCTCGCTGAGGGCAGCGGCGGCTTCGGCGGCTGAGGCCGAGAAGCAAATGGCTGTCCTAGAAGCTCGCCATGTCGAGGCTGCCACTGCTGCTGCAACTGTGCAGGCGCGCGAGAACGAGGTCACGGCGCGTGAGGCCAAGCTAGCCGCAGCTGTCGCAGCGCTAGCTGCCGAGACGGCTGCGGCAGCCGATGCCTCGGCGGATGCGGCCAACGTCAAGTCGGCACTTGCGCGGCAAAAAACTGAGCTTAGCGCGCAGCAAGCGAGGCTTGAGAGCGTAGAGTGCTCGCTTGAGACCGCAAGGCGTGATCTGACCGCCGCACAAGCTGCACTGGCGCGAGATGTCGAGGCTCTCAACGCGGAACGGGCCGCACTCGCCGAACGTAGTGCAAAGAGTGCCTCCGATGCTCGTAAGGCGTCTCGCTCCGAGGCGGCTGCGGCAGCAGCGCTGCAGGCTATTGACGATGTCAGCGCGCGGCTGCAAGGTCGTGAAGCCGAGGTTGCGCGCAGGGCAGCGAGTCTGGATGCGAGAATGCGCGAGTGCGCGAGGCGGGAGAAGGTACTCGCTCGCGAGCGTGATGAGCTGGATCGAGCCTCTCGGGCTGTGTCGGCCCAGTCGGAGGCATTTGCCCGCAAAGCCAGCGAGCTGGCTGCTCACGAGACGCGTGTGTCTGTTGCCAGTGCTGAGCTCGCTGACCAGCAGGCTCAAGTTGCTGCCCGCGACATGGCGTTGCGTGCCGAGTCAGACCACATCAAGCAGACACGGGTTGCCATCGACGCGGACCGTCGTGAGCTCGAGGCTATGGCCAAAGCCACCGAGGCCGAGCTGGCCAAGCTTGACGATGCACATGCCTTGCTGGAGCGCAAAAGCGCCCAGGTCGATGTTGACCGGAGTGTAGTTATGAAGCGGGAGCGTGAGCTAGCGGCAGGCAAGGCTGAGCTGGCCGCAGCTCGCGCTGCTTTGCGCGAGCTGGAATCTAAGCTGCTGGCTCGAAAGATTGCAGCAGACGAAGCAATGGCGAGCGCAGCAGCAGCTCAAGCTCGAGTCGATGCTGACCTCGATGCTCAGGCTGAAGCAAGTAATGCACTCCAAGCACGTGAGGCTGCAGTAGCCGCTGCAGCCGCTGGCGTAGCGGACCGAGAGGCTGAGTTGGCACGGGCTCGTGCTACTGTAGAGGCCCAAGTTGCGGAGCTCGATGCATCTCGAGCAAGTCTAGCGGCTGAGACTGCCGTGGCGCGTGAGGCCCAGCTCAGGTTTGGGCAGCGGGAGGCAGAGCTCGATGCTAAGGTCCATGCCCTTGTCGAGCGTGAGACAAAGCTCGAGAGCGGGTGGCGCGAGCTGGAGGCTGACCGAGCTGGCGTTGCAGAAGCGCGAGCTAAGCTGGTGCGCGATCAGCAGGCACTGGCCGCTGCAACCGAGGCTCTTGCGAGCGAAGACACTCGGGTGACTGCCGATGCTGCAGCTGCGGCGAATGCAATGATGGCTGCAGATCAGGCTCGTGCCGAGCTTGTCGAGCGTGAGGCAAGCATTGCAAGGGATCGCGAGGCTGTGCAAGAAGCTGAAAAGCGAACGGCACACGAGATGGCTCGGGTGGAGGCACTGCAGCGCTCGCTCGAGGCGCAGAGAAGGCAGTTGGAAGATGAGCTGGCCACCGCGGCAGATCACGAGCGTGCAGCTGCTCGGTCATCTGCGCTTGCACGGCAGATGCAGTCCCAAGTAGCTGCACGCAGCGATGCGCTGGTGGCTCGGCGCCGGGCTCTTGCTGAGGAGGAGGATCTGTTGTCGCAAGCCAAGGTTAACATTGCCAGCGCGCGCAGCGCTGTGAATAATGCCAAGCTTGCCGTAGCCGCGCGTGAACTGGCAGCCGAGGCTCATGAGGAGCAGCTTGCCAAGGCTGGCGCTGCCCTTCAGGCCCAGAAGCTTGCGATTGCCGATGCTGAGCGCAAGCTGGATGCTGAGCGGGCTCAAATCTCCCAACGTCGCAATACGCTCAATGGCGAGGCCCAAAGCCAGTCCGTAGCCGCAGCGCGGCTGGAAGCGCAAGCTCGTCACCTGAACGACCGGGAAGCCGGACTTGCAGCCCGCGAGACAGCGCTTGCGGCAACCGCAGACGAGGTTGCTCAGTCTGAGGTTGAGATCCAAGCGCTGCGCAAGACGTTGACCAACGAGCGCGCCGAGATCAGCAAGCTGCAGAGCGCGGCAAATGCGCGGACTCGCGAGCTTGATGAGCGGGAAGCTGCTGTAGGCGTGAATGAGGGCCGGCTGGACAAGCTTTTGGAGCGGGTCAAAGCCGCACAGACCCGCGCCGATGAGAGCCGGAGCGAGGTGACAGACGACCGTGCGACGCTCGAGGCCGACAAGCGTGCAGCGGCCAGCGAGGCGAAGCAGATTGCTGCCGACCGTCATGCGCTTGAGCTTCGTGAGCAGAAGCTGCAGAGTGCGGAGATCGAGTTGGCTGCGCGAGCTGCCCGACTGGATGAGGACAAGGCTAGACTCGATGAGCAGCAAGCTAGACTCGTTTCTGCGCAACAGGAGGCCCAGGAGCGAATGGTTGAAGCTCGGGATGCCATGGCAGCTGCTTCGCACGGCGAGCAATTGGCACAGGACGAACGGAAGCGCGCGCAAGATCGTCTGGCCTTGCTCGATACCCAGGCGACCCAGCTGGCCGCTGACAAGGCGCAGCTCGGGCTTGCTCAAGTTGCGGTTGCGGAAGCGGAGCGGCGTGTCGGCATTGAGCGCAAGGAGTTGGAGGAAGCAAAGGCCAAGGCGGCAGAGGCTCGGGCTGCTCTCGAGGCTCGCAATGTGGCGGTGGCGGATGCGGCTGCACGGGCAGAGGCTGCTGCTGCATCGGCTGCGTCTGCTCAGGACGCCGCAAGACGCGCAGCAGCGGAGGCGGCTGCCAGAAAACGTGCTCTGGCTCAAGTGGCGGCAGGCCTCGACGAACGTCAAGCCAACTTGGACGCCAAGGCCAGGGATGTGGATGGGCGGCGGGCCTTGGTTGAGAGTCTTGCTGAGCAGACCTCTGTAGCACATGCAGCGGCACAGACAGAGGCACTCACACTTGCGCGGCAGCGTGGCGAGCTGGAAGCGCTGGGTGTCCGCCTCGCTGGGGAGCGAGCCAAGCTGAAGCAGATGCGGGAAGAGTTGGCTCGCGGCGTCGAGCGAGCGGCGCGTGACGCCGATGCTGCTGCTGCTGGTCGGATTCAACTCGATCGCGAGCGTACTGCGCTGGCAGCGGCCCGGGCAATGCTGAGCAAGGACGAAGCCAAAGTTGCGGCGGCACGGGTGGAGGCAGTAGCCGAGTCGGAGCGACTTCGCGAGCGGACCAGCAAGCTCGAGGTCGAGATGCGACTGGTTGATGACCAGGCAGCCGACAACCGTGAGCAGCTGCGACTGCTGCTACAGCAAGAGAAGCTTCTCGATGAACGCGGGTCCAAGCAGGCAAAGTCAGAGTCAGAGCTGAGTGCGCGCTGGGATGCACTCGGTGTTGCCGAGCTGGAGCTTGCCGAAGCAAGAGCTGTCGCCGATGGCCAAGCCCAAGCCCTTGCCAAGCGTGAGGCCGGAATGGAGGCACGCGCGGAGGACCTGGCAGCAATGCAGGCTGCCGTCGAGGCTGAAGCCGCCGAGGCAGCCGCTGAAGCGCAGCGACTTCGAGCGATGGAAACTGCGCTGACTGAGCGCTCGAAAGAGCTGCTGGCACAACAGGCTGAGCTGGAAGCAAGTCATGATGCATTGCATGAGCGTCAAGGTGAGCTCGAGGCAGCTATAGATGCCTTTGCGGGTCGTGAGGCTCAGATGAAGGGCCAGCTGAGTCAAATCGCCGACGAGCGCGCAGCGCTGGAAACTTCGCGGCAAGAGATGGCGGCGCGAGCCGAGGCTCTTCAGGCCGAAGAGGCGCGACAGGCGAGCGAGGCCGCACGCCTTGCTGGCAAAGCTCACGTGCTTGCGGAACGCGAGCAAATTGTGGCTGATCGTCAGTCAGAGTTGGACGCTACGGCTGGTGAGCTCGCTATCAAGCGTGGTGAGCTCGCGGCGCAGCAGCAGGGCTTGGCGGATGACAAGGTTGACATAGAGAAGCAGAACCAGGCTTTGGCGAGCTGGCAAGCAAGAGTGGTAGCTGATGAGGCCGAGCTAGATGCTCGGCGGGCAGCTGTGCGTGCAGAGCGCGCTTCACTTGAAGAGGCCAGCGTGCGTCTGGCGTCCGACAAGCGAACGCTTGAAACGCAGCTGGCGACGGTCAACGGTCAGTTGATATCACTTGAGAGCAAGCGAACAGCCTTGACGGCTGCCAGTGAGAGCTTGCAGCAGCGCGAGGCTCAGCTTGCGAGTCGCGATGCAAGCCTCCTTGCCCGCGATAAGGCCCTGGCGGTTAAGGAAGCCAGAGCTGCAAGTGTACTTGAGCGAGAGACCGAGCTTGCAGCCAAGGAGTCCGCTGTAAGTGACCGAATGCTTGAGCTCGAGAACGAGCGTATGCGACTGGTTGAGGAGTCTGTCACGCTGGCAGAGGCAGAGCGCAAGGTAGCCGAAGTCCAAGCTGAGATCCGTGCAATGCGAACGGGAATCGATCGTGAGCGTGCGGCACTGGAGCGACGGAGCATGGATGTCGAAAACCGCGAGACGCAACTTGGTGCGCGGGAAGCCAGCCTGGCTCAGCAATCGAACGAGCTGCTTGAGCGGAGTCGGAGCGCTGCTCAGGCTGAGCGTGAGCTGGCGGCGTCCGAACGCGAGCTAGACGGCCGCAAGAAGCGGGCCGAGCTGGACGCCATCGAGCTTGCCGCCGAACGCGAAGCGCTCGACAGCGAACAAGCCAATCTTGAGGCAGCCAGTGCAGCGTTGTCAGAACGGACGGAGGCCACGGTGGCCGAGGAGGCACGTCTGGCACGAGAGGCCGCGCGTGCTGCCGAGCGGGAGCGAGGCTTGGCCGCTGCAGTGGCCAGCAACGAGGCCAGACGAGCCGAGCTCAAGCGCGAAGCCAGGGAGCTGGACGATGCTCGGCACGCGTACGAGTTGGATGTGCAGGCCGTGGCGTCTGCGCAGAGCGCGCTCGCGCGCGAGCGCGAGACACACGAGCGAGCTGCGCGAAGTCTTGCTGACGCACAGGCTTCAGCGCATGCCGATGCGATGGCTCTGGAGGCTCGTGAACGAGCATGTGGCAAGGAGGAGGGCCGACTGGAGGCTGCACGTGATGAACTGCAGCGCAAAGAGATCATGTTTCACGCCCAAGCTGCACTGCTGCAGGAGCAGGAGGAGGCACTGGAGTTGCAGCTGGCGTCGCTAGCCGAGCAGCTTCAGCTACTCGCCGAGGAGCGGAGCGAGGTCAAAACCAGCGGTCTGAGCTGGCACGGTCCAGAGACGCGGCTGCGCGGAGCAAGCAAGCAGCGGAAGCGGCTCAGCGTGCTGCCGCGGAGCAGAGCGCGGCGGTGTCGAAACGAGAGGCGAGTGTGACGGCACGCGAGAGCGACCTAGCCGAGGCGCAGCGCGCGCTGGACACCGCTCGGACAGAGCTAGCGGGGTTAGAGGCCGAGCTTCACCGCCGAAGTGCTGCGCTTGTGCAGGCTGAGGACGCGGCTGCCGCACGCCAGGCCGAGTTGGACAGCCAGCGGCGAAGCTTGCAACGGATGAATGACGGGGCGGCGGCGCAGCAGAAGGCGCTCGAAGTCGAGCGGCGGGCACTGGCCGAGGCGCAAAGCCAGGTCAAGGCCCGCGAGGAGGCGATGGCGCGCGCGCTCCAAGCCGTTGAGGAGCGTGAGGTCAAGGTTAGCACCGACCAAGCGCGACTCTGTGACGAGCGTGACGCACTGGAGGCACGCGAAGCCAAGATTCGCGCGGCTGAAAAGGCAGTGGCGGTTGCCGAGGCCGAAGCTGCGCGCGCTCAAGCTCGGATGGAGGGCGAGCGTGCTGCGGTCGACGCGGCTCAGGAGCATGTTCGTCAGGCGGGTGAAGAGGTTCGGCGGCGTGAAAAGATATTGGCCGGCCTCGAAGCGCGTGAGGCGGCACTTGCGGCCGAAGCCGAGACTCTTTGTGGACGCGAGGCTGCGCTGGCCCAAGATCGCAAGGCGTTGACGGAGAGGGAGATTGAGCTCAAGGGTTTTGAGCGCGACCTGCAGCGCGAGGCGCAGGATGCGCGCCGAACTGCAGAGCAGCTTGCCAAACGTGAGGCCGAGCTCGATGACCGCGAGGCGAGAGACGCATCGCGGCGGACTGGGCTTGATGCACGCGAGGCGGCGGTGGTTGAGCTGGAGGCCCGGGCAGCAGAGGTGGATGCGAGTCGCGAGGCTGTTGAGAGACGTGCAGCTGAGACGCAAGCGCGAGAGGCGATGCTGGCAGAGAAGAGCGCGGCGCTCGATGCACGGGCACAAGAGCTAGAGACAGCAACAGCAGCGTTTGCAGCAGAGAAGGAGGAACACGAGGCCGAGATGGCCCGGGTGAAGGCCGAAGCAGTCGAGGCAATCGAGGTCAAGAAGGACACGATTGTGCGGACAGCCAAACTTCGATCGCTGTCGTCAGAGCTGGATGCCCGGCAAGCGAAACTAGCCGGACTGGAAGCGCTGGAGACGCGGCTTGAGTCCGAGAAGCGGTCGGCCGAGGCGCGCAAGTCGCGACTTGACGCTCAGTCGTTGCAACTGACTGCGCGGCAGGCAACCGTGAAGCTCAAAGAGCGTAAGGCGGCGGCGATCAAGCTTGAGGCCGAAGAGCTGAAGCGCAAGCTGCAGAAGGAGCAACAGGAGCTCAAGGCTGCGCGCGCTGCGCTGGAGAAGCAGAACGCTTCCCGCACTGCTGCTGTGGTCACCGCCGAGGTCGGCGTTCAGACTATCGCACCTTCGACACCGATCTCGATTCAGGTTAGCTCACCTGAGCTGGTGCACGCCGAAGCGAGCAGCGAGCTCAACGGATCGGCGTCGGAGCTGTACTTGCAGATGGAACACCAGCTGGAGGCAGACTGCCAGGAGGTGGAGGTGATCATTGCCAAGGTCAACGTTGCTGCGGGTGACTTTGTGCGGATTCGGGCGGTGGCGGCGCAGGCCAAGGCACTGTCGAAGAAGATCATCAAGACGTTACATGGGATGCGCGCGACTGCTGCGGACCAGCCCGAGTTTGTGGAGCAGCTTGAGCAGCTTGAGCTGGGGCTTGTGCGGCGCGAAGTCGACCTCGACCAGGTCTCGCAGGCGCTGAGCGCCAATCCCGACGACGAGGCGTCGTTGGCGTCGCTGCGGGTGATTTTGAAGCAGTTACAGGACATCCACGCATCGGTACTGGATCTCACGACTGTGGATGACGAGGTTGAGGACGGCAAATCGATGCGAAAGAGTACTTCGTTGACGCGGCACTCATCGCGGGTGATGGATGAGATGGTACAGCTGCGGGCGCTGCTGAGCGAAGTACCGCTATTTGAGGGCATTTCCAACATTGGCTTCTTTAACGAGATCATGCGCAAGATGGAGGATCGGGTGTACTCGCCCAACTCGTTTGTGTTTGAGTATGGCGACGAGGGCCGCTCAATGTTCTTTATCATGAGCGGGACAGCGGCTGTCATTCTTGGCAACGGCAAGAAGATCAAGGACCTGGAGGCTGGCGACTTTTGGGTGAGATTGCCATTCTGACCGGTGGGCGGCGGACGGCGTCGATTCGGGCCGAGACCTACGTCAATGTCTTTGAGCTGTCGAAGGAGACGCTTCTGGCTGCGCTCGATCTCTACCCGCAGTACCGCGAGTCGATCATCAACGTCGGGCGGCAGCGACTGCTGGACGACGCAAAGCGGAGACGGAAGCGTGAGCTGGCCATTCAGCTGAGCGATAACCCAGCAGCGAGCGTTCGCGAGCGGCTGCACAGCGAGGTGCGGCGGCTGGTGCAGGTGCTGACTCATGCGACGTCAGCGTCTACAGTCAAGTGGCGCGCCATCCAGGAAGCGGCTGATGAGACGCTGCGTGTGCTGGACGATCTGGAGGTAGCCCTGATGCCGACGTTCCGCTGGGTAGTCCGCAACCTCAAGGCTCACCACCAGGCGGCACGCCAGGCGCTGGCGCCTTTTCTGGACAAGGCACCGGACGAGGTTAGTGACCTCGAGGAGGCGCGCTCGGCAGCGCTGGCCCAAATCCGAGCTACCGAGGAAGAGGCACGGCTAGCAATTGGACTGGCCGACGTAGCGGCGTCGCTGGACAAGATGCCGCTGATGCGCGGCGTTGACGCTGCGTTCAAACGAATTCTGCTGGAGCAGGCCGAGGCTGCGACGTACGGTAAGGGCGAGACGATTGTGGAGCTGGGCGGTCGCGACCACGAGCTGTACTTGCTGCTGGACGGGCAGGTGCAAGTCGTGCTTGCCAGCGGTGACTTTGCGGCCGACCTGGGCCCTGGCGAGTTCTTTGGTGAGACAGGGTGGTGGGAGCTCAGCCCAAGGACAGCGCGACTTGTTGCTGTCACTGCAGTGGACGTGGTTCGCATCAGACGCGGCGCGCTGGACGAGGCGTTGCGGCGTTTTGAGGCGACCGGTCGGACCATGGCGGTCAACTGGGAGGGCTGGCAGGCCGAGGTGGCAAAGGAAGAGGCACAGATCTCGCAAAATGTGCGGCGTGCGTTTGCCGGTGTGGGCGGTGGAGCTTCGGCTAGCTCGCTGGGGATTTAGCGCACTGACTATGTGGAGGACGAGGACGACGAAGAGGAGGAGGAAGACTCCGACGAGTCGATAAAGTCACGGCGACGTCCCCTTTTGCTCTTGCGCCGCCCCTTCTTCCCCTTGCGACGGCTTGTCTTGCCCTCCTTACCGTCGGCCTTTGCTGCCCGACGGGCAGCCTTTTCGGCGCGGCGCGCCTCACGGCGTGCGCGGCGCTCGGCTTTCTTCGCCTGCTTGGCCGCCTTGCGGGCCGCCTTCGGGCGGCGTGAGCAGCGCGACGGGCAGCAGCGCGGTTGGCCTTGCGACGCTTTTTCTTGTGAATGCCTGGGATGACGGGTTCATGGCCGCCAGAACCACGGGACGGCTCCTTGCGCTCGCCAGCCCTGTCAGTTTCACGAGCGTCTGCCTGGCCGTCATCAAGACTGCCTTCGCCCTCTTCGAGCTCGGATGCAGCTGGCTCGGGAATAGGCGGGTGCGGCGGTGGCGGCTCATCGCCGGTGGCCTCGGCCATGGTGTCATGATCCGGACTCTCGTCGTTGGCGGCGTCTTCGGCGGGCTCGGGCGGCGGAGGTTGCTTGCTGGCGTCGTCCAGCTGATCAGCGTAGGCTGCCTGGGCGGCATCGCGCTCTTCGTCGGGGCAGCAACGGATGGCTGCACGGGCCTTGCGGAGGGCTTCCTTGTCGAGAAGGACGCGCGCAGACGAGCCTTCATCGGTCTTGGTGCCGGATGCGCCCTTGCCGGCGTAGACGTTGTCTGAGGCGGTGTGCGGGCCGGCGGCCTCGGAGAAGAGATCAAAGGCAGTAGCGGCAATGGCAGAGAGGGTAAAGTTGCCGTGGATGCCGGGGTAGAATGTGGTAGGCACAATGCAGTAGGCACCTGCGTCGAGAGTGAGCTCGGCGCTGCGCGAGCGGGTGTACTGGAAGCCCGAGCACGACATGGTGGAAGCGAGCGAGACTGTGCCGCCGGCGCAGACGTAAAAGCCGATGGGAAGACGCGGGTCGTCTTCGGGGTGGCGAGGGTGATGGTGATGGTGGTTGGCTTGGTGATGTCGAGGCAATAGACCGGGTTGAGCTGCCACGACTGGTTGTTCTGGCAGCCGCCGGAGTAGTGCGGGGTCCATGCGCCACCGACGGCGGCCTCGTGCCACTCCCACGAGCGCGGGATGTGGTCGAGGGCGAGCTGGGCATCAGGAACACCAGGCGCCTTGACGATGAGCTCGAACGAGGCCTCCACGTCGGGGTGGTAGGTTGAGGGGATGATGAGGACTGGGGTGTCTGCGGTGACGTCGAGTGCAGCTGCAACGTTTCGCGCGTTGGTGCACGGGGTGGAGGCAAGGGTATCAGACGAAGACGCGGCGAGAAGGCGCTTGGAGTTGGATGGGACGGGGAAGGCGGACCAACCGACATAGGGCAGCGCGTCGGAGGGCGTAGACTCGGGCTGGACGAGCGAGATCTCAAGCGTGGCATCGGTGTCTGAGGTGAGGAGGTACTGGGGGTTGCGATGCCAGTTTGCCCGACCGCGACAGCCTCCGGCCAACTTGCCGTGCCAGCGGCCCTCGACGCCTGTAACACCAGCGACAGCGACGTGAAGGTGGGCCCACTCTGCGGCGGACACACCGGCAGGCGCGATGGCAGCTAGGGTAAATGCCGACTCGTTTCCAGGGTAGAACGTCGATGGGATGACGATGTAGGTGCCGGGCTCGAGGGTGAGCGAGACCGAGACCGAGTATGCATTGGTGAACGAGGTCTTGCCGATGACTTCCGAGGCGAGGGCGCGATCTTTGCGGGCGTCGCCGGTGAGGACGAGGCAGCCGATGTAGAAAGGCGGGTGGGCAGGCGACTGAGGTTGGTGGAGCTCGATGATATAGTCACCGGGAGCGGAGACGGTGAGAGCAAACTGTGGGTTGGCGTTCCACGACGGGTTGTTGACGCAGCCGCCAGCAGAGACGCCAGCCCAGGCACCCTCGATTTCGGCGTTGGCGATGTGCGGGAAGGCGATAAAGTCGAGTGCGGCCGAGTCTGCCCAGGCGCGAACGACCCAGTCTTCGTTCTTGAGAGGAGCGGCGTCGTACTGGCACGGAACGATGATGTAGTCGCCGGGCGGGGCCTTGAAAGTAGTGGCGACCTCACGGGCGTACTCAAAGATGTCGATGCGGGCGACGAGGCGCGACGAGTCCCACTCGCGGAGTGGGCCTGATTCGGGCTCGGCGTCAAAGACGTAAAAGGCAATGGCGTCGTCGTAGCGATGGGTGCCAGCAAGGCGAGCGTCAGACTGCATGAGCGAAATAGCAACATGGGCGGCAGCAGCGCCATCAGCGGGAGCGCCAACGCGCAGCTTGAGCTGCGGGTTGTTGGCAAAGCCCGCCGATGACGGACGGCCACCCGAAGACTCAGCGAACCACGAGCCAAAGGCCTTGACGCTCGATGTCCAGCCTGTGAAAAGGTGGCAAGCATAGAGCTTGTTAAAGTTGGTGGTAAAGTCCTCGTACGCCATGTAGAACGAGCCGTCATCGGCAAACTCGTGGCCGAGCTCTTCGAGCATCTCGGGTGTCCACTCGGGCGAGCCGTCAGCCCAGGCGCCAGACCACTCAGTCGAGCCCCACGGGTTACGGATCAGAAGCAGGCGGTGGCCAGCCGAGGTAGTGAGGGCGTCAAGGATGCCGTAGGCGTGAGAGGCAAGCAGACCATTGCCCTGGTCCTCCTCGATACCGGCACCGGCGCGGGCGATGGCGCAGCCGAGCATGTCCCCGGCGTCAATCATGTCGACAATGTCATCAAAGAGCTTGCCAGAGGTGATGCGAGCAGCAACGTCCTCGTGGTCAAAGTGCCATTTCTCGCCTGAGCCGCCGGTGAGGTCGACGAGGGCGTCGACGGTCGAGCCGCCTTCGATGGCCTCAAACGAGCCGTGCAGTTTGGCGTAGGCCTTTTCCAAGATCTGGACCCAGACCTCGTCCTCATCGAGGCAGCGAGCAAAGAGCGGCGTCTCGGAGCCGTGGCGGAGCGGAACGTGGTCGTCGACTACCACCTGCAGCCAATCGCCGTTTTTGTAGAAGCGGACGGTGTAGCGGCCGGTCTCGGTGTCGTGGTCGACGATGAGCGAGGCGAGGGCCTCGTCATCGAGGGCAACAACCGAGAGCGAACCGAGGAGGTAGCACGAGCCAAGCGCACCCTGCATCACATCACCCGGAGCCACACCCTCGGCAAAGAGGGTAGGCGTCGAGGTGTAAGCGTGCGGGCGGTCCCACTTGGCCACCGAGTACGATGCTGGAGGTGCATGCGGAGAAAGAAAAAAAAGTGTTCGCTGTGAGTTTGTTCGATGCGGTCAACCACGGTTGGACGGGAAAGGGCGCAAGGGGACGTACTCTCGCGGTTGGTGTAGAGCGATGTGTCATCGGGAGCAAAGTCAGTGTCAACAAAGGCCATGGCGGAGGAGGAGGGGGTGGTGGGGGTGGGATGCCGGGGGTGTACTGGAGTGGGGCGTCAAGTGCAGGTGCGGGTGCGGTGTCAGCGGCGGAGCTGACCAAGTGCTCAGTGGTTACGTTTGTCACGCCGGACGTTTTCTGGCCATCGCCTGTGACCAAGGAGGTGGTGGTAGCAGTTTGGGGTTGGGGTTGGGTTGGGGTTGAGGTTGGGGTTGGGGTTGGGGGGGGGTCACGAGCGCAGACACAGGCACAGGCGAAGGACTTGGCCAGGGTCAGGATGACGGTCGGAGTCGGAGTCGGGGCCGAGCACCTGACTCTCACTGGCTGTGACCATGAACACACTGGTGATTGCTGCTGCCGCCATGGCCATGCTGGCCACCCTCACTCTTGCCCAGGACCGTACGCTTGTGGTACCGGTGCCAGCCGCCTGTCCAGTCTCCCTCCCCCCCCCCCCCCCACCCCCACCACACACACACTCACCCTCCTCACCTCCCTCCCTTCCTCCCCCCCCCCCCCTAGCTGCGAACGAATGGCTTGGCTACGCCACGGCTACGTACCCGCAGGGGACCAAGATCACGCGGGCCGAGGCAAAGTGGCAGGTGCCGGCCGATCCCAAGGTCCCGGGCCTGTTCCAGTCGCCGTGGTTCGGCATCGAGTCGACAGACAACCTCAACCTCATCCAGCCGGTCAACCCGTGGGACGGCGCCCGGTGGTACGGCATGACTGAGTACTTCCAGTGGTCTCCCGAGAACAACCGCGACTCGCAGACCATCGAGGCGCGCGCAGGCGACACGCTCCACGGCACGGTTGTCTACGACGAGGCGACCCAGTCGTACACGCAGACGCAGAACAACCTGCGGACTGGCCAGTCGACCTCGATGGTGGTCCCCATCCAGAAGGACAGCAACGGCAACTACAAGAACTACGATCACCTGTGGGTTGTGTACGAGAAGGTGCCCATTGTTTGCGGCCAGCTCCCCGCATCGGGCAAGGTTCTCTTCTTCGACATCGAGATCGAGTTTGACGGCAAGCTTGTGACGCCCGAGTGGACCACGGCCTTTGTTGTCGACAAGTGCGATAACCGTGCCCAGCTCGTTAACTCAACTTCTGTCCTCCTCACCTGGAACCCTTGATGCAGTGACGATCTCTTTCTGCGCGCGCGTTCTTGCTAGCCCATACCACCTTGCCTTTCTTGATTGAACGAGTATCTTTTGTCACGTCCCGTGCCGTCCCGTGCCGTCCCGTGCCGTCCCATACCGTCCCGTGCCGTCCCGTGCCGTCCCGTGCCGTGCCATTGACCACGAGCCAGCGGGAAGGGGCAGTACTCATCGCGGACGTGAGCGAGTCTCTCCTCCCTCCCTCCCTCCCTCCCTCCTCCTCCTCTCTCCCCCGTTCTATGCGTGTGCTGACCTTACTCGGCCGCGTGGCCTTTATGACCCTCTTTGCAGTCATCTGCACGGCAGGTGTGCTGCACATGCACCGCCCGACCCGCCGCTGGGCCTTTGCCTCTTTCTGCGTGGCCATGAACAAGCGCTCGCCAGAGATGCGCGCACTGCGGTGCGAGGTTGTGGGCAACGCCACGGGACACGTGTTGGAGATCGGACCGGGGCCGGGCGGCAATCTGGCGTGCTACGGCCCAGAGGTGACGGCGTGGACCGGCGTCGAACCGAATCCGGAGTTTGCGCCGTATGTGGCGGCCGCTGCTGCTGCGACAGAGCGAAAGATCAGGCTTGTCGACGGCGTGGCGGAAGATCTGGTCGCAGCAGGTGTGGCCGATGCCTCCATCGACACCTACGTGGCGACCCATGTCCTTTGCTCTGTCGATGATGTGTCGCAGGTCCTGGCCGAGGCGTCGCGCGTTCTCAAGCCGGGTGGCAAACTGTTCTTCCTCGAGCACGTCCTCGCCCAGGACTCGCCCACCCTCGCCTTTGTCCAGCAGGCCATCGCTCCTCTGTGGCGCATCTTTGGCGACGGCTGCGAGTTCCGCACCCAGTGGTATGAGCTCGAGGCCGCCGCCGCCGCCGGTCTCTTCATCGATCTCGAGATCACCTTCTTCGACGCGCCCATCAAGCTCGTCATCGCCAAGCCGCACATCAAGGGCTCGGCCACCAAGCCATGACTCGCCGATCCGATACCCAAGTCTCTGGGCACAACGAGCGATCTCAGCACTGCAGTACTTACCCACGGATGGGCAGAAACATAACAACGTGGCATACCCCTGCCACCGGCCTGGCCCTGGCCCTGGCCCACGTCAGCCGCTGTGGCGCACGCAAGCCCCACGACACCGCGAACTCGGACGCGGTCCTTCCACTCCCACCCCTCTCTACCCTCCACCATCCTCCGTCTCCTTCGCACATCTTTTGCACTCCGTTCTACCCTCGCCATGTCATCGTCGCCGTCGTCGCCTGCATCGAACAACCGCTGGAGCGAAGCCTGGGAGGCCGGGCGAACAGGGTGGGACCTGGGCGGGCCGACGCCTGCGCTCACGGCGCTCCTTGCCGCTCCGCCGGCTGGCGTGGTGCTGCCAGACTCGGGTGCTGCGCTGGTCCCGGGTTGCGGCGCCGGATACGATGTGCGTGCGCTGGCGACCGCCCTGCCGGGCCTGGACGTGGTCGGTGTTGATGTGGCACCTCTGGCCAAGGACGCCTTTGACTCCCGTGTCAACGGCGGCGCCGAGCGAGTTGAAAACGCACAGGTGGTGCTCGGCGATGTGTTTGCGGTCGGGAGCGCCGATGCACCCAAAGGCGTGCCGGATGCGCTGCAGGTTGCGAGCAAGACCGCGCTTGTCTACGACTACACCTTTCTGTGTGCCATCGAGCCCGAGGACCGCGCGCGATGGGCGGCGCTCATGGCGCGGGTGCTCGAGCCCGGCCGCGGCCGGCTTGTTGTTCTCATCTTCCCGACTGAAGAGCCCGGCCGCGGCCCGCCGCCGTACCAGATTGTGCCCGATGACGTCGAGGCTCTACTCACTCCGCACGGCTTTGAGTGCGAGCACCTGGCTCCCGTCCCTCACGACGTGACCGAGGCAGAGTGGCGCAAGGGCAAGGAGGTGATGTCGGTGTGGAAGCTGCGCGCGTGATGGCTGGGCGCTCGGCTTTTACTTGGGTGCCGGAGGCTCTCTTGCCTTGGACATGGCCAGCAGTTGGTCTGAGGTGAGGCAGGCGAGCGCGTAGAGGTCAAACAGCTTGCGGATTGACGGCACGACCCGGAAGCGGTAAGGTGCAACCTGATGCTCGATCATGCCAGAAATCTGCTTGCCAAGCATCTCGATCTTGGACCAGTTGACTAGGCCGGGGCAGTCGCTGATAAAGGTCGGCATGTTGTCGATGTAGGTAAAGTCGGAGAGGTAGATGCCGAGGTAAGGGATGAGCGGCGAGCCCGGTGGGAGCGACGCGACCTCGGCACGGTAGTTCTTGAACGACTTGGACATGGACATGACTGTGTTGAGGCTGGCCAGCTTGGTGAGGACCTTCTTCTTGACACCGGCCCAGGTCTCGGTCAACCGCTGAACGGCATGCGAGTTGAGCGCGGCGAGGATGGCCATGAGCGAGTGGTAGTTGGCGAGCTTGCGCAACTCCCACGCCATGCGAACAAGCTGCGTCAGAGCCTTGACCCGCTCCTTGCGCGATTGTGGAGCGATGACCAGGCCCGAACACCACGAGACCGTGGTGTTGAACGACTCGATCATGCGCAGGATGTTGAGCGCCCGGTGCGCCATCGAGGCCTTGGACCAGGCGAGGGCGTGGAACTCGCGCGGCCGGATCGCCGCCCAGTGCTCAGACTCGACGAGGCAGAGCTGGCGGGCGAGCTCGACAGGATGAGCCTTGGAAAACGACGGCGGCGCATCGAGGTCGTCGGTCCCAAAAAACTTGCGCTTGAACATCGACGGCGGCAGGTCGTCGTCGTCGTTGCCATCCGCAGCCTTGTCTTTTTCGGCCAGCGCCGCCGCCGCCGCCGACGCCACCTCAGAGTGCTCCTCCTTGATAGCCGACATTGAGAGCCGCAGCATGTCGTTGGGGGTAACCGCAGTTTGTGCCGAGAGTGAAATCGAGTGCGATCGCTTGCGCGAGTCGTGCGGCGCCGGTGACGGCTCGCGCTGGGGCACAGGTGACGTCGACCCGCTCAGCGACATTGCGCGCACGTCTGATTCTGACGCTGTCGGCCGCAGAGTTGTCGCTGACAGCGTGGCAAGCGCAGGCAGATTGGTCGACGAGCTTCGCAATGACGCCGGCGAGTGAATCTGCACGACAGGAAGGTCGTGGTCAATTGTGTCGAGCGCATCTCGAGGGTCGTGCAGCCACTTAGACGCAACGAGGTCGTCCATGTCGAGGCCTGCAAGAAAGGCTGCTGGATCGGCGCGAAAGTGCTCGGGAGTGTGGCGGCCGAGAAAGTTGCGCAGCTGGATGGCCGGAGAGCGGACGAGCAGGTGTTCGTCAGCCGACGACGCGACGGCCTGGATAAAGGCAAGTGTCCGCTCGTAGTGCTCGGGCACTCGCGCAAAGTCGTCCACAAAATATGACAGGAGCCAGAACCGGATGGTGTCAAGTACCGTGAGCTTGGCTGGTACTATCACTGCGTCGGTAATGGTCTTGGCCAACAGGCACGACGAGACCTTGACCTCTGGCATGCGGAACTTTTCTACCAGCTTGGCAAGGAGCATCTCCGAGGAGACAATGTAGTGGTACGAGCAAAAGAACGAGAACGGGTCGACCGCGCCCGACTCGGTCGTCAGATGGTGGACAATCTTGTTGAGGTTGGCTGCTTTGATCCGCGTTCCTTCCGACTGCGAGATAGTGTACCGCACGTTGGTGTCGTTGTCGGCCGTCTCGTCCCAGAACGCCCGCAGCGCGCCGTGTGTCTCATCGACCGTCTTGGCCTTGTGGACCGCAAGCGCCTCTAGATCCGCCACCGAGAGGCCAGGGTCAAGGTGACTGTCCGAAGACCCCCCGTCGACCACAATGGTCGGCATCGAACCGATGCTGGTACTGAGCTCCGAGTGCGAGTTCGAGTCATGCAGCGGGATCCGCGGCTTGCTCGCCGACCACAGCTCAAACGTTGACCTGAACTGGGCGAGCTGCAGCAGGCCACGCGACGAGTCAAGCGTGCTGTTGAACGGGTCCGACGACGGCTCCACCATGGCCGCTCGCCGCCGCTTGCCAGCGGTACGCTCACTCGGAGTTGTGCTCAGCTCGGGCATGACTTGCGCCTCGGGCACCGCTGCAAACCCGCCCACCGTAGGCGCGTAGCCCGTCGTCGGTGTTGCCAGCTCCTCAAGTGTCACCACATCGCCCGTGCTGACTGCGCCGAGATCTAGCGAGAGTGAGAGGCTTGGACCAGAAAGGTCTCCGTCGGAAGCCGGTTGCATGGCGCGCCGGGCGTGGACGACCGAGGTCAGGAGCTGCAGCGTCTCGCGCGACGCGTTGAGCTCCGAGTCGCCATCGAGAACTCGCAGCGTAGGGAGTGTGGTCGGTGACATTGATGACGACGCAGGTGAACGGCTCTCCGGGCGGGTCTTGATCGGCGACGGCAGCTCGGGATCGCTCGGAGAGGTGCTCACCGCCGGCGTCGATGAGCTCGACGAGGTCGAGTACGAGTAGTCGGAGCTGGAGTCTGACTCGTTGTCGAGTGCCGCACTGTCTGCAGAGTCGTGGAGCGAATCGGCGTACTCATACGAGTCGTCTGACGCCGACTCGCGCCTGCTGAGCGCGGCGTGCAGGTTGTTGGCGTTGAGTGAGACCGAACGTCCTCCCGCCACGCCTGTGCCTACGGCCGGCGTCCGTGGGCCACTCTGGCCCCTTTCCATGCCGGGGCGTATGAAGGAAGGGGGATAAGAGGAGTGCCGGTGTAGGTGTACGGGGGAGAGGAGTGACCGGCCAATTCTGTCGCTAGCGTCGAGCTTTGCAAGTTGTACCAGGATTCGAGTGGACTGCAAATAGTGTTGGAGTTGGCGAGGTTGCTTGCACGGCGTGGGGAAGGAAGGGCGAGGGGGGGGGGGGGCTGTGCTTTGTTTGCTGACCTAGCTTTGGTGGCGATGGTACTTCTGGCGAAATTCTTCGACGTAGGACATCGATCGCTGTGGGGGCTGGAGCTCGCGCTGAAGGTCGAGGCTGAGCGAGGGCGGTCGACATAGGCTGGGGTGGTGGAGCGGGCGACGGGTGGCCGACGGTGGGTCGGCGCGGCCGGAACGGACCGCCGGCCGCAGCGGCCGGATCGATCCGTCAGGGTTGCGCAGAGCAGACCGAGGGATGGGCGAGGGAGCGGGATTCGGGCGCCGGAATGATGGCACGCTCGGGCGGGAGCTGTCGAGAAGCAGTGACCGCCGTGGCGTCGTCGACAACGACGACGATGGACCTGCCGGCCGCGATGTCTGCGAGAGCGGGAGCTGCGGCCGGTGCGTAGCCGTCATCGAAGGTGAAAGTGTCTGCGGGCGGCGCTCGTCACGCTTGGGAAACGGCGAGACGTAGTGAGATGAGGCAAAGAATGCGTCGGACGCGAGCTGCGGAGGGAGCGAAGGCGAGTACGGCACTTGCTGGACCTGGGCCGGCGAGTGCGCCATCATCAGCGACGCTTGCGCAGCAGGCGTCCGCGGTGTGGCATACATGCTCTGAGCCTGCATCTGAGCGGTCTGCATCTTGACCTGGGCCTCTTGTTGCTGGGCGGCAGTGAGCGCCAGCTGCGCCAGACGAGCATTCTCTTGGCGGAGCCGCTCGATCTCGGCCTCCTGGCTCCGCGGCGTGCTCGCGACCGCCAGCTCCTCGTCGAGCGGTAGCGAGCCGGCTAGTAACGCCATGTTGGGCGAAGCCATACGCTCCAGCTGTGCGTTGCGGATCCGCTCACGCTCCAGGGCTCGGCGGAGCTCGGCCCGTTCGATGCGGGCGTCAAGATCGCCAAGTGGATTAGGCTGGGTCTTTCGCGACAGCCGGTGTCGATACGACGACGCTTCATCGTCGTAGTAGTAGTCGTCCGAGTATCCCGAGTACGTGTAGTACGGGTCGTAGTCCGAGTATGTGTACTCGTCCGAGTAAGTATAGAGCCGGCGGTGCGATGATGCCCTCGACGAGCGCCCCGCCCCCCCGACCGGCGTGAGGTCCGCGACGCCCGTGATCGGCGCGAGGTCCGTGATCGGCGCGAGGTCCGTGAAGCCCGTGATGCCCGCGACGCCAGCGACGCCAGCGACTCGGGCGGCGAGAGCGGGCGGCGTGGAGCCAAGAGCCCCGTCGCATTGGCTTTGGTCTTGGGCGGAGGCTTGGTCCGGCCGGACGCCTCGGCCCGCATCGAGGTGGGCGCCATTCTTGCTGGCTTGGCGCCAGCCGAGTTTGACGAGTCAAAGAGTGAGCCGGTCGAATCGTCTCCGCCCAGTGAGAGCGGCTCCGACTCGGACGAGTCCGAGCCAAGAGCTGCAAAGTCAAACGAGCTCTCGTCATCGCTGCTGTCGTCTCGCGCCGCAGGCTTGGTCTTGGTCTTGGCCTTGGTCTTCCCGCCGTCGTCATCAGAGTCGGAGGCAAAGTCGCCAAAGTTGATCGAGCTGTCATCGCTCGAGTCGGAGCCAAGGGCAGCAAAGTCGAACGAGTCATCGTCGTCGTCATCGCTGGGAGTAGCAACAGCTCGGGTGCCGGGCTTGGTCCTGTCAACGGCAATATGATTATCGTCGTCCGAGTCTGAGCCAAAGTCGCCAAAGTTGATGGAGCTGTCCGAATCATCGCCAGCGCCATGCTCGCTGCCAGAGGCGAGAGCGGCAAAGTCAAATGAGCCATCGGTCTCTGTTCCAAACGCCAGTACGTCGTCATCGGCAGCCTCTGAGGTGTCAGGCGCGGTCTTGGACGGCACCGTCGACACCAGCTCAAACTCAAAGTCCTCGTCCGAGTCCTCGGCGGCATCCTCCCACATTTGGCCCCACTCTCCCTCGTCCTCGCTCTCACCTTCACCCTCACCCCACATCAGCAGCTCATCCACTGGCCGCACCATGGTGGGTGGTTGTGAGTGGCAGGCTGGAGAGTACAGGTCCAAATTGCCGCGGTATCGCCGCCTCGCACCGCACGTGCTCAACAGCCACCGCCCTCACCCCATCCCCATCGCCACCGCACACCCACCGCATCACCTACAGTCGGACGACATCCAGGACAGCCTCTACCACACTCTAGTGCGATGAGCGGCGACGGTCAAGTGGTTGAACACAAGTCTCACTGTGGCGCGCTCGTCGTTGTCGTGCGTCAGAAGACGCAAGTCCGTTGCAAGTGAGCGCGGGAGTGCCGAGTCGCGTCGAGAGCGAGAACAGCGTTCGTCGACTTGGGCAAAAGTGTTGGGGAGTTAAGGAGCTGTCAATGAAGAAGCCATCGCTGGCGCAGCTTGGCCGGATCGTCTCGTCCGACACCACCCTTCTCTATCACACACTATGGTACGACCCCCACCACAAAGTGAGCATCGACAGTGGATGCGACCAGCGCAGTGCGTAGCTTGCTGCAAGAGTACACAGCGGGCTTGACTACCGTCTGCTTGGCCAGCCGTGTGCTTGGGCATGGGCTCGGTGGCGCGATGGCCGGCAGCTTGTTTTTCAGACGATTTTGTCTGCCATCCACGGGCCATGCACCGCCCCCCCCCCCCGCCATGGCGAGGCTTGGCCATGGGAGTGAGGGCAGCAAGCAAGAGGGCTCAGAGGACTCACCGAGCGCGGCATAACGTGTGGATGACTGCTGAGGACAGCCCCGCCCCGCCAAGAAGAACACTGGTGCCAAGTCGGCCGCCAAGTCGTCCCCGTACTCGGATGCCATGTTTATGGCCCGCCCGAAGTCGTTCGGTGTCGGCCAGGACATCCAGCCGGCCCGCGACCTGACTCGCTTTGTCCGGTGGCCCAAGTACGCCCGTCTCCAGCGCCAGAAGCGCGTTCTCTCGAAGCGCCTCCGCGTCCCGCCGTCGATCAACGTCTTCACCAAGGCTCTTGACTCGACCACCAGTACGTTTTGTGTATGAGTGCTTGTTGTCCCCCCCCTCCCCCTCCATTCCCCAGCTTGGCACCCACCTTGTGCCGGAGCCTGTGCCCCACTGCCCGTTGATGATCACGCTTATCCGATCTGGGTGCATTGCGCTGCTTTGCACCCCTTCGATGGGGACAATCAATAAGTTTTCAGCCTTGTCTGAGGGCCATCGCACTTGCGTTGCTTTTTGTTTCCCTCCCTGCTGCTCAACACTCACCCTCGCTACAGCCAAGGAGGTCTTCAAGTTCCTCAAGGACTACAAGCCGGAGACCAAGACCGAGAAGCGCCAGCGCCTCAAGGCCGAGGCCGAGACCATCGCCGCCGGCGGCACCGTCCAGACCGAGAAGCCGTACGTGCTCAAGTTTGGCCTCAACCACGTCACCACTCTCATCGAGCAGAAGAAGGCCCAGCTCGTGCTCATCGCCCACGACGTCGACCCGATCGAGGTACGCTTGCCCCTGATGGATTCCCCCTCCGACTCCCCTCTTGCCGATCCCCCCTTCCCTCTGCCGTCCGTCCCAAGACGCACTGCCACTCCCGTCCCCCCCCTCCCCCCATCCGAGGCTGTCACACTTTGTGCGGCTGATGACCCGAGGCCTACCGTATCGCGTGCCTTGCTGTGTGAGGGTTGATACCCCTGGCCGATGACCCTAGGCGCACCGCACTGCGGTGATGCCAATGACGACTCGGCTGCGGCCGCGGCTCGGCGTTTTGCTTTGGAAGCAACAACGCTTGAGCCGGCCGCAGCAGCAAGACGGCGCGATGCGGGTGGCTTGCGGACAACGCTTGGATGTGGACCGAGGACTTGCAGCGCAAGAACCCTGGACTCACACTGCACACTCTGCGCCCCACCCCGCAGCTCGTCCTCTGGCTCCCGACCCTCTGCAACAAGATGGATGTGCCGTTTGCCATTGTCAAGAACAAGGCCATGCTCGGCCGCCTGACCAACACCAAGAACGCTACCTGCGTTGCGGTCACCCGCGTCAAGGCTGAGCACAAGCAGAAGTTCGGCAAGCTCCTCGACGGCATCAACGCCTCGTACAAGCCGGTCTACCGCTCGGCCTCGCGCAAGTGGGGTGGCTCCGTCCTCGGCCTCAAGTCGCAGGCCAAGATCGACGCCCAGCGCCGTGCTGTCGAGCGTGAGCTCGCCAAGAAGGCCGCCGCCTAAGGTGATAAAGAAAAGAAGAAAACAACAGCTTTGCTGTGATGCCGTGGTGCTCCCCACCCTGCCGGCCCAGCCGAGGTTTTTCTCGTCCACGCACGCCACGTCGCAATTGTTGTCCGTGTCAGGCCACAAGCCCAGATAGCCAGCTTGGACAACAAAGCCGCGAGGCCCAGCCCCAGCCCCGGAACCCACACTTGTCTTCCTCCTTCCCACCACCATGGCGGCCGAACAACATGACGCCGAGCACATGCCTCCGTCCCCCTCAGGCTACCTGCCGCCCGAGGACAAGGCTGACAAGTCAGAGCTTCTTTGGTAGGTCAAGGCTGCTGTCGGCTGCCCGTCGACCCGCCTCGCCTCCCTCTCCTTCCCCTTTCCTCTCGTCACACACTCATCGCCCTTCTCCCCCCCCCCCCCCCCCTCCTCCGCTGCAATGCAGGACGCTTCTGACTCAAGGCATGGAGAACATGGACAGAGACGTCGAGTCGATCCAGAAGCACATTGTCAACCACTGCCAGTTCACGCTTGCGCGAACGCAGTTCAACCTGGATAGCTTTGGCCTGTATCAGGCAACGGCACTGTCGATCAAGGACCATCTGCTGGGGATGTGGAACGTGACGCAGCAGACGTTCACCAACAAGGACGTCAAGCGGGTGTACTATCTCTCGCTCGAGTTCCTCGTGGGCCGGGCGCTGCAAAACGCGGTGCTCAACCTGGACATCGAAGGCGAGTACTCGCAGGCGCTGATGGAGCTGGGTACGGATCTGGAGAAGCTGTATGAGGAGGAGAAGGACGCAGCGCTAGGCAATGGCGGGCTCGGGCGGCTTGCGGCGTGTTTCATGGACTCGTTGGCGACTCTCGACTACCCGGCGTGGGGCTACGGCATCCGGTACCGGTACGGCATGTTTGCGCAGAAGATTGTGGATGGGGCGCAAGTCGAGTTTCCGGACTACTGGATCTCGTACCTCAACGTGTGGGAGATTCCACGCATTGATGTCTCGTACTCTGTGCGGTTCTACGGCGAAGTACGGGTGGTCTCCGACTCGCCGCGGGTGGTGGAGTGGGTAGGCGGCGAGGTTGTGCAGGCGGTGGCCTACGACGTGCCGATTCCGGGCTATGGGACCAAGAACTGCATCAACCTCCGGCTTTGGTCGGCCAAGCCGGCAAAGGAGTTTGACTTGCAGTCGTTCAACCAGGGCGACTACCTGGGCGCCATCGAGGACCGCCACAAGTCGGAGAACATCTCGCAGGTCCTGTATCCGAACGACAACACGTACATGGGCAAGGAGCTGCGGCTGAAGCAACAGTACTTTTTCGTGCGCGCCACGCTGCAGGACATCTTGCGGCGGTTCCTCAAGCGACCGCGCGAGTGGGAGGAGCTTCCGGACAAGGTGGCGATCCAGCTCAACGACACGCACCCATCGATCGGCATTGTGGAACTGCTGCGGATCCTTGTCGACGAGCACGGGCTTGAGTTTGAGCGGGCGTGGGGCATTGTGGTCAAGTCGTTCCACTTCACCAACCACACGGTCCTGCCCGAAGCGCTGGAGAAGTGGCCTGTCGAGCTACTGGGCCACTTGCTCCCGCGGCACCTCGACCTCATCTACGACATCAACTACCGGTTTCTACAGCAAGTTCAGGCGTGGCGGCCTGGCGACATGGACGTTCTTGCGCGGATGTCGCTCATCGACGAGGCACACCCGCGGTCAATCCGGATGGCGAACCTTGCCATCATCGGCTCCACGCACGTCAACGGCGTCGCCGCGCTGCACACCCAGCTGCTCAAGACGACAATCTTCAAGGACTTTTGCGAGTTTTTCGGCGAGAGCAAGTTCCAGAACAAGACCAACGGCGTGACGCCGCGCCGCTGGCTTCACCAAGCCAACCCGGGCCTTGCTGCAGTCATCACCTCGTGGCTCGAGTCGGACGCGTGGATCGCCAACCTCGACGAGCTTGCCGGCCTCCGGGCCCACATCGACAACCCGGAGCTGGCTGCCGACTTTGCGCGTGTGAAGCGGGCAAACAAAGTTCGCCTCGCGGAGCTCATTCAGTCGACCAACGGGATCGAGGTCGACCCCGACGCACTCTTTGACATCCAGGTCAAGCGGATTCATGAGTACAAGCGTCAACTGATGAATATTCTCGCGGTCATTGTCCGCTACCTCGCGATCAAGGAGGCTGTGGCGGGTGGGGCGAGCAAGGCCGAGCTTGCCGCCGCCTTTGTCGCCCGCGTCTCCATCTTTGCCGGCAAGGCTGCGCCCGGCTACCACAACGCCAAGCGCATCATCCGACTCATTACCGCCGTCGCCGACGTTGTCAACAACGATCCCGACGTCGGCTCGCTGCTCAAGGTCGTGTTTATGCCCAACTACAATGTCTCGCTCGCCGAAGTCATCTTCCCGGGCACCGACCTCTCGGAGCAGATCTCGTGCTCGGGCATGGAGGCGTCCGGGACCGGGGTTGGCAAGGCAACGCTCAACGGTGCGCTGCTCATCTGCACGATGGACGGCGCTTCCATTGAGATTGCCGAGGAGATCGGCCATGACCAGGTCTTTGTCTTTGGTGCCCTCGCCAGCGAAGTCGACGGCCTCCGCGCTCAGGTCCAGTTCAACACCCCGCCGGACTGTGCGCCGCTAGCCAAGGCCAAGGCCGCCATCCGTGACGGCACTTTTGGCAACTACGACGAGTTCCCTCTGCTTCTTGACTCGTTTTCGGGCCGCAACGACTACTACCTCATCAACACCGACTTTGAGTCGTACCTCGACGCCCAGGCGCGCGCCGATGCCGTGTACCGCGACCAGGACGCCTGGCTCCGCAAGGCCATCCTCTCTACCGCCGGCATGGGCTTTTTCTCGTCAGACCGCACTATTCGGCAGTACGCCGAAGAGATTTGGGGCGTCAAGCCGTGCCCGCGCGAGTAAAGGTGTGTGTGCGGGCGTGTCTGCATCTACTGTTCAAGCTGGGTGGCGCGGACAGCTGCCGAAAAGGCAGCGTGAGCGGCGGTGAGCTCGCACCACTCGTCCGACTGGAGGACTTCCGGGCTGCCGCTGTCGTGCTGCAGCAAGACAGCAGCCACAGTCGCCGCGTCCTTGAGCGTGGTGAGTGAGGCGACGACATCCACCTGCGCGTCTTGAGCAGCAGCGCTGTCAACAAGTTGCTGGACGTCGGCAGCGACGGCGGCGACCCGCAGGCCAAGGTTGGTCACGTCGCCGGACGACACGGCACGAGCCAGAAGAGGGAGCGAGGTGTGCGTCATGCGATCAAGGGCGGCTGGAGCGGCCGGGCGGGATGCGGGACCGGCAGCCGCAGATGCTGTAGCAGCAGCCTCGTCGCCGTTGCTGCTGCCATCATTGCTATCATCACCATCCTTATTGTCGTCGCATTCGTCGTCGCTGTCAGAGACACCTGGCTCGAGCACTGAGTCGGCGTGGAGTCGCTTGGCGAGGAGGCGCGGGCGGTCGCCCTTGAGCGAAGCCTCGGTGATGGCAGTGTCGAGGCTCACGAGCCAGCCATTGAGATCGAGTGCTGTACCGTCGTCTGCAGAACCGCTCATGCCCATGGGCGGAAGGCGATACCGAAAGTCGAGGACGGTCTCGACAACGTCGAGGACAAAGGCGTTGGCGTCGCGGTCCGGCCTGACGGCGGCCGCCTTGAGGCGATAGCAAGCGAGGAACTTATGCGGTTTGCCTGCTTTCTTCGCAGGCTTGGCCTCGACCCAAAGGTCTGAGAAGAGGAAGATCTTGAGCAGGCTCGACGACGACGATGCCGCTGAGGTCTTGTGCTTGTAGAGGAGGCCTGAGGCAAGGAGACGGCGGTGGTGGTTGACCAACACACGGGGCGCACCCTTGAGGGTGGCAGCAACAGCCTTGAGCTCTGCAAACTCACGGGCGGCGCGGTTGATGTAGTCGGCGACCTCTTTGACCTTGAAGAGTGCACGCTCCAGCGCGGGGTAGTCGGGATGGTCTTCGGCCGTGTGCTTGATGAGGTCGGAGAGGAGGAGGATGTAGCGTGGAATGCGCTGGACCGGCATGATGAGAAAGGCGGGTAGGTTCATGCCCACCGCCGCAGCAAATGCGTCGACGTAGGTCTTGAACGCCTTGTTCTTTGCCTTGCCTCTGCCACACAGCGCCTGAAAGACCTCGTGCGAGTCTTCAAAGCCGGAGCAAAAGTAGATGTACTTGCGGAAAAGTTGGTCCGTGTGGCAAAGAGGTCACCGATGCGTGTTGTGGCCGGATCGTAGCTCGCGACGCGTTCTTTGAGAACTTCGGACATGCGTCCATGCATCGCCGTCATCTGATCGAGGTTGGCAAAGAGCGCAAAGTACTCTTCGGTGGTGATGGCAGGGACGCGCGCTGCGCCGTCCGGCGCGACTGGCGCTTCAGTTGGCGGCACCGGCGCCTGGCCCTTGCCCGACGTTAACATGCCGACAGACCGCATGAGCTCATCCATGTTGAGTCCACCTGCGGTCAGCAGCCGCGAGCGCAGCGGGCGGAGAAACCAGGTCTGAATGAGGGCGAGCGACGAGGCGTACGTCTCCTCGGTGGTCATGATCTCTTCGACGATGCGGAACCTGCGGCGGGCGGCCTTGTCGGCCATGAAATCGGCAGGCGGCAAGACAGCTTGAGCCGCAACGGCAGCTGCAACAGCCGGCACAGGCGCGTCTGACTTTGTCTCAACAACGAGCGCAGCCGCGGCGTCGAGGAGCGCGGCGCGCTTTGAGGCATCAAAGATACCCATGTCGTTGAGATCGGCGTCGTCGAGGCTAGTGGCAACTTCGTCAAGCGAGTCGTACATGGCAAGGAAAGCTTGGAGGTGAAGGTCGAGACCCAGACTAGCCAGCCACTCACGGATCTGGCTGCCACTGGGCGAGGCGGCGACATCGGCCATGGCTTTGGAGACGACTGCGTCGACGAGCCGGGTTCGTGCCTTGTCGACAAGCGATGCCAGGCGGGCGACGGATACAAACGAGAGGATCGGCGCTGGGGCCGACTGCTGCGCCGGCTCGCCCGCAAGCTGGCTTGAGGCGCTAGCCATGTCGCCCGTCGCATTTGCAGTTGCGACGTCGACCATACCGGTGCCCTTGATCGACGGCACCAGCGCGAGTGCAAGCTCGTCTTCACCAGTACCAACATCTGCCCCCTCGTCATCCGAGTCGGAGGCCACGCCCGGCCCGTCAGTTGCGACGCCTGTCGTCGTCAGGCCCGCCGGACCGTGTGGGCAGGTGTCGCCGGCGTCGTCCACGTGGTATGTGTGAAGCGCGATGCCGCACATCGAGCACCAGAGGCCCTGCTTGTAGACGCCGTACAACATCTTGCCACACACCCACAAAGAGTCGGGCGCTTGAAGGTGTGAGGGGCCAGAACGTGTGGAAAGACCAGCGACTCGGGCGCCTGGCCGGCAGCCTCGGCCTCAGCCATGGCCGCGCCGCGGCGTAGGCACTCGACATCCGAGTGGACCACGTGTCCGCGACCGACAGCTTGTTGTTTCTTGGGGCGGACATTCTTTGAGCAAGCCCAGCACTGACCCTTGGCCATGGTGCGCGGTGTTCGCTGGAGTGGGGGGAGAGAGGTGCAGGACGTTGGTGCTGTCGTTCATTTGCGACGAGTCGCTTGCGCTGCCGAGTCTCAGGGCCAATTTCGAGCGACTTGCTCTCGAGGTATAGAGCGATGGCAGCAAGATCAGGGGTATTACAGGATGGCCAAGAGCACGTCCTTGACGGCCGGTCGGGAGGACAAAGAGTGAAAGGATCGCAACGCGCCATGGAGGACGAAACATGGATTGGCGGCCAGGAACGGAAAACTGGGCCCTATTCCGACACTAGCATCCATACTATACATTTATATAATTCTAGAATCATAAATATATTAAAATACCACACAAGAACAGAATATTTAAAAATCCACACAAAATCACAACACGTAATATATAAATGTAATATCTATTGGCCATTTCAGGCTATTTCTCAGCATTTTTGTAATTTTTGTCTGTAGTCTGTAGTGATCTTTCCGTCGTCTAGTCTGACGGCTCCTCCCACCCCTCCCCGACTTCTTGTGCCAGGCGCATCCACTCCTACCACACCCTGCTCAACTTGCAGCTACTGCTAGGGGACGATGATAAAGACTTGCCATGCGGCTGTGGTCGCTCTAAGAGGTCTTGTGACGGCTGCGGAGGAGTTCGCGTGTGTGCGTGCCCGGCCGCCGCCCTGTCTCTTCCCGATGCCCGATAGCCCGCAGACTGCATTATCGCCGCCGGAGCACCAGCCACCGCCATAGCTCGTGTTTGCATTGCATGGCACATCCCCATGCTTCAGCCGTACATCTCCCGTCCCTCCTTCCCCACCAAAACACCGGCAAGCCTCGTACCGCTTTCTACGAAACTAGAACCTGGCACGATTTCGAGCTGTCTCGTGTCCTCCCCCCCACCCCCCCCATCCCCACCCCCTACGTCCTCCCACCTCCCGTCACCCATGAGTGCTGCTCTCCAGCCTGACCTCGACGACCTCGACGCGCTCATGGCCAACATGGAGAGCATTGCGGCAGACGTACGTCCACCCTTTCCCCTTTTCCTTCTCGTTCTCCGTATTTCTATCTCTCCCTCCCCCTTATTGTCAACTGTCTCTACCTCACGTCCTCCTCTCCGCCACCCAGCCGTTCAACCTGCGAATGGACGAGCTCGACTTTGTTACGCACGCTCTCGAGACCGACGAGACCGGCCTCGACGAGCCGCCGACGCCGACCGCACATCAACCACCATCGACCTCGTCGCGGATCCGCACGTATTCGACGTGCGACTTTGACTCGCTGGTCTTGAACGAGCCTGCGACGCTGGGGTTCGATGGCAACATGCCTGCCGGACTCGCGGTTCCCAGTCCTGCGGCGGCGGCCGGGGCTGGATCGACGACCGGAGCCGTCATGGCGGTGGAGGCGGCGCCACGGCCGCGGCCTCCGAGCGTCACGGCCGGTGCCTCAGTCGTCGAGCCGGGCAAGGTGGCCGGCGCGTGGCTCGGCGTCACCGCCGGGGGCTGCTTCAACTTTGAGACGTTCAAGGACAACGCCCAGTTCCCGCTCTTTGTCTCGGGCCCGGAGCCGGTCACGGTCCTGGTTGCTTTAGAGCAGCCGCGCTCATCGCATGCCATAGGCGTCTCGGTCATCGACTCGGGCGGCCTCCCGCTGGTCTTCAAACCATCATCGACGAGTGTCCTTGCCTCGACGTCCAAGTACTCGCGCGACCGTAGAGTTTGGTGCGTAGTCACCCTCGAGCCGCGGACTGAGCCGTACGTGGTGCTTCCGACCACCTTTTTGCCTGGCACTGAGGGCGAGTTTGAACTCTCGATCGCTCCGCCAGCCTGCGAGAGTGTCGAGTCGACGACTGCCTGGCTTGAAGCATCGGGCGTCCAGCTTGGCATGCCGGTCGAGCTTGCCGACGCCGTCGAAAAGCTCTACCCACACGTGGTGACGGTCGAGTCCGAGTGGCGAGGCTCGTCGGCCGGCGGTTGCGTCAACTACGTCTCGGTCAAGGACAACCCGCAGTTCCTGCTCACAGTGACGCAGCCCGGTACGCGAGTCGTGCTCGTTGTCCAGCAGCAGCCGCTGGCCAACGCCGTGTCTGATCCGAGCGAGCTCGATGCCGTGGCTGCCGAGGCGCCCGAGTTTCCGATCGCTCTGTACGTGACTGACAAGCGCGGCAAGAAGCTGCAGACGCTGCTCACCGACGACGTCGTCCTCTCGTCAGGCCAGTATGTGTCGCAGCGCGAACTGCGCGTGCTCGGCACGCTTGACTCGCTCGCCACGCCGTACACGTGCATGGCGACCACATTTGAGCCCGGCCAAGAAGCTGCTTTTTCCTGGACGGTGTACGCTTCAGCGCCGATTGTCTTTGAGCCGTACCACCGCGTTGCACCAACAGCCTCATCATATGGCATGAAGTACCTCGCCTCGCTCACGTCAGAGTGGCGTGACGAGTCGGCCGGCGGCTCGGTGAACGAACCTACAATGGGCAACAATCCACAGTTTTATCTCTACGTTCCCGACGAGACCGCAGTTGTCATTGAGCTCGAGCAGGCCGGCACCTCATGGCCCATTGCCTTGTACTGCGTTGACAAGCGCGGCCTCATCGCCCGCAACCTCTCCAAGACTGAGATCATCGCTGGCTCTGGCTCGTACGTTCGCGAGTCGGCCGTCATTATCAAGACCTCGCTCGCGCCTTTGGTCAACACCGCGCTTGCGCTGACAGACACCACCGCAGCTGACGACGACGACGACGACGATGATGATGATGATGATGATGATTCTGACAAGTTTACCGGCGTGCCGCCGCCCGAGTCCGGTGGTGGGTCCGCTGCCGCGACTTCACCTGTGCTTGATTTGAACATGGACTCACCGGAGCTCCTGCCGTACATCATTTTGCCGTCGACATTTCAGCCAGGCCAAGAGGGTGAATTTACCATCAATGTGTACTCGGACAAGGCCGTCCGCCTCGAGCCGGCCATTGCGGACTCGTTCTTTGCGCGACGCGGTCTCGTCTACCGTGCCGAGCTCGAGTCCGAGTGGCGCGGGCTCACCGCTGGCGGCTGCGCCAACTATCCCACCGCCGCAGCCAACCCGCAGTTCCAGCTCGTCGCCCTCCCGGATGGTGTCTCTTCGCGTGCCCGCTTTGTGGTTGTTCTCGAGCAGGCCTACCACACCGTGGCCGAGACCGGCGCGTCGGACTTGCACATCATCGGTGCGTACGTGTGCGACAACTTGGGCAAGCGCGTCGAGTACTTGTACCAAGATTCGATCCTTGCCTCGACTTCACGCTACACTCACAACGCCGCTGTTCAGACCTCCGAGGCGCTTGCGAGGACCAACAAGCCTTACACTGTCTTTGTCTCGACTTTTCAGCCTCAATGTGAGGGCGAGTTCAAAGTCTCGGTCTATTCGGACATGGAAGTCTCGCTAACGCCGCTCTCGGTCGACGTCGACCCACTCGAGAGCCTCCCGCCGCTTACGGAGCTGCACTCAATATGGAAGGGCGAGTCCGCCGGTGGCGCCATCAACTTTCCGACTGCCATCAACAACCCGCAGTTCTCGCTCTTTGTCCCGCCGTCCGGCGATGCCGCCGTCGACGAGCTCCCGGTCAATGTCCGCCTCACCCTCATCCGCCGCGCGCCCTCCATGGACACCGCCATCCCCATCGGGTTCATCGTGGCAGACATTGCTGGAGCGCGGGTCTCATCCGATCTTGGCTCGCGGGCGCTCGTCGGTGAGTCTGGTCCGTTTGTCAATGTCGAGCAAGTCTCGGTCCTACTCTCGCTGGTTCCGGCTGCGCATCCGTACACGGTCATGCCGTCGACGTTTGAGCCTGGTGTCTCGGCCGTCTTTACTCTGCAGGTCACTTCGGCCCACGACGCTGTCCGTCTCACCAAGTGGCGGCCCGAGTACGATGTCCAGGCTCTTGCCCTGCAGAGCCTATCGCACTCAGTGACCCTCACCAACGCGTGGAGCGGTCTCACTGCGGGTGGGTGCATCAATTTCCCGACCTCGGCCCTCAACCCCATGTATGGCATTCGCGTCGCCGGCCCGTCGCCGTCTGTTATCCATATCCTCCTCCGCCAGCTGGCAGAGCCTGGGAAGGAGCTTGTTCCCATTGGCATTGTTGTCGCCGACGTTGGTGACGCCAACCCGCGCACCACCCCGATCCGGGCTGAGGAGGCCATTGGCACCTCGGGCGACTTTCTCAATGCCGCAGAAGTCACCGCCACCGTCGTCTTGCCCCCAGCCGCGCACCCGTACCTGCTTGTCTGCTCCACCTTTGCGCCCAACCAGGAGGCCGGCTTTGAGATCGTCATCACTTCGGACGCGCCGGTCACTGTCTCGGAAGTACCCGACCGCGACGCCGACGACCGCGACGCTGATGCTGCATCCGCGCTCCCGGTCCCCACGCGGACGTCCAAGCCGGCCACTGTTGCTCGCTCGCCGCCGGCGCTCCATGGCTCCGCCGAGGCCGCCGACCCCGGATATTCGATGGTCGACTATGTGCCAAAGCGCTCCAAAACTACCGTCCACCGCGTCGATCCCAACTCGCAAGTCGAGTCGGTCGAAGCCGCCGAGGTCGCCGTCACCGATGCCGGAGGCCCTGTGGTCCAGGCCGATGTTGGAAGTCCGGTCGCCGTTGCACGCCCATCAGGCCTCATATCAGACGACTCTGCTGCTGCCGCCGCTCTCGCTGGTCCTGCCGCTGAACAGGCCTCGCCACCGGCCCTGCTGGATCCAGCCAAGCAGCGTGCCGCTGTTGAGGCTCGCGTCAATGTCGCGTTGAACAAGGATCTTCCAGCGAGCGCCGCGCCGCGCGCAGCAGTCGACCACCACCTCGTCGTTATGGACGACCTCATCGACACGCTCGATGACCTGATGAACGGTGAGCTGTCGTCGTCGGCGACGTCGTCGGCGCGTGCCTCGCTCGCCTCCTTGGATGGTGGCGGTCAAGAGGACAACGCCAGAAGCGCCACGGCCGATGCCACACCACCCACCGAGCCTACGGCCGAGTCCGAGGCTCGGCCCAACGCCCGCCAGCGCAAGATCTCGCGCTCAGAAGCCCGGATGTCGATTGTTCCGCGTTCGATGGCACGGTCAACGACGCTTGCGGCTGACATCCGGAGGATGACCCAGTACGGACCCAGCGGCCCGCGCCGCGGTTCGCTACCGGAGAACAAGCGCATTCGCGCCCTCACCGATCCCGAAGACGTTGGCGGTGCTGGCACGGTCTCAGACGAAGACTCGGAGCTGGACTGGTCCGAGTACCCGGCGCTTCCAGTCCCAGTCAACGTCATCAAGCAGCTGCTGCAGTTCCTCTTCTCCATCTTTGACGCCAACACACCGTCGCACATCATCGGTACGGTGCTCACCCAGCCAGACGGCATGCTCGTCCGTGCGCTGGCCAAGACGCTCACCATCAAGCAGGCCGATGTCATCGCCATGCCGCTCGTCCACGTCTTTGGTTCACAGAAACGGCTCATGATTCTTGTTCAAACCCTCATCGAGTACGAGATCGGGCGGACACCGGCATCGGCCGGCTCGACCCTCTTTCGGTCCAACACCCTCACCACCAAGGTCATGTCAGCGTACTGCACCGTCATGGGCTCCGACTTTCTTGCCAAGGTCATCAACCCGGTGCTTGAGGTCATCGAGGCCGACCCGAACAAGCTCAAGATCGAAAAGTACGGCGACAACCCCAAAGAGAACGTTGAGCGCCTCGTTAATGTTCTCAACATGCTCGTCGATGCCATCTTTTCGTCGGTCGACAACATGCCGCTTGAGATCCGCACCATCTGCCACGCCCTCGTTGTCCGCGCCCGCCCCAAGTTTCCGCAAAACGAGATCCACGTTCTCGCAGGCCTCGTCTTTCTTCGCTTCATCTGTCCCGCGCTCGTCACCCCATCCAAGTATGGCCTCCGGGACGCCCCGCTCACCCGGGCGGTCCAGGCAGGCCTCGTCATGGTCTCCAAAACTATCCAGCGCCTCGCCAACGGCGTCATCTTTCCCGGCAAGGAGCCGTACATGGTTGAGCTCAACAAGTTCATCGAGGGCCGCGCCGCAGAGCTCAACACCTTCCTTCGCGCCCTCGCCGACGTCTCGGTCGCCACCCGCTCCATTCGCATGGGCGTCGCCATCTCCCACTTTGAGGCCATCGAGGTCGACGAGCTCTCGTTTGTCCAGGGCCAGACTCTTTTTGACATTGTCACCACAGACTCGCCCGAGTGGATGTGCGGGTGCGTCAACGGCAAGACTGGCCTCTTTCCCACAGAGTTTGCCCGCATCCTGCGCAAGCAAGTCCCGCGCTACAAGGTGGAGCCGCTTTGCGAGCTCTCCGTCCCCCAGCGCAACGCTCTCATCGACGTCATCCGTTCCGTCATGAACGACTCGCAGGAGGCCATCGTCGGTGTCATCTCCTCCGACTATCGCGCCAAGGAGGACGACGTCGAGCTCTTTCGCATGGAAAAGGACACCCGCGTCAAGTCCACTTTCCGCCAGCGACTCCTTGCCAAGCTCCGTCGCTGAGATCGGCCGCACCAATCGTCGCGATAAATCACGAAAAAGCCTCACCGGGGCGAAACCGTTGCTGCCAATCGGGACTCACCTTGCGTGTACGCACTCCTCCCCGAATGTCGTTGCGTGCTTCGCTCGAAGCAGCCTACGCAGCCTCGCTGGCCTTGAGCAAGGCTGTTGAGAGCGCCTCGGTCCAGGACTCGCTCACCTCGACCAAAGATGCAGTACGCTCTCTACGCCTTTGTCCCCTTTCCCTTTATTCCCCTCCCTCCTTCCCTCTCTCCCTCCCTCCCTCCCCTCCCCCCCCCTCGTCTTTCTCGCACTAACACAGTTGTTCGTCTCCTGCCCCGCAGGCCGGCCAGGTCAAGCTCATCAAGGCAGCGCTGGAGAAGCTGGCCAGTGTGGCAGACTCTGCAGCCCAGAAAGGTACGCTGCCACAGCTGCTACATTGCTCCCCCCCCCCCCCTCCTCCTCCCTCTCCTCCTGCACCCCATCTATGGCGCCTCCTGTGGCGGTGCCGACTGGCAATGATCATTTTGCCGCACGCTCACCCCACCGCTCCCTCGCCTCCACACAGACTCGTTCGCCAAACTCGGCCAGATTGTGGCCGACCAGATGATGGCGGTTCTGAGTGCCGTCAAAGTGTTCGCTGGAGCCGGCGGTACTGGTGGTGGTGGTGATGTGCTGGCGCAAGTCGCCCAACTGCAAAAGGTTGTCGAGTCGATCGGGGCGAACGTTATGGGCGGTTTCTCGCCCAAGGAGGCGATCAGAAAGGCGGCCCAGCCACCACCACCGAGCCAGCCACCACCGCCGAGCCAGCCACCACCGCCGAGCCAGCCGCCACCGCCGAGCCAGCCGCCGCCGACGGCGTCGGGTGACTCGGGCCTCACAGCAGACCTGCACGCCGACTTTACCACAAAGTCCAAGGCGACGTACATGCGGGCCAACGAGATTGTCAACCTGGTCAAGGCCGGGACGGTCGAGGCTGTCTCGTCGTCTGTGCAGGAGCTGGCGCAGATGCTCAAGGATCTCATGGAGTCGGGCAAGAATGTGGCGTTTTCGCTCAACGACGAAGACCTTGCGCAGCGGCTTCTCGGCATGCTCAAGGAGACATACGCCCAGGCCGTGGCGGTCATTCATGCGGTGGCGCCAGCAGCAGAGGCACCAGGCAACGCGTCGCTTGCGCTTGCGCTCTCGACGAACGTCACGTCGATGACCCAGTCGATCAAGGCAGTCCTCTCGGCGCTGCCCACACCCATCGACAGCGGCGGTGCGAGCGGCGCGAGCGGGGCTGGCAACTCGGTTGTCTTGCCGAAGCAAAACTCGCTGGATCTTGGTAAGATGAAGTCGGTCATCACCGAAGTCTCCGACTTGACGCTTGACATTGATGGCATCGCACAGTCGATCGACGCCGAGCGCGACCCCGAGCGAAAGAACCTGTTCCTCCAGATCAACGAAGACATTAATGCCGGAGTGCAAAAGCTAGTCGAGGCCTCGCGGCAGTGGGCGGGTGACAAGCAGAATCCTGTCCTCGTCCGCGCCCTCATTGACGAGGTGTACTCTGTGGAGACCATTACCAAGAACGCGCTCACGGTGGCGCTCCGCGACACTGTGATTTCGGAAATTCGCGACGCTGCCAACGCGGCTGCGTTCTCAGCGACCGTCCATGCGGCCAACCCGTCGCTGGCAGGCTTCTTGCAGGGCGTTGCCTCACTGACCAAGATCATCATCGAGCTGCTAAGGTCTGTGGCGTCGGACCCGACGTTTGTCGATGCCCATGTCTCGGCGGTGAGCACCGCCATGTCAACGGTGGTGGAGGCCGGCCGAGCGGTTGTTGCCGAGGAGACCAACGCCGAGGCCCGCGACCGGCTCGAGGCTCACACCTCGAGCATGGAGGCTGCAGTCCAGATCATGTCACAGCTGGCGCAGCACTGCGCAGCAAACCCGTCTGATACGGTCTCGGACCGGACGCTTAACGCCCGCGGTGGCGAGTACGCGGCCGCCATCCGCGGCCTTGTCGAGGAGGCGACCGGCCGCCGCAAGCGTGACGAGGCCAAGTCCAAGGTCAAGGCCGAGCTGGCCCGAAAAGAAGAGATGCTCCGCGAGCAGCGCCGTGCCGAGCAGGAGCGCAAGGAGCTCCAGCGCCAGGAGCGTCTGGCCAAGCAAAAGGCCATCCGCGAGCGTCGGATCGCCAAGGCACGTGCCGCTGCCGACGCCGCTCGCCTAGCCGCCCTCGCCGCCGTCACCGAGCTCTCCGATGACGAGGCTGGCAACGATGCCAAGCCGCAGCCGGGGAGCAGCAACCCTGAACCCACGCCTGCGCCGACCAAGGCGCCGACCAAGGGCAAGGAGACCGCTGCCGGTGGCGACGGGTCCAGCTCATCGGGCTCAAGCTCGAATTCGAGCTCCGGCGACGGATCGGGATCGTCGAGCTCGGGCTCGGGCTCAAGCTCGGACTCGGGCTCGGACGCCGGCCATGCGTCGAGCGCAAAGTCGCTGACTGTGTCGGTGACGAACCCAGTCTCGATGCTCCACAACCGCTCGACCGACGTGGCTAACGCCGACCTCGAAAAGGCTGCCGTCGAGTTCCGCGAGCTTGCCGCCGAGCTCGGCGATTCGGCTGAGATCAAGGTCGAGCGGCTCCGCGATGTGACGAGCGAGATCATCGACCTCGCTGCGGCCATGCAGCAAGACATTTTTGTGCTCAACGACGTGGCACGCGACGGGAGCGCCATTGGCGCCGCCGCCAAGTCGCTCTTTCAGTCGTCTGTCACCATTCGGTCTGCACTCGACGACCTGCCAAAGGGCAAGCTCTGTGCCGAGATGGTGGTCATGCACGGGCCGCCACCGGCGCACTGGGTTCCTGCCATCCGCGAGTCAATCCAAGAGTCGTACGTCAACCTTGGCTCGCTGCAAGAGGAGCTCGAGTCGCGCAAGGGTGAGCTCGACGCCTTCCTCCGGCTCGAGCTCTCCACCGAGACCGAGTTCCTCACCGATGCAGTGATGGCGCTCACCTCGGCGGTGGCGTGGGAGCAGATCCAGCATGCGCTGCGGGTTCATGCCGAGCTTGCCCAGGATCTGGCCAAGCGCGGCGAAGCCGTCCTAGTCTGCCCGGAGCAGGCCGGCGTGCTCAAGGCACTGGCGCTGCTCGGTGCCAACGTGGCCGAGATTATGGGCGCCATGGCCGAGCTGCCGCAGCACGTGGCCGACGCGGCGTCCGACGGCTCGATTTACCTGGCTACGCTGTGCAAGGCGACAAACGAGTATCTGGCGGCGTTTATGGCCGCCGGCTATTCGCCGTCGGGCGAGCACGGTGTGTGCCCGTTGGCCATTGCCGCTGACGTCCGCGAAATTGCGCTCGAGGTTGTCGAGATGATCAAGTCATCGGCGACGAGCCGCGCGTCGCGGCTGTCCGCAGAGGACCGCGAGACCCAGATGGCGCGCGGCATGAACGTGGTCATGTACATGCGAGCCGTCATGGGCCTCCCCCCCATCGGCACCCTCATTCGCGACAGCGTCCTCGTCCCAGACGCCGTGGCCGAGATGGCACCCGGGGCGGCATTCATGAAGTTGCCCGCCGATGACCGCATCTCGACTCGCATCGTACTGGGCCTCGGCCGGCAGGTCGGTGACGCGCTCTCTGCGGTGTCAGAGGCGTTGGCGGCCGGCGCGCCGGCGCTTATGGTTGAGTCGACCCGCAAGGCCGCCCGTGTTGTCGACGCGCTCCTGGCCGAGGCCGAGGCCCAGAGCGGCGTGTCGGACCAGAGCGTGCGGCGGCTGCAGTCGGAGATGAGCCAGCTTGTCAAGATGGTGCCGACAGTGGCAGGCGCTGTGGCGAGCAAGTCGGTCGACTCTGCGTCCAAGACGACGCTGGTGGCGGACGTCTCGTCGCTGGCGGCGTGCGTGGCAGCGGTCATTATGGACATGGCCTTCCCTTGCCTCCAGTCGGACGTGCAGAAGTTTGCGTCGCCGCTCTCGGAGCTCGCGACGTCGGCAGCCGATAATGAGACGGCATTCTTCAACGAGATCTCGTCGCTCGCCATCCTCATGGTCACGCTCCTCAAGTCGATGGGCAAGCGCGACGTCAAGGTGTCGGAGAAGTGGGTCGACGAGGTAGCTACGCTGGTGACCAAGGTCGGCGACCTGGCCATCAACCCGCCAGCCTCGGCCTCGCCGCGGTTGGTCAACCTGACCAAGCGAGTCTCGCATGTTGCCGCCACGCTCATCCCCCTAGTGCGCCGGTACGTGGCCAACATGTCGTCGCCGTCTATGGCTTCGACCGCGCCCATTTGTGCCGCGCTCTGCCAGTTTGTCGAGGCGCTCCGTGAGCTTGTGGAGGTCCACATGTGAGAGAGACAGAGAGAGAGAGGAAGCACACAGTGTGCGTGTAGCGTGGCAGGAAAAGAACATTTAGCACAACCAAAGGCTTAACCGTGGTGCTCAACGACGCCGACGCTGATGGTGCGGGTGGCAAGGTCGATGGTGGTCTTGAACTGCTCAGGGACCGGGCACTCGGTGATGTCGCCATCCTCGGTGGCGGGCGGGAGGACGATGTTCATCTCGTCAGTCTTGGACGAGACGATCTCGACGTCAGCGGCAGCCTCGGAGACAAAGACCTGGCAGCCCGAGGTCTTGTCGACGGTGATGGACGGGACGCGGCCGGTGACCTGGACCTGGACCGACTTGCAGTTGATGACCTCGACAACCGAGACGGCGTCGGTGAAGACGAGGCCGACCTTGGTGCAGGCATCCATGCAAATCGAGTTGACCTTGGCCTGAATCTGGACAACGCAGTTGTCGAGCTTGTACAGGTACACAGTCTGGTTGCGCTTCGGCTCGGCAATGACAAGGTCCTGGCGGTCGTCGTGGTTCTCGACCACCCACTTGTTGCCCTGCAGCTCAAAGACGGCCGGGCCCTTCTTCTTGGCGGCCTTCTTGACGGGCGCCTTCTTGACTGTGGTCACCTTGGAGTTGACCTTCTTGTCCTTGTTAGTCATGTCGCGAGTGACCTTGCGGAGGCCACCGGTGACGGCGCCACCCTGGTTGAGCTCGGCAAAGAGGCCGGCCTTGACCTTGCCGGTGTCGGCAGCGGCCGACGAGGACGGAGGCGGGGCCGAGTCCGGGGCCGAAGACGACGCCGCGGGCGCGGGCGCCGCCGACTTGGGAACCGACGACGGCGCATCGCCGCCCTTGGCGTTCCATGCCGGGCCAGTGGTGTGGTACTGCTTGCAGTACTTGGAGAGCGCCGGCCAGAATGCCTTGAACGACCGCACAAACGTCTTAAAGTGGTCCTCCTTGTGGTCCTTGAGCACGCGGTTGAGGTAGAACTCGGCAGCCTCGCCCATCGACTTGGCGTGCGGCGCCGGCTTGGTCGTCTGGACCCAGCCGAGACCAGGTGCACCCTCCGAGATGGCCGAGAGCGCGTTGAACGCATCGTCCGACCGCGCCACAGACTCGCGCACGTTGATCGCCGCGCCGAGCGCCTCGGCCGTCGGGCCGAGCAGCGCCGCAAACGTCGCATCGTCGGGCTTCTTCGACGAGCCCACAACAACAAGGAAGTCGCGCTGCGCACGGACGGCGTCCACAAAGTGGCCCGCCGCCGTCGCCACGCTCCCACCGATCGTCTGCGCCGCCGCATGGAACGGCTCGATGTGCTCGGCAATGAGCTCGTCAAACTCCTCAACAAACCGCGGGACGTCACCTGGAACATACCATGGCCGCCGGTGGTAGTGTGTGAGTGAGTGGCCGGACGAATGGCGGTGGGTGGCCGAGTGCCCGTCGTCTGCTCGTCAGGCGAATGTCTCAAATTTCTTCGCCAGAAACGCGACCTGGTGGGCGGCGGAGCAAGGCTACGGCGGGGAGTGCGGGGGGGAGGGGGGGGGGGGGGGGGGGGGGGGTGGAATGAGAGCCAGGGGAAGGAAGCGCGCGAGGAGGAGGAGGAGGAGAGGGGCATGTGTGGAGCGTACCCTCCTCAACCGGGGCGGCACCAGCGGCACCACCGCCGGCGGCGACGGCCTCCAGGCGCGAGGCAACGGCCTCAAGACGGGCAACAACGTTGGTCAGGTCGGCCATTTTGGGTGAAAAATGGAGATGAATGGTGCCGCGAAATGAGCCAAGAGCGACACCGGCGGTGGCGCGCGAGCCACACCACCAAGCCGAGCCTCGGCCGCCGCCGCGGCTCTGGCTCGAGTGCATGCTGAGCAAGCGATCGAAGGACCCCACGATAGAGCCCGTGGTAGAGCACATGCTGAGAAAACGAGTGTTCAATCGGTTGTTGGATGTGGGCAAGCGGGGCAAGCGGGGCAAGCGGGCGCCAGGACTGCGAGGCCCAGCAACCGACTGACCGGCTGCGCGCAAGCGTGGACATATGACAGCGGATCGGCGGGGTTCAACGGAAAGAGGTCGAGGTAGACGCCATGCCCGATGTTGAGAGCCACCACTGACGGCGAGCGGTCAGAGAGCGGGCAGCCAGAGGAGCACGGATCGAACATGCTGTCCGCAAAGACGATGTTGGAAGCACCACAAAGCGGCTTGCTGGCAACGTGCGTGGTGATATCCAGTGCGGCCGGGACCGGGTTTCGGAATAATGCGCCGCGCACAACACCACGTCGATGGTCACGTTGAACGGCGCGGCTGGGCGAGCATCGCCTCTGCGCAGGCTTAACCCTCTATGGTACGGAATGGTCAATATGTCCATCGCGCAAGCCGCGCTCCCGCGGCGTTCACAGACATCGCAACGTCTATGAATTGTTGCAAAAGAGTAGTACAATGTGTTCATGACTGCCACAACAGAAAACAGTCGGCGATGCAGAGATGGACGCCGCACGTGGCGCAAAAGGTCCGCGGCCGCCATCGCTTACCATGAAGCTTTCGGCAGGCGAGGCAGTCGCATCGCACGGCGGCTTGCTGCGGAGAGAGTGGTGATGACGAGCAGCCGTTGCAAAAGTGCGCTTCCGCTTGCGCGACGGCGCCACTTGCGCGGCCACGCCGACCGGCAAGCTCGTCCGTCGCAAGAAGATCCACAACGTCCTCGCGCTCTCCCGTCCGGCCGCTGTGCTTAACTCTGTAGCTTGGCCCCTGCGCTGCACCTGTAGCGGAACACAACCGCCACCTAGCGCAATCCCGCGCAGATCAGCTCGGAACCAGAGGTGTCCGCGGGCGGCTGGGGCCAAGAGCGGAGGCCAGGATCCACGCCAGGCTGGGTGCAAAGAGGGCGACAAAGAGGGCGGCCAAGAGGCTGGAGGCGACTGGAATCGGCGCCCGATTGCGCCATCGTCGGCGGATCTCGGCGGCAACCGAAAGATTCGGCGCCGATGCTTCGTCATGTTGCGAGTCGTCGCCCTGCTTCTCCATACCAGCCGCCGCCGGGACGAGCTTGATCCTCACCGCGCCGGCATCCAGCAGCTGCGCGGCATCGACCAGCCGGACGTATTCGCCAAAGTGCGCATCTAGAACCGTCACCGTGTAACGATCCGCTACCGGGTCGCCTCTGTCCCCTACAGCCCGCCGTAGGCCCAGCTCATCCAGCAGCTCGCCATCGATCGTCCTGTCCGCCGCCGCGGCCGCTACCGCCTCTCCATCGAGCGTGAGCACCGTGCCCGGACAGCCATCCGCTGCGCCACCGTCGTACACCAGCGCGCGCACCCACACGACCATACCTCGTCAGCAAGCAAGCAAGTAAGGTGCCAGAAAAGAGGGGGTGGTGACCCAGCTCTCACCGCGCGAGATGGGTATCCCCCCCGCGGTCCGGTGCCGCGGCCCCAGCCCCAGCGGCCCCTCGCCCCCCTCGCTCCCCCCCCCCCCCCTTCCACCCACCCACCCAATCTCCACCACACTTCACCCACCCACCCAAGCCACCACTAATGCTGCGGGCTGCTCCCACACTGCAGGCGCCCGCGCTGCTGCTGCTGCGGCGGGCTGCTGGGTCGGCTCCGGCCGTCCGCCCGCCGCCGTCGTCGGCAGCGGCGCAGGTCGAGGCCACCTCGGCCGTCATCTCGGCCGTCCACGCCCTGCTCGAAACGCTGCCCGAGTCGGCAGCTGCCACACGCCACGCCCACATTCTGCAGGCGGCGCAGGGCTCGCTGCCCAAGCCGGCCGAGCCGGTCATTCCCACCGCGCTCGTCGTCGGCGACCGCAACGTGGGCAAGACAGCGCTCGTTGCTGCGCTCACCTCGGCCCGCACTGCGAGCTCGACCCGGACGGCCAAGACCGCCGAGGCCGCGGCCGAGGCTGCTGCTCTACTCTCGTCGACGTCGGCGCTAGCGCTGACGCCGGCCAGCGAGGCCCATTCGGACTCGCCGGCCGCCCAGCTGGGATTCAACGTGCTCGACACGCCGCCGCTCGGCGAGTGGCCAGCGCTACTCGGCGACGAGGCTGCGGCTCAGCTGCTGCCGCTCGCCGAAATTGTGCTGCTCGTCACCGATCCGGCACGTCAGGGCAAGTCATCGACAGAGTCTGCCACGCTTCGCACCCTGGACTCGTCTCGCCTTGCTGTTGCGCTCAACAAAGCCGACATGGTCGAGGGCGAGCAGACCCGCGCCCGCCTCCGCGAGTTGGTGGCGGGCGCAACGGGCGCCGACCTTGCATCGGTGGTCCTCACCGTCGCCACTTCGCCGCACGTCGATGATTCCGGCCTGCCGGCGCTCACCGCGGTCCTGGAGCGGCTCGCGGCGCCTGACGCGCTGATGGACAAGGTTGTCACAGTGCGGCTCGACGCTGTCGCCGCCGCGCTTGACACCGTCTCAGACGGCCTGGCCCTCGAGCGCAGGGTCCTTGCCCGCAAGGAAGACGAGATCCTCCGGCTGACCCACTACGTCGAGGACGAGGCCGCCGACCTCGTCGACACGTTTTCGTCGCAGACCCTCCCGCTGGTCACCGACCACTTTGACAGCTTGGTGGAGAAGGAGAAGGCCTTTTTCCAGTCGCGGACAGTGCTCGACCTGCTCCGCCTCTCCGACGCTCAGCTCCGGCTTGAGCTTGCCGAGGAGCGGCTGTTCACCTCGGCCTGGCTCGCACCCATCGAGACCTCGCTCGCCTCGTCGATGGCTGCTACCCTCGAAACAGCCCGCCACGAACGGGTGTACATGCTGGAGTCGCTGACCCAGTTTGCGGCGGACCCGGCGATGCGCGACTTTCCGCTCACCCGCAAGCTCCGCGAGGCGCTTGCTGCCGCCCACGCCAACCACAGCCCGGCCACCTTTGATAAGGACGCGCTCGTGGCGAAGCTCTCGGCCATGGCCTCGGCTTATGATCGCGCCGAGTTTGAGGACGATGCCGCCGCGTCGATGCGCTCCGCCTCGCGCATCAACTACATGGCGCAGCTCGGCTCGGCGTCGCTCCTCACTGGAGCTTGGGGCTACACCCAGCTCGCCGCTGCTGGCGTCGATATGAGTGTGCTCTCCTCGCTCGTCGCCGCTGCCGGCGCCTCGTCGTTTGGAGGCCTGTGGTGGCTGCAGTCGACGTGGATGGGCCTCGAGGCCCGCCTCGCCACCGCGCTCCGCACCCTCCGCGCCGACCTCATCTCGTCGCTGCCCGACGTTTACTCCTCGGTCGTCCGCCGCGCTCTCAAGCCGGCCAAGAAGACCCTTGCCAAGTGCTACTCGGCTGCCACCGAGGTCGGAACCGAGCTGGCCTCGCTCGAGGCCGCCCGCGACGACGCCGCCGCCCGCGTTGACCAGATCCGCACCAGCCTCCGCAACTCATCCGGCCCCAACTAAACCTCACCCCGTGCAGTAGTCGGGCAGCTCAAAATAGGCCGCGTCCTGTGGACCATACCTGAGCGAGACCCGCCGCAGGACCTCCGAGCCGGGCGATGCCGCCGCCGACCCGTCACTAGGTGCGCGGACAGGCAAAATGCCGACCGCCACGTACTCGATCGGAATACCAGTCGCCACCTCTGCCACTGCGGTGTACGGGACAGAGTCTGCGCCGACGCCCGACGCAGGTGTCGCAAGACTTCCCACCCAGAACGAAGTTTCTTCCACCGGCGATGCTGCGGCGATCGCGGTTGCGTTGTCGAACCAGTGCGTGGTGAGGTCGTACTCCACATGCCACGAGTTGCACTCGCCGCTCGCCGGATACCAGTTCCATACCGTTCCACCGATCTGCAGCTGCTGAAAGCCGAGCACTGTTATGTTGTACGCCACTGCCGTTCCATTCGACCGCCACAACATCGGTCCCGCCGCAGCCTCACCCCACGGATACGCCATCGACCACGCAAACTCCATCTCGTACGGCTCTGTCGGCCACCGCACATGCGCCACCACCGTCGTGCCCGTCACCGCCACAGACATCACCACCACCACCATCACCCACAGCCCGAACGCCAGCCCCAGCGTAGACACAAAAGTGCCACCTGTGTGCTTACCGAGAACCATAGTCGCTTATGACCGTCTGCGGCTGTCTCGTGACGTCAAGTCGTGCGCGAGGGATTCGCGAGCTGCACGCCGCTGCCGACGCAAGCTTGCCGCCGCTGCGGCCCCGTCTTGATCCCCCCCATAGAGACAACAGCCAACGCGCCACAAGCGCTATGGTCTCATTCCATTGCTGTTGTGCTGCAGATGAGCCACGTTTGCCACGCGGCCACATTGCACCGCTTCAGCGCTGTCCACATGGCTGGCCGCGCGGCTGAGGCTGTCGCCAACCGCATGCTTGCCAACGCAGATTAGGCCATTGTCTCGGCATCACTCAACCCCAACTGCACCTGCCACAACTTTACACTTGCTAATCTGGCTTTCGATCCGGCTGTCGCAGCCTGGGCAACGGGATTGTGCGGGGCATTCCGGGCGCTCACGCTGCCGATGTACTCGCCGATTCGTTGTGGTCTTGGCCAACACCAACCTTGACTCATCACTCGACTGTTGAGCGCGCTTGCTGGACGTGCACAAGTAGTGCCGGCCTAAGTCGACGACGACGAGTCCGACTCGGACGTGACGACCGCACTCTGGGTACGCCCATCGCTTGACATCTCGCTCGAGAGGCTAAGCTCGAGCGGACTAGAGCCAGAGTCGTATGATGTGCCCTCGCCAAGGCCAAGCTTGTCGAGCGCATATGTGCCAAGAATTGCCAGGAACAAGTAGACCATGGCGTGCTGCGAGACGGTGATGACGTGTTGCTCGGCGAGACATCCGCGGTAGTCAAAGACACCGTCGTCGTTGGGCGACTCGCACACGATGATGTTGCCAATGACAACGTGGACTACAAAGGCAATGGCCGCACAGACAAAGAGCACCCGCTTGATGACCAGCGATGTGTAGAGCCAACTCGCACCCAGTCGGACGAGCCCGCCGACCGCGAGCGTGTTGCACGCCACCGCCACAAGGGTGAAGAAGAAGAAGCCGAGCGCACCGATAAAGTGCACGATGATCGAAGTGCGAGTGGAGACCCATCCGACGGTGATGCCAAACGGCAGTGCCGCGAGGTGGGCGAGCCACCCGCCAGTGATCATCGCCGAGACCGGCAGACAGCCGCAGACTGAGCGCCCGCTCGAACCGCTCTCGATCGCCACAGGGACAAGCCAGCTCTTGGTCAGCAGAAGCTGTCGCCGCTGCGAGGTGGCGCTCGCCGCAGCCAGAAGCGACGCCAGCGTCAATCCGACGCCAAACACATACGCCTCGGGAGGCTCACGCCCGGTGTCCGAGATGTAAGGCCAGGTGAGGCCGCCCCACCACGTGCCGCCGGCGGCCGAGACCGCAAAGCAGGTCACAAACGTGGTGGCAGCCACCGCCATCGTTGCTACCACTATCCTCGAGTGCCACTCTCCACCAAGCGCCCTCTCAACCCATCCGTATCCGCCCATGGCTGTATCTAGCCTGAGAGCAGACTTGCCAGCCGCCGCCCGTGTCCGGTGCAGCTGTCGGCCCACCGACAGGCGGAGAAATGGGAAATGTCACGCGGGAGACAGTCAAGCGGGTTGGGCTACACCTTGCTCGCACTTGCACCTCGTCGCATTTGACACAGCCCAAGCCCAAGTGAGTGTGTGTGTGGAGGGGGGGGGGGGGGTAAGAGGCGGAGGTAATGTGGCCTCTATAAATGCAATCATCGATAAATCACGTGCCTTTCACACTTGCCCACAGCCCAAAATCGCCATCACTCCGTCCATCCTTCCCCTTCCCCCCCCCCCCTCCCTCCACTCTTCGGCTAGCCCGCCCCCCCCTCTTCCTCCGCCACCCATTCCGCACCACTCAACTCACAGCCAAGCAGCATGGCGGAGGCCCGTGCCATTGCAACTCTGTCTGCGGACTTTACCTCTAACAACAATGACATTGGCCTGATGTATACCGAATCCGGCCTGCAGTTCCGTTTGGTACGCCACGCGGCCTTTGCCATCCCCCCCCCCCTTCCCCTCGCCTCCTCCCTTTGCTCTTTGACAATATTCATGACGCTGTGCCTTATGATGCAATGATGACGCCACATGACATGAGACGGCTCACTCACCCCATCAGCATCAACATGGATAGCAACTGTCTGTGCCGCCGCCGAAGAAGCTTGCGCGCAACACCAAGCGTGCGGTGTACAAGCTGCGGAATGTGGTGTTCAACGCGGTGTATCCATTTGGCGCCATCGCCACCATCCTCGCCGTGGCTGGCATGATCGGCTACACGCTCTACTTTTCGCCCGAGGACTGCGAGTCGATCTTCTGTCTCGGATGGATCTACTCCTCGGTCTGGTCCATCCTGCAATGGATGCCGCTCATCTCGCTCCTGCCGGAGCAATTCCAGGTCGTGTACGCTGCTGCCCTGGCGGGCTTTGTCTTTGCCATTCTCCTCGCCGCCGTTCAGCGGTACATCCTCCGCGGCCTGCTGACATACCGCGGCTGGATGTGGGCATCGCGCAAGGGCGCTAACCTGCACATCAAGGCCTGGGCCCTGCTGGTCAAGCTCTTCTCCGGCTCGTCGCCCAAGCTCTACTCGTTCCAGGGCTCGCTCCCGCGCCTCCCGGTCCCGCCGCTCGCCGACACCGTCCGCCGCTACCTCGAGTCGATCGAGCCGGTGGTCGAGCCCGCCGAGTTTGAGCGGATGACCGAGCTTGCACACAAGTTTCTGGCCAACGAGGGTCCGTCGCTCCAGCGTTACCTCGTCCTCAAGTCGTGGTACGCTGCTAACTACGTCTCGGACTGGTGGCAGCGCTTTGTCTACCTCCGCGGCCGCTCGTCCATCTGCATCAACTCCAACTACTACACACTCGACACCCAGGCTGAGCTCGGAACGTCCAACCCGGTCGCCCGTGCCGCTCGCATGATCACTTGCTTCCTCGAGTTCAAGCGCCTCATCGACCACGAGGAGGTCGAACCCATCATGGCTGGCGTCACACCCATGTGCATGAACCAGTACAAGCAGCTCTTCTCCACCACCCGCATCCCGGGCCGCGAGGAGGACAAGCTCGTGACGTTCGAGGACTCGCGCCACATTGTCATTTCGGCTTGTGGTAATTACTACTCGCTCCCGGTCTACTCGCACTCGGGCCGCGTCCTCTCTGTCGGCGAGATCGAGGATCAGCTGCTGCTCATCGTCGCCGACGCCGAGGCCCACCGCGACGAGTCCGCCGCCGGCAAGGTCCCGGCACTCACCGGCGCGAACCGCACCAAGTGGGCCGAGGCGCGCTCCGACTACTTTTCGTCCGGCACCAACAAGGCCGCCCTCAACCTCATCGAGACCGCCATCTTCTACGTCCACATGGACGACACCGCGCCCGACTCGTGGTCCGGCCGCGCCCGCCGCGCCATCCACGGCTCCGGCTCCAACCTCTGGTTCGACAAGTCTGTCGAGCTCGTTGTTTTCAAGGACGCCCACATCGGCCTCAACGTCGAGCACTCGTTCGCCGATGCCCTCGTCATCGCCCACCTCTGGGAGCACTGCCTGCTCTCGTACGAGTCGCTCGCCTCTACCTCTCTCTCGCTCTACGGGTCCGATGGCTTCAACGTCCGCGAGCCCGGCGCGCCGGCAAAGTCCGTCAAGTCCATCTCCACCAAGCTCAAGTTTGACATTGCGCCCGGCTCGCAGGCTGAGGCTGCCATCCTCGCCGCAGAGGCCGCCATCATCGCCGACGCCGAAGACCTCGACCTTCACGTCCACCACTTTTCGTCATGGGGCAAGGACGCGTGCAAGGCCATGGGCGTCTCGCCCGATGCCTTTGTCCAGATGGCCCTCCAGCTCGCCTACTACCGCGACTCGGGTGGCAAGCACGTCCTCACCTACGAGGCCGCCTCCACCCGCCTCTTCCGCAACGGCCGCACTGAGACCATCCGCTCCTGCACCAAGGACGCCGCTCACTTTGTCCGCCTCATGGAGAGTGGCACTGCAGACAAGGCCAACATCGCTGCCGCCCTTCGCACCGCCATTGCCCAGCACGGCAAGCTCACCCGCAACGCCATGACCGGCCGCGGCGTCGACCGCCACATCTTCGGCCTCCTCGTCGTCGCCATGGGCCTCGAGCGCGAGTCGGAGTTCCTCTCCGAGGCCATGAAGGCCAAGTGGACGCTCTCCTCCTCGCAGCAGCCTGCCCGCCAGACAACCCGCTGGAACCCGAACAAGCCTGTCGATGCCGTTCGTCTCTCGCTCGGCGGCGGCTTTGGCCCCGTCGATCGCGACTCGGGCTACGGCGTCTCCTACCTCGTTGGCGGCGCCTCCTCCATCGCCTTCCACGTCTCCTCCTGCCGCTCGTCCGGCAAGACGAACTCGACCCGCTTCATCGGCCACATCGACCAGGCTCTCAACGACATGCGTGCCATCCTCTCGTAGCTGAGCTTTGCTGCTGCCCCTTCACCCCTCCCTGTTTGGCCTGTAAAGTGCTTTTGACGACGCTGACGACCCCGAACCGCCCACCGTCGCCCGCTGCCCGCTCCCCGCTACCCTCACCCCACTCGCAAGCATGACCGGACCGGACCACTTTCATGACGCAGCAGTTGGAGCGGCGGCAGTCTTTGCTCTGGCGGCAGTGTGGCGGTGGTGGGTGCTGATGCGGAGGCTGGCGGCCGCGGCAGGTGCGCCCGAGGCGTCGCGGACGGCTGCCGGCGCCGCTGCTGCTGCTGTCACCGTCTGCACCATGGTCCCAGTCTACGCCCTTGCCTCGCTCGCCTCGCTCGTCTGGGTCGAGTGGGCGCCTGTTCTTGATCTGGCTCGGGACGCTTACGAGGGCCTCGTCCTCACCGCCTTTGTGGCCATGTCGGTCCGTCTCGCCCGCTCGGCCGCCGTCCCTCTGCCGGGCGCCGCCCGCGCCGTCAATGCGGCACGCATCTACGCCATTGTCAAGCCCGCAATGGCAGCGCTCGGCATCGTCGGCGCCCTCGTTCCTGCCCTCGGCTGGGAGGAGGGTGTCTTCGGCTGGACCTCGCTGTGGATGTGGGCCACGCTCGCCAACAACGCCGCCGTCTCCTACGCCATGGCCGGCCTTATGGGCATATACTCAGTCCTGCACCACGACCTCCCGCCGTCGGCCCGCATCACACCCAAGCTCCTCTGTGTCAAGGCCATCCTCTTTCTCGCCTTTTGGCAGGGCTGTCTCATCGCGCTCCTTGCCCACTTTGACATGCTCCCGGCCACAGCCCACTACGCCGTCGAGGCTGTCGAGTACCAGCTGCAGGACCTGCTCATGGTCGTCGAGTGCTGGTTCCTTGCCCTTGCCCACGAGCACGCCTTTATCCTCGACGCCCCACCGTCCATCCGCGCCTCGGCCCAGCACCGCTCGCGGACCTCGGACGCAAAGTGGATCGCAGCCTCCATCCTCACCATCAAGCCCGCCAAGCTCAAGACCGAGTAGTGCAGTGGAGCGTGCTCCGCACAATAGTCCCGTCTTCGTAGAGCACCACAATCTCGCCGTCTTCCGACACTTCCAGCCCGACAAGGCTCGTGTCGCGGGTCGGGATCTCGAAGAGCCGCGGGAAGTACTCGTGGACCACAATCGCCACCTCGTCGCCAGGCTCACAAGCCTCGAGTGTACAAATCGCCGCACACATGTGCCCCTGCGACGCCACAACAAGCAGGCCGAGTCCGGAAAGGTACCTCAGAAACGTGAGCCGCGCCATGGCAGAGATGCTCGGTGCCAGCGGCTCCCACGGAAAGACGTCGCACGTGTCGAGAAGCCGGGCGCTCCCGCCGGCCTCATCATAAACGTAGAGCAACCGCCCGGCGACAGCGACAAGCTGCCGCGGCGACTCTTCCACGCCACTGCGCACCACTCGCTGCGCCATCAACGCCGGCGACGCAGTGTACTCCTCCCAAGCTATGCCGTCCGGAAGCATCGCCTGAGCCATCCGCTCGTACGCGATCATCGACGGCGGGTCGTCGTCGTCGTCACCGTCATCGCTGCTGGCAAGGGCATGAAGTACCGGGTCAACCCCAGTCCGCTGCACCTTGTGACCATGCTCGATGATGGCCTCCAGCGCCGCACGCTGCGGCGCCGGAGCCAACCCGATGGCCTGGGAGATGGGCGCAAGCTGCGCCGCGAGAACATAAGCGCCGTGCTCCAGCAGCTCCAGCCTCGACCGAGGCTCACCTACCCGCTCCGCTCCATGTGGGAGCGGGAGCACCGCCCATGCCCACTGTTCTCCGCCGATGTCAAACGGCGGCAGAGCAACAGCGGCAGCTTCGAGCCAGTTCGCCTCGCCGTCATCCTCCCACCTCCGCCAGCTCCCATCGATCGATGCCGAGTAGAGGCTGCCACTCTCCGAGAACGCCACGCACGGCACATTGTGATGGTGCCCGACGAGGCGCGCCTCCAGCGTTAGTCCCGAGCCGTCGCCGTCATCCAGCCGGACCAGCGCGATGTCGTGCGAGTTGGCCGAGACCGCGATGAGACCCGCGGCCGGCCCGGTGCCAAACGCCACGCCCCACGACGACTCGCTGTTGAGCCAAGTGTGGACAGCCGCCACGACGAGCTCGTCCGGCCGGGCCGGCTCGCCCTTGGCGATCTTGGCCACCGTGAGCTGCCCGGCCTCATCGACAGCCGCCACCCGCACTATCGCGCCCTGCTCGCCAACGTCAACCGCGATGGCGTTGATGGTATCGCGGGCAGAGAACAGGACCTTGGCCTCGCTGCCGGCCACATCCGGCCAGCCGTACGCCACCACCTCGGCCCCGCGCGCCTCCACCATGTGCTCCGACCCCGGCCCCAGTCGCGCCAGCAGTGCCAACCGGAAGGGCACAAGCGCCGGAATCTCCGTCCCGCCCGTCCTCTGTCGCCGCAGCCGGTCGCCGAACGCAGTCTCTGCCGAAGCCATGGCTCGGTGGGGTGGGGTGAGCTTGGGGTGAGCTTGGGTGGGAGACGGGTGGATCGACGGCCGCACGCTCGCAAGGGCTGCTCGCCACTCGCCGGCCGTCCCATCTCAGCGAGTGGTAGGCGGTCCCAGCTTGGCCTGACTGGGCTCGGCTTGGGAAAGACTTTATTACTATGCCGACCCGAGTTGATGGCGTGAGCAGGTGCCGGTGCCGGAGATCGCCCGGGCAGACAAGGCCATGGCCAGCCGAGGCTCATCAGACAAAGCACAGCTCGGCAAGCTCGAGGCGGACCTGATGGACGACTTCGGTGAAGGCCTCGTAGGTGAACGACTCGGCCATGACCGCAAAGCCGAGCCAGGCGACGAGGAGCGAGAACCGGGTAGCGGTGAGCTCGGGTGCAACAGTGAGAAGGAGAGCAGGCCCGACAAGGAGCGGGAAGAGGAGCCGGCCCACAATCGGCGGCTCCTCGCCCGGCAGGCTTCGCGTTGACTCAAAGATCTGCGCAAGGCCTAGCCGGCGGAGCGGGTCAGTAACCGCAGTGACAACGGCAACAAAGACGAGGCCCAACACGACCAGCGCACCACGGACCCAGCCCTGGAACACCTCCATCTCGGCCAGGACGCACGTTCCACTCTCTGCCGCCGGGATCTGGAACGGGGTGTACACGTACGCGGCAAGGACAGCAACCGCAGCCAGGGCGGCGCCGGCAACCCGGACCGTCGCCGCCATCGGTGCGTCTGGTCCGCCCACACTGCCGACCAAGGCCATGGTCGCCAGATGAGCACAAGCCAGAATCACCACGTAGAGGACCGCCATCACCACCATGTGCGGCATGTACGGATACGCCAGGCACGGCGGAGTGGCGCAGACCCGGGTCTTCGTCGCCGACCAAACCCCGAGCGTGGCCGGCTCCAGCGCAGCCGGCAGCGACAGCGGCAGCGGCGACCGCGGCACGCATCCGCGAGCCTCGATGATGACCACACCAAGAATCAGCACCAGCGCATATCCCAGCATCGCCGCCGCTGTCAGCCGCAAGCACACCTCGCCGGCTGTCGGCGCCACTGCCGCCAGTGCCTGCCTCCTCGCCAACGTCCGAGCCCTCCGCCGCCGCCCGCCAGCCTTGAACCTCGCCGCCGCTACCGTCACCGTCAGCCCTGCAGCCAGATTGAGGATATGCCGCCGGTGACGGGTATCATGCTCATGAAATGGAACCAGCGTGTCGCCCTAACTCTACGCGGGGGGGGGGGGTGTGGGTGGGGGAGTAGGTGGTGCGGGGGCAACGGGCGCATACCATGGAGAGTGGGCGACGGCACATAGTCCGAGTCCGAGTCTGACCCGGACATGGATGGAGATGTGGGAGGGTGCTTTGGGCTCGCGCAGTCGAGTCTGTCTCTGCCTCTGCCTCTCGCCTGTTGTTTGTTGTCTCTGCTACCTGGTCGACGTCTTCAGGCAGGTGCGCCCGCTGACCGGACTGAGCAAATACAGTTGTCCTGGGCAAGACCGCCGGTCATCGATGCTGGTGCCGACTTGGCCGATGACTTGGCCGATGAAGACTTGGATGGCTTGAGTGGGCTCGCACCGCTTTCGATCTCCTGCAACGCTGAGCTGAATGCTGCCCGTGCCGACGGGTGCAACGTGGTGTCCGCCGCATTGCAGCCGAACAGTCGCGGCCGCGGGCGGCGAGCGTCGATGTCGGCTCGGGCAGAGGCAAAGCCGAGGTCGACGAGGAGCTCGTGGACTAGGTAATACGCCGACGAGTCCCGCATCTTTTCGGTTGTGTTCGCCAAAGAGGCCAAGTCGCTCGCAATCAGCTTTTGGTACTCCGTCCTCGCCTCCTGGAACTTGTGCTGGAGCACGTGGCGGGTATTGCGGGCCTCGACGCAGGAGAGCAGCTCGTCAAACACAATCGCGAGTGCTCGCGGGCTGGCGACTGGAATGACGTCCAGCTCGGGCCAGGCTTCCGAGAGAAACGGGTTCGGATCCGAGGTGATGAGCGTGCCAAACGACTGCAGCTGAACTGAGCGCTTGACGGCAGACATGAGCTCGCCGGGCACTGCTGCTGCTCGGCCGGAAGAGACAGCCAGAACTCGCGAAGTGGCGAGCGTTGCCGACGCCATCGCCATCCGCGTCGAGTCGCCGCGCGAGAGCCCACGCTGCTCAAGCGGAAGGTTGTCAGAATGCCGCACATCGCCAAACAGCTTGATGATGGTCCGCTGCCCACGCCGCGACGTTGTCCGCGCCGGCAGATGCAGAAGCTCGCGCTGTGCACTGCGCGCCGCAGCCTCGAGCATACAATGCCACTCGGTCGAGATGACTTGGCGAACGCCGAGGTTGGCCACCAGCGCCGTGAGAAGCGGGATGCCGCCGCGGTGGAGCTCGGTCTCCAGCCTCTTCACAATGTGCTTGCGCGGCGCGGTCACGCCCTTGGCCTCCAGCCGCGACAAGAGGACCCGCACCTGGTCGGTGAGCGGGAGCGAGGCAAAGGCGGCCACCTCGTCGGTCTGCAGCTCGAGCGTCGCCACCGCCTCATCAAGTATCACTGCCCGCGGCGCAGAGTCGGCCTCGGCCACAACAAGCACCGTCCTGTCGGCAGCAATATCCGCGGATAGCTTCTCGATCCGGGCTTTCATGTCGCCAGACAGCGGCGGGTCGAGCAGCGCCTGCGCTCTAGGATCCGCCACAAACGCCGCCCGGATTGCAATTGCTGCAGCGAACATCTCTGGACTTTCAAAACACACGATGGCAACGTCGATGCCGTGGCGAGCAGCCGCACCAAACGCCGCAGGCACCAACGCATGCAGGATGTTGCCCGACTTTTGGTCGCCCCCGAGTAGCCGGTTCCCACCACGGGAAAGGCAACCAAGTGGCGCTCGCGGCCCTGCAGTGGCGTCGGCCGCTCGGCATCGGCTCCGAGGTGAAACTCGGCAGCAGCGTCGAGGAACGAGATGACTGAGTTCTTGAGATACCGGATGCGCGCCTTGCTCGCGGCGCTGCCTGAAATGCCAAAGCTTTTGCCAGAGATGTCGGTCGCCCAGGGGACCGGTCTCTCCTCGCCCATGCCTGGCAGGCTTACAAGCGGCGTCGACATGTTCTTGCGCGCGTGAGAGATCGGAATATCGCGTGGGCCCGTGGGAAACCAGAACTTGTTCCATCGCATGACCGTGTTCATCTCGGACAGCCACGCCGGGAGCAGCCACGAATCACAGTCGAGCTCCATGATATCGCTGTGGAGGACAAAGACATGGCCGTTGCTCATGTTGTCGGTCCACGGCGAACGGATCAGTGGTGCCGGCGGCGGCACAGTGGCAATTACGCTACTGCGGTCACAGTTGCCGTTGCTCCTGCTCCCTCCGCTGCTGCCTGACGAGCTCCCGGCTTTCTCGCGCTTGTCGCCAGAGGCGCTTGCGAGCTCATCGACCGATGTGCCGAGCTGGGATGCAAACGCCACAAGCTTGCCATACGTGGGATCGTCGCTCGGCCCGTGGGCAAAGATGCGAGTCAGATGGGTGCGGACATGCCTGGCAAGCTTGACGTCCTCCTGCGAGAGAAGGCACTCAAACGGATCAGCCAAGAGATATCCTCCCGATGTTGCGGCTTCGGCGCCGACATAGTCGATGAACATCTCGAGCATGCGGGCAGCATCGGCCAGAGTGGCGTCGGTGTCCTGGGTGACCATGGGCAGAATGTCGAGCTCACCACTCCACAGCTCGGTGAGCATGGGCTTGTCAAAGAGAACCGAGGCGATGCCAAAAGCAGCCTGCGAGGCAGCTCCGGGGGTGCGCGCCGAGGGATTGACGCACGAGGCGCGGACAGCCGAGACAATTTTGTGAAAGTTGTCGTCGGTGAGGCCAAAGCCGACAAATAGCATGCGCTTGGTCATAAGTTGTGTTTGGAGGATGCCTGCAAGCACCGACCGCGACTCGGCGTAAGCGTTGTAGTGCTCGCGAGAGAGAACGATAGAATCAGGCTTGGTCACGCATCCGTGCATCTTGAGCAGCCATTCGGACTTGTCCGGATCGAGCTCGTTGGGCAGGACGGCGACCGGCCGCGACGCTGCCGCGCGTGCATCCTCGTACAGTGTGTCGTAGTTGGTTGTCACTGCTGCTGGGGTGTCGAGCGAGGCAAGGAGCGCGTGTAGCAACGAAAAGACGTGCGACGCGAGCTGGTCGGCAATGATCGAGCCAAGCGCGTCCGGGTCAGTCTCGTTGAGCCGGTCCTCGAGCACCGCAGCCTGATCGAGGAACGAAGAGAGCGACCAAAGTGCGTCCGGTTCGACACCGGCCACTCGGGCAAGTTCGCTGAGCAAGTCGCCCCACAGCGGGAGCCCGGCACCTGCCGAGACGCCCGCGCCGAGAAAGAGGACAAGTCGCTTGGCGCGGATCTCTGCCACCAGGGCCGACGCCGCCGACCGGAACTGCGCCTTGTGCGCAAGTTCGGACCAGATCGACTCGGGTCGCGGATGCCGCCGCCGGTATGCCTGGATGGCGGCGTACATTGGGCGGGTGTGCGCCACGAGCACAATGTCGACGCCGTGCAGCTCGGCGAGCGCTCGCAGCGCCGGCAGCAGGGCGCCGATAACCTCGCCAGTCGACTGCGAGAGCCCACCTTTGCCGGTCCCCACCACCGGAAGCGCCAGTAAGTGCTTGGCCCGGCGGTGCGGCGGGGTAGCCGGCAGATCGGCAGCTGCGCGCGCCACAAACTGACCCAGCGACTCGAGAACATACGCCAGGCGGCCAGTGGCATCGTCGGTCATATGCGAGAGCCGATCGGTGCCGACCGCAACGTAGTAGACCGGCGTGCGGCCCTGAGGTGCAGGCCCGCGTAGGACTCGGACATCTCCCGAGCGATAAGCATCCGGCACCGTGAATCCGCTCTCTGGGTGTGTCCACTCTGGCCAGTACGGTTCAATGCGGAGCTTAAAGTCGGTCGGCAGGAGGAAGGCAGACGCCGCCACCTTTGTCACGTCCGACTGGATGACAAAGACGTGCATTTTGCCATGGAGTGAGAGAGAGAGAGCGCGCGCGGAGGGAGGGAGGGAGGGAGGTGTGCGGTATCTAGCCGTTCCTGACTGACACTCTGCGTGCGTCTCTGCGTGAGGTTCGTGTTTTGGGAGGAAGGACAGAGCCAGTCGTCGCTTTCGGAAGATTCCAACAAACATGTTCGATGACCAATGCGATAGAGGCCAGGGGGGGGGGGGGGGGTTCAATGCTTTGCGGGATCTGACAATGGGGTGTGTGTGACACGATGGCCGGGCATTGCTTACCAGCGACGCATGAGCGGCTCGGGCTTGTAGCCCGCGTCGGTGTAGTAGGCGACGAGGGCGGTGGCGCGATCGGCGACGGCGGCGGGCGTGAAGCCAAAGTGCTCAAAGATCTGCTCGGCCGGGGCGGAGAGGCCGAACTTGTTGTGAAGCGAGACCTGAGCGTGCGACCACTTGTCCCAGCCGGTGGCGGCGTACGGCTCGAGTGCGAGGACGGGGACAAACGGCGGGAAGACCGACTCGCGATACTCGAGGTCCTGCTCGGTAGAAGAGGTCTACGTCTCGACGGCGTGGAGACACTCGGCGACGGCGGCATCGAGAAGATGCTTGAGGGCGACCGACGAGACCGGCGACTGGAACTGGGCAGTGGCCAACTTCTTGACCATGATCTCAACAGGGAGAACGTGGACAGACTCCTTGACGTAAGGGGGAAGATGGCACGGACGCGGCGAGTAGGCTTGGCCAGCGGCAAGTCGCGCGAGAGGCGGAGCTTGGAGGCGACGGCCTTGATCTCGATAAGCGACTTGAAGAGCTTGAGGTTGACGACCATGTGGACTTGGGACGGCGACTCGAGCGGGATGGGAGCAAAGAAGACGATGGCGGTGCGGACGTCGCGGTACTGCAGCGGCGAGCCCGGAATGGAGTTGTGGCAGAGAACCGGTGGCGGCGGTGGGTTCGACGCCGGGACCTGCATGTTCTCAAAGAGTAGGAAGTTGCGGTGTGCGGTGACTCTGTACGTGGCACCCGAGGTGACCGAGGTCTTAAAGCCGGCGAGCGACTCCATGGGATTGCCCATGTGGACCATTGGGTTGGTCGACTGCGGAACGAGCGGGGCCGGCGGGGCGGCGGCAGGCGAGGGGTGCTGCGGCGCGGCCAAGGGCGGCGAGGTCGGCTCCGAAGCGACGACGACGCCAATGAGCGGCTTGAACTCGGCCTCAAACTTGGCGCGGACCTCGGCCATGAGCGACTCGGACCGGAAGCGGGGGGCGGCAAGGAGCTGGAAGATTTCCTCAGCGCCACAGAGGAAGATGTTGGACTTAGGAAGCTCGAGGGCGACCGACGGGTCACGCTTGCCCAGCCGGCGGAGAGCGGCAAGTTCGATCTGGTCGGCCCGGCGGAGCGGAACCTCCTTCTTGACCACCAGCCGTTCCGAAGACTCGACAATAAACTTCTTGAGCGTCCGCGCCGTGACCACAATGGCAATGTCGGCGAGCTCGCTGAGCGGATTCGGGTGGACCGCAATGAGCGAGACCGGGTGCGACATGCCGTACGCGGCCGACGGGAGGGTGAGGACTGCGGCGCGGGCCGGGCTCACCGCCGGACTCGTCGAGCCCGTCGAGCCGCCCGAGCCAATGTTGGCGCCTGGCGTAGACGAGCCCGATGGCGACGCGAGGTACATGCCTGACGGCGAGCCCATGCCCGGAGCCATGACCGGCGCGCCGACAGCCAACGCAGGCAGCATGGCCGGCGCCACAAACGGCGACTCGCCGCTCATCATCGAGTTCATCAACATGTCCATCGGCATCATACCGAACGGGTTCACGCCCATCATGTCGTGCATCATGTCGCCGCCCGACATGCCCGACGAGCCGTGCGACTCGGAGCTCTGCGAGTTGGACGCCGCCGCTGCCGCCGCCATCTGCGCCTGCATCTGTGCGTGCATCTGCTGCGCCTGCGCTTGCGCAAGCGCTGCCGCCTGTGCCTGCATCTGCATCATCGCCATGTCGTCAAACATGGTGTTGAGCGCAAACGGCGGCGGCGGGCCGACAGGATACGGCTGCATCCCCACCGGCATGCCGGCCTCGAGTGGCCTGGCCCGCTTGCGGGTATGCTCGTCAGCGAGTTGGCCGGCGCCAGTGCCGGTCTCGCTCGATGCGGTAGTCGCCTCCTCCCTCGGCGCCCTCTCCATCTCGTCCCGTCGCCGGACCTTGCCGGCCTCCACCGGCTGGATCCGTGCCTCGGCCCCGGCCGCAACCGAACCCTCTAGGCCCGCCGCCTTGGGCCAGAACGCATCCCTCTCCATTGGTGCCAACGGATCATTCGCCGACGCCACTGTTCTCGCCCACAGCCACGTGCTCGTGAGTTGTCCGCCACCCGCACGCGACGAACCCGCCAACAAAAATGCCCATCCACCCCCCTGACCGCTGCGCACCACCACCACCTCGCCAGCCCCCGCCCTGCCGCACACCACCCACCCAGGGCAAGAAACCCCTTGCCTAAGAACCCGCAGGGCGGATCTCGCCCGGTCTCCGGCGGCCCGTCCCTCCTCACACCCCAACCCTTACAGCTGGCCAATCCAACACACCAAAGTGGGGAAGGCGCACCTCATCCAACGCAGATGCAACCCGGTGGCTCAGAGCCACGCGACGCGGCGTGTGACACCACCCACCACACAACATCATGCCACGGGTTGGTACTTGCAGCAAGTCACGGCTACCAAAGCCAGGAAATTGGGCTTGCTCTCCGCCATCCCCCTCCCCCCTCCCCCCTCCCCCGCTCGGTCTCCATGCTGATACTTCCCGCCCATCACAGCTCTCCACAACGTACTCGAGAGCGCGCCGTCAAATTGGTGACGAGAGCGGTGTGGCCAGAAAGACGCGCGGAGGAGCAGGTCTTGCAGAGAAGCGGGCGTTACACAGAATTGCCCAACACCAGCCTACCGACACCCCGCCGCTACAGGAAATATCAGCCCACTATGATCTCTACACTTGCACAAGTACTTCACACAGCATTCAACTTGAAGCCTAGAGTGTAGCTCTTCCTTTCAGCCTCCTTCACCACTCGCGTTCCGTGCACTCAGCTTGGGGGCCGGCGAGAAGCGGCACGCGAGGCCTCTGAGAAAAAATTTCGTCCAGCTAAGTATTTTCCCAAAAGGGCAATGTCGGCACGCGTGATGGGCAACAGGGGGGGGAGGGGGGGGGGGGGGGCAAGGGTCAAATTTTTTTGCCCCACCGCGGGTGACGACCGTCCTTTCGTCCCTGTGCCCCGCGGCCCGCACTCGTCCAGCGAACGAACCCACGCTGAGGCTCACGAGAGAAAGAACACCTCCACGAGCCGACAAGGGCACCGGCCAAGCTTCACACTTCTCTTGCCTGCTCTGCCTCCCCCACATACTTGGCCACAAACTCTAGCCAGATAGCCAAGCGCTTTACACACGTCGAGGTCGCGGCGCTCGAGGTGGAGGTGGACGGGTTGCTGGGAAGCATGGCTGGTGTGGCCGAGCCGAGGCACAAGCAAGAGGAGGCGGAGGTCTGGCCTCACGACGAGGGCTGCACCGTGGAGAAGCCACCGTGCGGAAAGCGCAAGAAGCGGCGGCGGCGACGATACAGGGTCTTCTACACCCACGATGACAAGTACCTCGGGCAGGTCGAGGCGCCATCGCGTGGGAGTGGGCCGCCTGCGCCGACCGCCGGCAAGGTCCGCAGCGGGCACGCGGTGCGGTACGTGGCACGATCGGGATCGGGATCAGACGGCGCGTCGTCACCAGCCTCAGAGACAAACTTGGCAACGACAGTGTCGCGGCGGTCGTGGACGGCGACCGAGAGCGTACAGCTGTCGGGTCTGGCCACGCCTGCGGACGATGCGCCGCCGACAACGATGCCAGCGACGAGGCCGGGCCTGGGCACGGCCGGCCTGGCAAATACCGTGCCACTCCCGACAACAGCGCCGTTGTGGTTCGCGCACCTTGGCGGTGTCGACTACGGAGGGCCGGGGCGCGGACGGGTCCGCCGCATGCTCCGCGGCCTCTCGCTCGAGATCGAGAGCCTGGCCAAGATGCTTGCACCGACACCGGCCGAGCTCGAGCTGCGGTCGCGGCTGGTCGAGAGCGTGCGGGCGGCAGCAGGCGCGATGTGGCCGGGCGCCGCTGTGCACTTGGTCGGCTCGTCGGCGACATCCATGTTCCTGCCAGACTCGGACCTCGACCTGGTAGTGGTCGGCGTGAGCAGCGACGGGCTCGGGCGGCTGTACCACATGGCGGATGCGCTGCGAGCGGTGCCCGGTGTGGTGGAAGTCGAGGTGCTGTCGGCGGCGACAGTACCGGTGGTCAAGGCCTCGCTCGCGTACGGCTTTGGCATCGACGTTGTATTTGACATCACCACCGGGGTCGAGACGGTAGCGCGGATGGGCCCGCTTCTGGCAGCGTATCCGCTGGTGCGGCCGCTTGCGCTTGTTCTCAAGCACATGCTGCGGACACACCGCCTCAACTCGGCGTACTCGGGCGGGCTCTGCTCCCATGGTCTCGTCCTTCTCCTCATCTCAATGTTGCAGTTTATGGGCCAAGTCTCGCCAAAGCACGTCTTTCACTCGTGCACGCCACCATCGCCGCTACCAGCGGTGGTCACGCCACCGACGACAGCCGCGTCGCTTCCGGACGACCAGGCTCTCGGTTTTTGCTTCATCCACTTTCTGCGGCTGTACGGGACCGAGTTTGTTTACGACTACCGCATTTCAGTGGCCGACGGTGGTGTCCTCAGCCTCTGCGCCGAGCCCGACGGCCCGTCGGCGGCCGAGGCCGACGGCCCGCGGATCCAGCTCCGGTTGGAGGATCCGGTCTCTGGCGGCGACGTCGGTGCCGGTGCCTTTATGTACGATGTGGTTCGCTCGCTCTTCCAGGCCAAGTACTACGCCATGGCCCACGCCGTCCGCTCCTCGTCGCTCACCTCGCTCCTCGCGCTCGTCATCGACCCGTCCGAATTTGCAGTCTACGCACGCTGGCGCCACTCGGTCCTCTATCCTACCTCGCCTCCCGATGCTGCCCCACCCGTGTCGCCGATGGCTGACCACACCGCTGCCACGACCCGCCCCCGCTCCAAGTCAAGCCGCTCCAGAGGCGGCCGCCGGCACCGAAACCGCAATCGGAATCGGGCCCAGAGGCCGAGCCAGGACGTCGACCAAGGCATTTGAGGAGGCCAACAAACACACACATACACACACACACACGCATGCACACGGCTGCCGAGGTCCGCTTCCGTTGAAGGCATGGTGGCATCTCGGCCTTGCTACACCCATGCCGCCCACCATCGCTCGACCATCGCGCCTCGACAACTGCGGCTTGGCTGAGGCTGAGGACAGCAAGCGCTGGCAGCCGACCACCCAACGCGACACGCCGACAGAGGGAGATGCTTGCCATGCGGGCGGCAGTTTCGGGAGCACGGAGCATGGTGACGCGTGCGATGGCAGTTCACGGAATGGGAGCTTCGTCGCGGAAGGGAGCTGCACTGGTGGCAAACATGAGCCTGGTGGGCCGGGTGGGCTCGGTGGTGCCGGCGAGCCGGGCATTCGGAGGGCGCCATTCCTCGGCCACGATCCGCCGGCTGTCGGCGGAGGCTGGCAGCGGGGCGGGCAAGGCGGCTAAGAAGAGCAGCTCGCGCCGGTGGCCTTGGGTGGTGGCCGGCCTGGTCGGTGCTGGGGGCGTGGCGGCGGTCTACTTCCGCAGGCTGGCCAAGAACAAGGCTGTCTCGCCTGAAGAGTTCCACGCGCCGCAGGCCGAGGCCATCGCCGAGCTCCTCGCCGACAAGAAGGCGCTCGACGCGAGCAAGGTCACGCTCTTTGCATACTCGGCATGCCCGTTCTCGGGCAAGGTCCGGGCCTTCCTCACCTATCACAGCATTCCATTTAATGAGGTCGAGGTCGAGCCGATGTTCAAGTCGGAGATCGCCGACGTGCCGTACTCCAAGGTGCCCCAGCTGACGTTGGCCCGAAACGGGCTTCAGGCCCGGCTGGTCGACTCGGATGCGATTGTCAACTATCTTGCACCGCTGGTTCTCTCTGCGCCTGAGCTGCACGCGCTCAACAACGACCCGGACGTGCTCAAGTGGCGCGAGTGGACCTCGCAGCACCTCGTCCGCCTCATCGTGGTGTACATCAATCAGTCGCTCGCGTCAGCCGTCGCCGGCTACGACTACATCGAGCGTTTCGACGCCATCCCTTGGTACAACAAGCTCTTCCTCAAGGTTGTCGGCGCCCCGGTCATGTTCCTCGTCTCCAAGTTTGTCACCCGCTCGCGGCTGGCCAAGCTCGGCTACACCGACGATCAGCTCGACTCGGTCTCGACCCTTCACGCCGAAATCGACGCCTTTGTCTCGCAGGGTCTCGCCGGCCGCGACTTTCACGGCGGCGACGCGCCCGACATCGTCGATCTGGAGATCTACGGCGTCATCCACGCCATGCAGGGCCATGCCGTCCACGACGGCCTCCTCACTCACACCGGCATTGGCGCCTGGCTCGCCCGCATGGAAGCCCTCTTTACCGCCCGCGCCGCTCTGGCTCTCCAGGCCTAGACGGCTGCACCCGATCGGATGACTGTAAACGAGCAAACAAAGCGTCGGGCGTAACCACTGAGCGAGCGGGTGCCCGAGCGGGTGCACAAGCCATGACCCAAGCCCTTGTCCCGAGCCAGAATCTAATGCGATGCGATTAATTGATTGCCTGTACATTGCACCCCAAGTGTCTGCCTGTCCCATTATCTCATCAAGTAGACCTTGGGCTTGGTGGTGCAGGAGAGGGAGGGCGAGCGGGCACCACACCCAACTCGGAAACCAGTCATGGCGCGGCGGAAGAGCAAGAAGAGCAAAAAGGGCAAGAAGGGAAAGGGCAAGGACAAGGACAAGAGCCCCAGCTCGAGTGAAGAGTCAACTAGAGCCGATTCCAGCTCTAACCTCTCATCCTCCGCCAGTGAGGCATCGTCTCGCAGTCCGCGGCCCACCAAGCCTACCCTCTGGTCCGAGTACGGCTCCGACTCGGTTCTCGAGACGGCCGTTGGCGTCAAGCCCATGTCGCGGCTCGGCCGCGGCCGGCAGAAGTACGCGCTGAGGAGAGAGAGGGTGTACTGGGCAGTGGTGCCATTGGCTATTTCCAGACAGGGGAGGGGGAGGGGAGGACTCACAAAGTGGTGGTGGTGAACGTGGTGGTGGTGGTGGTGGTGCGTAGGGTGGCGTCCAAGGCGCTGCGCAAACTGGAGCATGTCCGCTTCCTCCCGCCTTCACACCTTGCGACTTGGAAGGCCATGCGCGACTCATCACTGCTTGCATCGCGGGCGGCGCTGATTGAGCTTGGCCTGTTTGTCTTGCTAGCGGTTGTCACGCCGCTGTACCTGGTGTCTGTCGGATGGCTAGAGGTCTTTCTCATGCCCATGGCCATGTTCCGCGGCCTGATGGGCCTCCGCGAGGCCGCCGAGCACGTCTTCCACCTTGTGTTTGGCCTCTTTGCCACGGCGGCACTGGTGGCGCTCACCGTCGGCGTGGCATACTTCCACGAGACAACGGCGGATAACATCGAGATCTTTGGCCCGATCGTGCTCTACCTTGCCTGCGGCTGGCTGTACTTTACCACCTCGCGGCAGGTGTTTGTGGACGACCGGCATCGCACACGATCGGCATCCTGGGACGCGCTGACGTCACCGCACTCGGCCTTTCACACGCTGTACAAGCTGTGGTGCTGCCCGGCGCCGCGGGCAGCCTGGTCCGACAAGAACTCGTTCCTCTACGCCGGCTCGCTGTCGTCGGACGACAGCGGGGGCGACCAGAGCATCTCGGTTGCGTCGGATGACGGGGCCAAGAAGACGCCGTACGTGTCGCAGTACTTGCCGTCGCTCTCGTACGATGAGGGCGATGACGAGCTCGCGTCGGCTGGCCGGTACGACTCGGACGAGCCGCTCGCGGTCTCGTCGTCGTACTCGGCGCTCCTCGAGTCATCGTACTCGGAGCTCCGCAACGCGGAGTCACAGCTTGATCTCACGCGCAACCACTTTCTCAAGCTCATTGAGCGCTACGTCCACTACACCTCGTTTGGCAATTTCGTGTACTTTGTGGTCCTTCCGGCGCTCGGCGCACTCCTGCAGGCCTTTCTTATTCCGTGGCACCGGGCCGCCGACGGCGAGCGCTTTGCTCCGTCGACGGTCATCTTTGTGGCGGCGTTCTTCTCGTTTGTGGTCGGCACCTTTTTCGTGCTCTCGTACGTGGCGCGCGGCCTGCGCGAGTTCTCGCACGCCGCCGCGGCCTTTGAGGCATTTGCTGCCTTTTACACCTCGCCGGACACGCCGCTGATCAAGACCAAGTCGTCATCGGCCAAGTCGGGCACTCGCTGGGCCTTTACCATCGATTCCATCTCGTCGATGAACCTGTTTGTGGCTGTCAAGTCACGGCTGCAGATGCGCGCTGCCTTTGCGGCGGCCAACCTGACCGGTGCTGCTGTCCTCGCCGTCACCTTCCTCCTTGCCCTCACCTTTGCCAACGTTGTCATTGTCTTTGGTCGCTCCGTCTCGGACCGGTCCGGCGCCATCAACGTCGTCTCGCTTCTCGACATTCCGCTCGCTGCCGGCATCCTCATCTGGATGATCCGAACCGCGCTGCGGATTGAGGCCGTCAAGCGCGCCGACGACGCCTGGCTCACTGCCCGTCGCTACGACCTGCTCCGCAAGAAGGAGGCCGTCGAGGCCGGCAAGATCTCATCGCGCTCCTCGCCCGAACTCATGGCCGTCGTCGCCAACATGCTCGACAACTTTGCCTCGTCCACCGAGGTCAAGGCCCCGCTCCACGTCCTCGGCAACACCATGTCCGGCGAGCTCGTCAACGTCGTCGTCATCCTCGCCGTCGCCGGCTTTGGCTCGGCCTTTCTCAAGATCGTCAACTTTTAGTGATGCATTTGATCTACATTGAACCGCCCCCCGCCCTCCACCCATCCGTCGCGCCGCCGACCGCTCGTCAAACGCCGCCCGTCGAACAGCACGCCCGCCACCGACCGACCGACCAAGAAGCAGTGAGTCCCTGCTGGCCCGGCCCGCGGCCTTGCGTCTCGGCCTCAAGCCACTCGACTGAAGACAGAGAATGTTCCGGCTTCCTGTTGCGTCTGCACTCTCTGCCGGCCTGCGGAGCCAGAGCGCTGCCCGCACCTTTGCTGCCCTTTCTGGTACGTGTAGTAGCTCGCAGAAGCCCCCCGCAGACGCGGGTGGTGACCTTGGGCCGCTGCGACGGCCAAAAAATTGAAGGCCACCGTCGTAGAGCGCGACCAGCATGGGCTATGCCGATGGCTAGCGCGCAGCTATGACCAGTCAAGCACGTGGTAGCGGTAGACTGTAGGCGCTTTGGCGGCCGCCTCCATCTGCAGCTTGCTAGCGCAGCCTGGTGCGTCAGGAGGGCTGGTGACTTGCGGCGGGCGTGTCGCGTTTGGCTGTTCGAGGCGGCAAAAATCACCATCCTTGCCCGTAGTCAGCGGAAGGGTGTGCGGGCTACGGGGAAGGAAAGAGCGGAGCATGATGAGAAAGGGACTAACTTGGAGCTGCGTTGCTGTGTGGGGTGCTCTGGGTGGGTGCATAGGCGCTGGTGCTGCGGCTGAGACGCTCTCGCGCAAGGAGCAGAACGAGGTGCTGAAGAAGGCGCTCGACGAGCACAAGGCGACGGTGGCGGAGCTCGAGGTCGCCCACGACGAGGAGACGACCAAGGCCCTTGGCGAGCTGGACGCCTTCATCCTGGGTGATGTGGAGGGCGGTAAGCTGCCGGACCCTGAGGCGTACGTGGCGCCCGACTTTGGCAAGGCCCAGGGCCGCGAGCTGTTGGCCAAGGTGCTCGAGCGGTCGCGCGAGGTCGACTGGAACGGCATGGCCGAGGGCCTTGACGCCAACTCGCGCGAGGAGCTCGCTCGCTTCCGCTCGATTGTGGCCGACATGGAGAAGGAGATGACCCGTGTGTACAACGAGTACGAGTACTCGATCGACTTTGAGGAGTGGAAGACCAAGATCGACCCGCAGCTTGTGTCGGACGTCCAGAAGATCGTCTCCGGCCTCAAGGTCCCGTCGTTCGAGTCGCTCGCTGCCCAGGCCGACGACGCTCTCGCCGATCTCGATGCCCAGCTCAACGCCATCAACAAGGAGGCCACCGCCACTCTCAAGGATGCCGAGGTCCGCTACGCCCAGCTCGCCGCCGAGCGCGAGGGCCTGCGCGACATGGCCCGCGACTCGGTCTTTGGCACCACCGTCGATGATGTCCTCGACAAGAACCCGCTCATGGCCGACGAGATCAAGGCCAACATCGAGGCCGACAAGTGGGACACCCCGACCCAGTGGGACAACGCCGAGGCTGCCTCCAAGTCGCTCCAGAAGTGAACACACACATCCTGCCCCTCGTTTCTCCTTTGCACCGGGAAGCACCACACTCACACGCCGCACACAACCGAGTTCATGCCCTTGTAATGAGCGAGCCCATCCTCCACACACTTCCCCCCCCCCTCCCCCCGCCCTCCAACTCGCATCGATCACCACGACCCAACAACCGGGCGGCGACCTCTGCCCGGACGACGACCAGCCGCTGCGCCAGCCACTGCAACCCGCCACACTCAACCACCGCCAAACCATGTTCCTTACACGGTACGCCACACTCACTCACTATCGTCACCCACCCTCCTCTTTCCCCTCTTTCTTCTTCTTCCTTCCCCCTTCCCCCCCCCCTCTCTATCCACCCACACGTCCCCGACCAAACTAGGGTTTGTAGCCAGTCGTCGATCAGGTCGCCCTGCTCCCCTCTCCCCCCCCCCCATGCACTCACACTACACACTCACATACCCGTACTCTCCCTCCTTCGTGCGCATAGGTCCGAGTACGACCGCGGAGTGAACACCTTCTCGCCCGAGGGCCGGCTGTTCCAGGTCGAGTACGCCGTGCAGGCTATCAAGGTACGCTTGTGTTGCGGGAGGGTGGCGGGGGTGGCAGGAGAAGGTGTGTGCCAGTGACAGTGTGAGGTCGCCCAGGTTTTTCGACTGCGAGGAAGACAGCCATGAAGAGCGGGTGGGTGTGGGTGTGGTGGGGGGGGGGGGGGGAGTAGGTATGGAAGTGCGGTGAGGATGGATACTTATGAAGAGTGCGGTTGGTGGATGGGCGGGGTCGGTGGATGGGGTGTAGCTGGGCTCGACGGTCATCGGGATCCAGACGCCCGAGGGTGTGGTCCTGGCGGCGGAGAAGCGGCTCTCGTCGCCGCTGCTCGAGCCGTGGTCGGTGGAGAAGATTGTTGAGATCGACTCGCACATCGGCTGTGGTATGTCGGGACTCACTGGCGACGGGCGGACGCTCGTGGAGCGCGCGCGGGTGGAGACGCAGTCGCATCGGTTCACCTTTAACGAGCCGATGTCGGTGCTGGCCACGACCCAGGCAGTTTGCGATGTGGCACTCTCGTTTGGCGACCGCGACGCCGAGGACAAGCCGATGTCGCGGCCGTTTGGCGTGGCGTTGCTCTTTGCCGGCGTGGACGAGAACGGGCCGGTCCTGTACCAGACTGACCCGTCCGGCACGTTCCTGCAGTACAAGGCTGTGGCCATCGGCGCCGCGTCCGAGGGCGCGAACAACCACCTTGAGGAGCAGTACAACCCAGAGATGACGCTCGAGGAAGCCATCCGCTGTGCGCTCTCGATCCTCAAGCAGGTGATGGAGGACAAGATCTCGGACATCAACGTCGAGGTCGGTGTTGTTCCGGTCGAGACCGGCCTCTACCGCATCATGGATGCCGAGGAGATCCAGGGCCACCTGGAGGCGTTGTAGGCCATGCAGTTCCAGCCGCCGCTGCAAACTAGGATAAAGAGGGTGTGAACCGTGGCCCAGCGTCTCTCCCCTCCCACGATGAACCGCACACGTCCCGCCCAAGCTTGCCGTTCCTGACAAGCGTGGTTGAAAGCGGTTGTGGCTTGGTGACAGAGGCCAGGGCCGGGGCAGAGGCTATACTTGACGCCAATCTCTAGGCACCAGCATGGGTCTGAGGTTGTGGCAGCAGCTGGCGAGGATGGTGGTGGTGGTGGCAGTGGTGGTGGCGGCGGCCGAGGTGTGCGCCGGGCAGTGTGCGGCCAAGACGGTGCTGACGGCTGTCCGCCATGAACAGAGGTCGTTCACCGACGGCACCTCGCCTTCCACCACCTACGGCCACTCGCTCTCGTGCGCATGGCTGTTGGAGGCCGAGAATGCGACAGACGTGGTCAATCTGGAGATTGTGAGGTTACAGACCGAATGCGGCTGGGATGCGGTCTTTGTCTACGACGGTCCAGACCGCGACGCCCCGCAGCTCGCCGCCCTCTCCGGCCAGCTCACCCCTCACACTGTCGTGGTCTCGACAGGCCGGTACATGCTCGTCCACTTTCACTCAGACCTCAACGAAGCGCGGTTTGGCTGGGAGCTTGCATACTCTTCATCGCCATGCCCGGCCAACTGCTCGGGCCTGGACGTGTGCGGAAGCGGCGCCGTGTGCAACTGCCCGCCCGGGCTCGCTGGCCCGGCATGTGCGTCGCCGGCAAGCCTACCTGCTCCCGCACCGAGCACGCCCTGGCAGGTCCGAGTCGGCCCGTCGGGGTTACCCGCAACATGGCTCGTCCTCAGATCCCGCACGCCCGATCCGGCGCGAACGTGATGTGCGGCGGTGCCGAGTGCGTCTTGTTTGGCGGCGAGTCGCTCGACGCCCGGACGTTTGCCGACGTTTGGCACCTCGACGCGCCGCCATCGAGCTCGGATCCATGGTTGTGGACGGCGCTTGCGCCGCTGCCGGCTGATGGTGATGACACAAGCGGATTTCCGGTCCCGGTCACCTTTGCAGCCGCGAGCGTGGTGAATGAGACGCTGCGAGTGGCAGGCGGGCGCAAGGCGTCGGGCGATCCGTCAGGCGAGATGTGGGAGCTGACCGGGGTCGGCAGCGAAGCGACTGTTGGCAACTGGACCTTTGTGGCGGTGCCGGACCCTGTCGACACCAGTCATCCAAGCCAGGTTTACGCCGCGGCGAGCGCCGTCCTAGCGTCGGAGAGCACCTGGTTTGTCTTTGGCGGGTATCTGCCAGACGGCGGGTTTTCGGACAAGCTGTGGGCATGGCAGCTCGGCAGCGGAGACACCGGGTTTGAGCTCGTGGCAACGCTTGCGGGCGTCCGTCCCGAGCCACGGGCGCATGCCTCGCTGACGCCGGTCACGCTGGGACGCAACGCGACCGAGCCAGACGCGCTAATGCTGTTTGGAGGAACCGAGCTGCTTGTAGCGTACACATCTGACGTGTGGTTGTACTACCCCGCTCGGGCGCAGTGGGCGCGGATCATGGGCTCTGGAACAGCCGGCACGCCGCAGCCGCAGTATGGGCAGCTCGCGCTGCCGTACACTGCTAGATCAGGCGCGTCGTACGTGTTCTTGCTGTTTGGCAAGGAGTCGCCGCAGTTTCTCTCGCACGAGTGCTACGCCAACGATGTAATGGTCTTTGACGTGGCGCGGGGGCTGTGGCACACATTGCCGCCGGTGCCGGCGACGGCAGCGCCACTTGCACGGACGATGAGTAGCGGCGGTGTGGTTGCCACCAGCAACTACACATCGCTGGTGGTAGTCGGCGGCTTCCACGGAGTGAGTCTCGACGACGTGTGGGAGTACAAGCTCGCGTTGTGCGCTGAGGGGGATGAATGCCCGTATGGGTCGCCACTGCACCCGCCGCCGTCGCGGTGCGTGCGGCACAGCGAGTGCACAGCGTGCGCCGGCGATCCGGGCTGCGGATGGTGCGCTGAGACTGGGCTCTGCGAGGCAGAGGCCGGCTCGTGCTCGAGCTGGCTCGAGACGACGTGCCCGGCCGACGAGTGCTCTGCGCACACGAGCTGTGTTGACTGCGTAGCAGATCCGGGCGGGATGGGATGCTCGTGGTTTGCAGGAACGCAGAGCTGCGGGAGCGGGTCAGGCGGGGCTAGCGAGTGCCCGCTGCCGTGCACCCAGAGGCAGTCGTGCGAAGACTGTATTGCCGACAGCAGTTGCCAGTTCTGCCCAAACAACTTCCGGTGCACCGATGCGAACACGTTTTCAATCTGCGGCACGTCTGTGTTGGAGGCTGGTGACAGCTGCCCGGCCAAGTGCGAGGCGCAGAGCAGCTGTGCTACTTGCACCGACTCGGCGATCGCTCAGGGCTGCATGTGGTGTGGGCGAATGGAGAGCTGTATTCTCCTGTTCACGTACCAGGGCGTCTCACCGTATGCCGATTGCTTCGACTGGGTGTTTGGCGCGAACACATGCCCTGTGGGGTGCGAGCAGCACGCCGAGTGCGGGACGTGTACTGCAGATCCAAGCTGCGGCTGGTGCCCCAACAGCGGCAAGTGCGTCGCGGGCGACTTTTCGGGGCCGGACAACGGCGAGTGTGGGTCAGAATACGCGGGGCCGGACGTGACTCCGCTGGATCTGGAGTGGGACTTTGTGGCGTGCGCGTGCGCCGGGACGAGCGAGTGTGGAGCGTGTGTGGAAGACCCGCGGTGCGGGTGGTGTGCAACAACAGCGAGGTGTCACCGAGCCAACGGAACGGACGTGCTCGAGTGGGACGCGGTCTGTCCCGAGGCGTTTGATGTCGGCGAGTGCCACAACTGCACAGCCGTGGCCGAGGCCAACGGTGCGCTGGGCTGCGCTAGCTGCACCAGCGATCTCAAGTGCGGATGGTGCGAGGCGAGTGGTGAGTGCCTTCGCGGCGGACCGTCGGGCTCTGCGCTCTGCCCATCAACGCCAGTGCTTGCGGGATGGGACTACGGGCAGTGCCGAAGCTGCCCGACCGAGGCAGAGTGCGAGGAGTGCACGGCGGAGAGCCACTGCGGGTACTGCGTGGTGGAGGACAAGTGCGTGCGCGGCGACACGCTCGGCCCGTTTGGCGGGCAGTGCGGTGTGAGGAGCGGATGGGACTACAGCGCGTGCAACACGTTCTGCCAGAAGAAGCATGCGACGTGCTCAGAGTGTGTGGCTGACGACAAGTGCGGGTGGTGCTGCGATAGCGGAACGTGCTCGGCCGGCGAGATGTGCGTCAACTTTCACGAGACGGCGTGCCCAACTGTACCGACGCGAGCAGTTGTGGCGAGTGCTCGTCGTCGAGCTGCTGTGAGTGGTGCGTGGGTCTCGACGACGGCCCGACGTGCGTGACAGCGCTCGGCGGCGGGGCGCCGACGGCAGGCGTCGGGCTCTGCCTTGGCGATGGCATTGCGGCGTGGTCCGACGGCTACTGCCCGGCAGACTGCAGCCAGGGGGTGACCTGCGAGTCGTGTGCAATTTTGGACCACTGCGGATGGTGCGGAGACGTAGGCGAGTGCAGAACGCTGCTGTCGCTCGAGACGCAGCCGTGCGCCAACTGGCTCTCGTCCCGGTGCGACATCGAGCTGCCGTACTCTGAAGCCATCGGCGGGCCTAGCGGCGTGACGGCTTCAGGTGTGCTGGTCATCTATGCGCTCACCTTTTTCATCGGCACAGTGTTTGGAGTCGGCATGCTGGTGTGTGTAGTGCGGCGGTTCGAAGACAACTTGCGCGGGCCCAACGCAGCGACGCTGATGCAGCAGCAGCGGGCGCTGCTCAACATGCGGGCTGCGCACGCGGCGCGCCAGCAGCAAGTCCCGCCGATTCTGCGGGTGGTGGTTCCGGCGCCTGGCGCGCCCGAGTCGGCCATCGACGTGCCGCCCGGCGCAAGCCAGCGCAAGTCTCAGCACTTTTGCGTGCAGGACGCGGCCGGCGAGGCGCCGGTGGTCTACGCTGTGCTGCGGCAGCCGACTGCGATGCGGAGCAGTGATACTGCGTACTATGCCGGCGACGACGACGAGCAGCCGCCAGTCCGCGGCCTGGTGCTGGGCATGATGGTCGGCGGAGCGGCGGTGAGTGACAAGGCCAAGCGTGTGGCCCGCCACGGCGAGCTGGCGTCGCTGCCCTCGATGCCGAGCCTCCATCGCCTCCCTGCGTCCTCGGATGACGACAAGGTCAGCAGCAGGCCGTCGAGCGGTGGCGGAACGCGCGAAGAGCGTGGCGTCTCGGTCTCGATGTCGGGCGTGGTAGTGTCAGACGTGCCGGTGAGCCGTGTGTGATGAATCATAACAGAGTGAATATCGGCAAGGATAGGTTAATTGACAGCCGGCGGTGCGGAGGTATGTTGCGCCGCACTTTCGCAGGTGGCCAATTGCTGGCGGGGGGGGGGGGGGGGGGGGGAGGGGATGGCTGGTGACCCTTTGCGATGCATCAAGATAACCGAGCTGCAGCAATAGCCCAAGGTAGAGAGCGATGGCGTTCAGACACAAGCGGCCAAGGCTACGTGTCTGCTCAATGTCAAGTCCATGTCAGCAGGAAAGAAGGCCACACGCGTGGGCAATTTGCGGGAGAGAAACCAAAGTGTGTTGACCCAGGTCATGCACGTCACAGTGAGACCGATCTCCACCCATCTCGCTTCACACGCAAGTGGGACGACACGAGAAGGGGGAGGGGGAATAGACGTCGCTGCAACAGGACTCCCCGAGAAGGTCTGCATGCATTTAGGGTGTGTGACCATGTTAGCCACACTCCTGCTGCTTGGGTGGCTATCCTTGGCTGGCGGACAGAGTGTTTGTTCGCCAAGCTGGCCAGGCAATTCATACGGCCTTCTCCCAAGGACCAGCCATACGCAGGGCTTTGTCTTTGAGTACGAGGCCCCAGACACAATGGCTGCTGCTACACTCTGCGGCGCTTTCTTTCGATACACTTCTGATCCAGGACCCATCATCTATGCCGTCTACGAGTCGTCATCGTCCGGACTCGCTTCCTTCATCAAAGTGGTGCCCAACACTGCTGCCACCGTCACTTCGGCTGGCTCGAACAAGTGGAGCGTCGACTTTCCGATCCGATGGAGACTCAATGCCGGCAAGTACTACGCGGTTGTGCTCTCCACGGATAGCGTTGGCTATCCGTTTGAATCGTATGTCTCGACCTTGCCTGACTCGTATTGCTCTGGCTGGGCCATGCGGTTCACCTCGGGTTTGGTCGGCGGAGGGTCGAATCCGCCGTCGTCGCTCACCAGCCTCTCGCAGAGCTCATCGTACATACCAGGCGGCGGGATCACCTTTTGCCCATCATGTCTTCCATTTCCAACAGCGCCGAGTGGCGGAACAGTGGTAGTGACGTCGTCTGTCGACGCCGACGCGCGAATGTCACCCGGCGACACGGCTGTGTACTCGTGCAATGCGCCGCGGAACCTGGTTGGCGCGCTGACTCGGACGTGTGGCTCGAGTGCAAGCTACGATTTTGCCGAGCCAACTTGCGTGTATCCCAGTCCGCCGCCACCAAGCCCACCGCCGCCGCCGCCAAGCCCGCCGCCACCAAGCCCACCGCCGCCGCCGCCGAGTCCGCCACCGCCCAGCCCGCCGCCGCCACCAAGCCCGCCGCCGCCAAGCCCACCGCCGCCGCCGCCGAGTCCGCCACCACCACCAAGCCCGCCGCCTCCAAGCCCACCGCCTCCAAGCCCACCGCCGCCGAGTCCGCCACCGCCCAGCCCGCCGCCACCAAGCCCACCGCCTCCAAACCCGCCTCCACCGCCAAGCCCGCCGCCCAGCCCGCCGCCAAGTCCTCCGCCGCCAAGCCCACCGCCTCCACCTCCTAGCCCTCCGCCGCCAAGCCCGCCACCGCCAAGCCCGCCCCCACCGCCGAGTCCGCCTCCGCCACGCGCACCGGGCCCGGTCATCGTGCAGCTGAGAGCGGCCGATCCCGACAACATCGATGAGGTGCTCTCTTCAGGCGACACGCTGACGCTCGTGTTTGACCGAGCAACGTCGAAGCCCGCTGTGAGCTCGACGGCTCAGCTCGACGCAGCGTTCTCTATTGCCACGGGCACGCTAGCGCCGACAACGCTCTCGGCCGGACTCTCGAGCTCACTGAGCGGAACGTGGTCAGCTGACGGCACAACGCTGGAAATAACCATGGGAGCACCATCGTCGTTGGGCTACCCGATTCAGATTGGGTCGACGTACGTGACACCAACAGGCTCGCCGGCCATCTACACAGCCAACGGTTGGTCGATGGCATCGTCAGCGCCATCAGAGCGGATGTCGGGCTCGTGGGGCTCGTTGGCAAGCACGCTGGTGGTGGTCGAAGCGACAACGTCACGGTTGACCCATCTGGACGGTACTCTGGCGCTGACCATTGACGACGTAGTCGAAGGCCGCTCGGCCGAGCTCCTTTTCCAACTGACCAAGGAGCCGAGTGCACCAGTCACGGTTGACATCTGGCTGGATGCAAGCAGCAATGTGCCGGCGGAGGCGAGCCGACCGCCGCATGCAAACATTGCATCGACAACCGACGCTGGTGGCGGAGGCGACGGTGTGGTCCGGCTCGTGTTTGACGCCAGTAACTGGAACGTGTTCCAGCGGGTCATTCTCAGCGGTACTGCTGACCAACTAGCAGACGAGCCGAGTGCTGCGATCGAGTTGCGGATTGGAACGCTGCAGTCAGCCGACGCAGCATTTGCATCGGCGCTGCCGAGCGGTGCATCGATTGTGAGCCGGGTCATCGACGCGACGGCAAACGGCATTGTGATCACGCCGTTTGAGCTCGTCTCACCCATTCCGGCTGCGGTGCTGGCGGCCGAAGGTCTCCCTGCGTCGGCGCATGCAGTGGTGACTGAAGCCGGGCACGCAAGCTGTATGCAGGTGAGCATCATCTCCCAGCCGTGGAAGACTGGGCCAGAGATCGGGAGCTTGGCCAAGGCTGTTGTGTCAATCAGCGGCGGTGCGAGGGTCCAGATCCTGCGCGGGCCATGGAAGGAGAGTTTTCCCCAGGCGCCGTTCCGAGTTGAGGCGGGCGCGGGCATTGGCGCGCAGCCGTCACTGGTCCTTGAGTTTGTGGACGATGGCACCGGCGCGTGGGCCGAGGCGGTGAACGTGTGTGTGGTGGCGGTGACCGATGACGTGGCTGGCAACTCGGCAGATGTCACGGTCCAGGCCAGTGTGGTGGAGGCTGCAACGACGTCGATTGGCCACCGCGAGCTGGGGCCAGTCACTGCCGCCATCCGAGTTGCCTCGCTCAACTGGCCGATTGTGCAGACAAGTACGCCGCAAGTGGCGGCCATGGCCGGCTCGCAGGTCCGTTTTGTCGGGAAGAGCCTGTCAAGCGAAGTGACAGTGAGCGTGGCGTCACAGCTGGGCCAAGTCGATCCGCGGAACACCAGCGTAGCGGGTGACGGAAGCTGGATCACTGTGGTCACGCCGCTTGTGGAGAGCAAAGGGTACAACAAGGTGACGTTCCGTGAACCTATGGTCGGAATGAGCGCCAGCTACTATGACTTGTTCTTCACCGACGATTGCCCCTACGAGGGCCAGTTTGGCCGTGGGACAGCATGCGCTCCGTGCCCGACGGGAGCGGTATGTCCGGGAGGCTTCCGGCTCTGGCCCAAGCCGGGATACTGGACGCCGAGCGAGGACGCCGGGTTTGTGGTGCCATGCGCGGCGCCTGCGACGGAGCGATGCGTGGGTGGAAAGGACGCGACGTGCGGTCCAGGGTACACCGGACAGCTGTGCGCAGGGTGTGCGAGTGGGTACTACCAGCTTGGCTCGAGGTGCGTGGCGTGCTCTGGATCGCAGGTGGTGTTTGTCACGCTTGTGCTGACCAACATAGTCTTTGCCGGGCTCTTTCTCCTCGCGGTTGTCTCGTTGACGGACGGGCAGCTGAACGTGGCGACGCAGCTGTTGCTCGCGATTGTGGTTGTGTATTCTGTGGCCAAGACGAATGCGGGAGCGATGGACGGAACGCTTGCCGAGGCTTACCAGGTCCTCTCCATTGTTGCGATGGACCTCCGATTTGTGCGACCCGGATGCGAGACAATTCCTGGCTCGTACGTGGCGCTCTTTTACGGGGCTGTGACGATGACCACGCTACTCTGCGGGATCATGATAGGCTTACTCTTCACACTGCAATGGATGATGCCGCAGCGCAAGGTGTTTTTCATCGACCGCATGCCGCGGGCACTGCTCATTTTTGGCATGATGGTGTACATTACGCTGACCACGACATTCTTGGAGGCTGTCCACTGCGTCAAGGTCGGGACGAGCTACGTCCTCTCTGTGGCGCGCGACCTGAAGTGCTTTGAAGGTGAACACATGCCGATCTTTGTGATTGGCATCGCCGGGCTGCTGCTATTCTCCGTCGGGTTTCCTCTCGGTGTTGCGATCAAGTTGGCATTGCTCAAGCGATCCGGCTACGTTGACGGCGAGACGATTGGGCTGACGACGCGGGTTTTGGCGCGGTACGGATACTTGTTCGAGCAGTACCGGCCGCCGATGTACATGTGGGTTCTTGTGCAACTCATGCTTTTTGCGCTGATTGCGACGACGGGTGTCTTACTTCGCGACGAGCCGTGGCTGCTAGCGATTGTGACGGCTGTGGCGCTAGCAGTCATGGCGGGCCTATACGTAGTGCTCAAGCCTGCAGCAACGCGGTGGAAGAACGTGGTTGCGGCGTGCGCGATGGCATGTGGCGCAGCGGCGACAATTGCCAACGTTATAGTAGCCGAGCGCCTGGTGAGTAGCGCGGTTTCAGCCGGGTTCTCGCGAACGGTGCTTGTTTTGGCTTTTGCGTTCCTTGTCGGCGCCGCTGCAGTGTTCTGGCAGAGGCGGAGGAAGAAGCAGCAGGAGGTGTGCGAGCTGCAGACATTTGCCTCGGACTCATCATCGGTAAGCTCGGACGAAGAGTACATCGAGATGGACGATGAGCGGACGACACTGCCAACAACGCCGACCAAGGACCAGCTGGATCGATCATACGAGCTCAACGATGTGCTCGCAAAGGCTCGGCAGTTTGGCAAAACGCCGCTCGCATCACCCAAGATGATGCAAGCTGAACTCGTGCGGCGGCGGCTCTCGATCTCGCGAGGCGGCAGCGGGAGTGGCTCGAACCGAGCGGCGCACCACCAGCCCCACTTTGTGATGGAGGAGAGCCTAGTGCATGAGCCAGAGATGGCCAAGTCGGTGTCGCGGCTAGCTTTGCGACGGGGCTCACGATCGTCACAGAGCGTTTTAGCCAAGCCGGGCTCGCGGCGAAGCTCGCGACGGACCTCACGATCGTCACAGGGTGATCTGACCAAGCCGGTTTCGCGGCGGACCTCGCGACGGACCTCACGATCGTCACAGGGTGATCTGACCAAGCCGGTTTCGCGGCGGACCTCGCGACGGACCTCACGATCGTCACAGGGTGATCTGACCAAGCCGGTCTCACGGCGGACCTCACGGCGGATCTCGCCATCGTCGCAGGTTGAGGTGGCCAACGCCCGCCCGCGGCGGATCCGGCGCGTGCGGACACGAGTCAGCCTCGATCCCGGACATATCGGCGGAAATCAGACCGAGAGATCCGGTGCTGGCATACGGTCAAAGTCTCTGGCAGTACTCACCTCCAAGGAACCTGCCTCGCTTGAGTCCTCGCCGGTTGGAGTGAGCAAGTCGCCGCAGTCGCCATCGACGCCCGAGCTGCGGACGCCACGGGGAATGCTCTTGCAAGCGAGTACCGGCTCGCTCGAGACTGGCGAGAACAGGAACCGCGAGCAGCGGCGACGGCGACGGCGGTCGCAGCGGCGTATCGAGCCGTTGTCAATGCAGGGCCAGCCGAGACTCGATATATCTGTGGTGAAGACACCATCGGTGTCGTTGGCTGACCTTCACACGATCGACTCGCTCGACTTTGGTCTTAGTCAAGAGCATGCCTCACCATCAAGGTCGAGCAAGAGCCCCAAAACTAGAGTCCCAATGACTGCGCGCGGCTCTATCTCACTCTCTACTTCGAGTAGCCACTAAATTCTGAGGTCACCATCGATCAATCTGCAGGTTACACACGCGTATGTCGTTTGCACGGTGTGGCCAGGTGGCCATCACAACAGTCGACCCTCGCAAACGAACGAACGAACGAACGAACGAACGACCGAACGAATGAACGAACGAAACGAACGAACGAACGAACGAAACGAAACGAACGAACGAACGAACCATCGAACGAATGAACGAATAGGTCAGTTGGCCACGAGCCACCACCTGGAAGCGAGTACCGGCTCGCTCGAGACTGGCGAGAACAGGAACCGCGAGCAGCGGCGACGGCGACGGCGGTCGCAGCGGCGTATCGAGCCGTTGTCAATGCAGGGCCAGCCGAGACTCGATATATCTGTGGTGAAGACACCATCGGTGTCGTTGGCTGACCTTCACACGATCGACTCGCTCGACATTGGTCTTAGTCAAGAGCATGCCTCACCATCAAGGTCGAGCAAGAGCCCCAAAACTAGAGTCCCAATGACTGCGCGCGGCTCTATCTCACTCTCTACTTCGAGTAGCCACTAAATTCTGAGGTCACCATCGATCAATCTGCAGGTTACACACGCGTATGTCGTTTGCACGGTGAGGCCAGGTGGCCATCACAGTCGACCCTCGCAAACGAACGAACGAACGAACGAACGAACGACCGAACGAACGAACGAACGAACGAACGAACGAACGAACGAAACGAAACGAACGAACGAACGAACCATCGAACGAATGAACGAATAGGTCAGTTGGCCACGAGCCACCACCTGGAGGGAGGGTGGAGGAGCCAGCAGTGCGGGAGTGGGAGCGAGGAGACGAGAAGAGTGAGCACTCGTCGCCCTCGGTCGTGGTCCATGAACACGCGAGGGCAAGGAGGCGCATCGTACACGTTTGCGGCTCAGCCGCAGGCTGTGGCACCTGGCCATGGCAGCTCCAAATACCGTCAGCAAGGCGGTGGCGGCCGAGCCCGTCGGGCAGGGCCCATCAACATCATGGCTGACCCACGGGTCATCCGTGGCAACACCTACGCAGCCCACATCATGCCTGCAGTACGTACAAAGACATCATAGTGCCCACCAGTAGAGCTGTGTCAACCAGTTGAGCTGGTGTGGGGCGGTGTAACTCTGTCCACGCTCTGGTCCGGCAAGTGGAAGGAAAGGGCGGCGGGGGGGGGGGGGGGGGCGCAACGGTGGCCGGTGGCCATTGGCCAGCCACTGTCGGCTGCCGGCAAAAATTCCAACGGACGCCCTCGCCCCCCAAGGGAGAACGGGTGAGGGGAAGAGGAGGGGGGGGGGCATGGCTTGGCGAAGACTCATGGGTGTGCTGTGCTGTGGGAGGGACGGCAGGATGCGCAACCGGATCCGGCAGAGTTGCAGAGGAAGGCGGCAGAGCGGCGGAGGCGGAGGCTGAGGCGGCAGCAGCGGGCGCTGGAGAAGGCGCCGCGGACGCCGCCGCCTGTGGAGGGCCGGCTGCATCGGGACATCCAGACGGATTTGTATTTGGAGGAGATTACGGAGCAGGCTGTGGAGAAGGACGCGGCTGTGCAGACGGATCAGTTCCTGGACCGGCCACCGTCGCCGGTGTTTGTACCCAAGAAGCTCGGGACAGACGTGGCGACGCAGATCTACGAGGGCGACTTGTTCCACTTTGACGTGGAGGTGCAACCGATTCTGGAGGTGATTGTGGGCAAGACGCTGCAGCAAGCGCTGATGGAGGTGATGCAGGAGGAAGAGATTGAGAACATGCGGGCGCACCAGCGCGAGTTCCAGCAGCTTCGCGACGCCGAGCTTGCCGAGACCCAGCGGCTGGAGGAGGCTGAGCGGCGGCGGCACGAGGAGAAGGAGCGCCGTCTGCAGCAGGAGCGAGTGCGGATTCAGATGGAGAAGGAGGCGCGTGACAAGGTGGCGGCGCGGGCGTACGCGCAGAGCTACGTGGCAGACCTTGTGGGCAACGTGTTTGGCTCGCTCGGCGAGACCGGGTTCTTTTACGACGAGATCGAGCGTGACGTCGAGACCGCGTTTATGCCGTGGCTCATGGAGCGCGTCGGGAGCAACGTGGGCCGGCTGGGCCAGGCGCAGGCGCTGCTCGACGCAGTCATTGCCGGCGCCGTCTCGAAGCACGACCTGCTGCGCGAACAGCACGAGGCTGCCCGTGCCGCTGCTGCCGAGCGAGCCGCCGCCGCTGCCGCCGCAGAGGCTGCTGCTGCAGAGGCTGCCGCCGCTGCTGCCGCCGCCGCCGCCGTTGCCACGGGCGAGGAGCCTGCGGCGGGCGAGGGTGGTGACGAGTACGAGGGCTCCAACTACGACGAAGGCGAAGCTGGGTACGATGATGGCTACTATGACTCGAACTATGGCTCATCGTCAGACTACTAAACGTGCGTGTGAAGTGAAGAAGTGGCACGTCATCTGCTTTTGTGGCATGCCGCCATCGGCTTGCCGAGGTGGCTTGCCGCGGTGGCCGGCAGGCTCTGGCACCTGTCACGCGTTTGCCGGCAGGGTTCGGGACAGGGCGGGCGGGTAGAGCAGGAGCAGGGGCAGGGGAAAGAGCATGGCGTCTTTAGACACTGTTGCAGCTATAGCTTGTGTATGTGGGCTTTTGTCTGTGGCCGGGTGTGTGGTGAACCTCCTCGCCTTTGGCGTGGTGGTGCGGAGAAGGTCGCCGACGTCGCGGTTGCTGGTGGCGCTGACGGCGGCTGATCTGGGCCAGGCTGTGTTCTTTGCACTCGCACCTCTGCAGCTGCAGCGGCATCCGGACACGGTGGCGTGCACCATTCAAGCTGCAGCCGGCATGTTGACCGCCTGTGCCTCTTTTCTTTGGACTCTCTGCATCGCAGGCTACGTGTTCTGGGTGGCCAAGGCGGCAGGCTCGGCCACGGCTTCAAACTCGGCCCGCAGATCCGTCGTCGTCTTCTCCCACATCGTCTCGTGGGGTTATCCAGCGCTCTTTCTCGTCGCTCTCTTTGTGGCTCATCCGCACATGGTCTTTGCCGATCCAGTCGTTCCGTGGTGCTTCATCCCGCGGAGCCACCCGTTCTGGCGCATGGCCTCGGTCTACTTTCCGCTTGTTGTCTGCTGGCTGGCGACGGCGGTGCTGTACTGCGCGGCGCGGGCCCAGCTCCGCGCGCGAGTCCATCGTAATCAACACTACGCCAAGTTTGCCGCCATTCCGCTCGGCTTTATTGTCCTGCGGGTGTGGGGCATGGCTTTTCGTCTTGCCGAGTTCTCTGCGTCCGAGCCAGCAACGTCGCCGCAGACCGAATGGCTGCTGTATCTCACCGTGATCGGCGACCCGCTGCAGGGCGCGTACAACTGTGTGGTCTTTGTCCTCGCCTCTCCGCCAGTCCGGGCAGCGCTCGTCGACTACGCCAGGACCGGCAAGGTCTCGCAAGTCAACAACGAGGTTGGCAGCTCGACACTGGCCACACCCAAGTCTGCGCTCCTCTCGCCAACTCCATCGCTCCGGCGGTCGCGCCTCCGCTCCGGTCCGGGCTCACCGCCGATAGGCCTCGCCCCTGGCCGCACGGCAGGCTCGGGCACCATCTCAAGCTCTCCCACCGGCTACCGCATCATCGCAAAATCCCCTGGCAGCGGCAGTGGCAGTGGCAGCAGTCCAGATGGGGCTTGTAGAGGTCTGGGCGTGGAGAGGGAGGGCGTGTAGCCGAAACGAAATATCCCGGTGGAAATGGGGACAGAGGTGGAGGTGATGGTCCGTGGCTCCCGCAGCTGCAGCTGGAGCCGTGGAGGTGAAAGGCAGATAGGCAACTCGTGTCTTGCCCAGCGAGGCGAGACCAGTTGGCAGTGGAACAGTAGAGCGAGTCTGCGCGCGTGTGTTGTGTGCTGCGTGTGCGCGAGAGCGAGTGCTACAGACGGTACGGCAGCTCCAGCCACGAGCAGCAGAAGCAGCCCGAGCAGCAGCAGCAGCGGCGGCGGCATCGGCTGGCCTTGGGCGGGGCAACGAGAGAGACGGCTCGAGGTGAACTCGCTGGTGCTAGCAGACGCTGGTCCGTCCATAGACTCTGTTCTGTGCTGAGTTACGGGCTGGTTGTGTCCTTTGGCGTTGTGCCTGGTGCTGGTCACGGACGGCAAACAAGACCAAAGCGACGGACCTGTGAGAGCAAGGGCGACGGCTTTGACGGCAAGGGGCTGATCTTCAGCGGATTGCAACCGTTTCAGTCTTGATGGTCTCCCCCGACTCGGTTTGGGGCGTGGGAACGCCGGACGTGCTGAACGCACTGTATGTGGGCGCGGCTGCTGGCGATGTGATGGCGGTGGCGTATGCGCTGGTGGTGGGCAGACGGATGGCCCAGCTGGAGGATGACATGCCGTGGCATGTACTTCGCTTTGTGGGTGACTTTGTGGTTGCACTCCTCGCGCACCTGGTGTGGTTGGCTGTGACGGTAGACGCGTTCCAGATCCGGACCGGGGTGCCGGATGGCAGCTGGGTCGAGGTCCTGTACGGGACGGCGGTGGGGAGCGGCCTGCTGAGCTACGCAGGGCTGTTTGCAATGTGTCGGGCCCCGCTTGAGGTGTGGCTTCATTTATACACGCTGCACACGGGTGACCACTTCCGGACGGCGTGCACTCCGCTGGACACGATCAACACTGCCAAGGTCTTGCTCAACGTGTGGAGCGCGGTTATGGTGGTGTTGGCGGTGGGCGGCGGGATCGCGGCCGGGCACGCGTTTCCGGCCGCAGGCACGGCCAACGCCCTCCTTGTGGTGGTGGTGGTGGTCGGCGCAGTCGGCATTGCCATGCTGTATGTGGTGCTGGCGCGGGTTAGGCGGCGCAACATTGCGTCGAGCACCCGGTTTCGGCTCCAGCCTTTCTCCAACGCACTACTGAAGCTGCCGGGGTTGGTGGCGATGTGTGGGGTGAGCTGGATCGGATGGGCGGTGGCATCGCGGGCAGGCTATCCGCACCGGCCAAGCATCAGCGTGGCGGCGTCGGAGGTGATGGAGGGGCGAGGCAGCGTTGAGCCGTTTGGCATCGACGTCTTGCAGCTTGTTTTCCACCTAGCGACCGGGATAGCCATTCCTGCGGCGGCTGTGCTCCTGCTGCGGCGGATTGCACGAGCGGTGGCTACGCAAAAGGCGTTCAACGCCGGCGGGGCGGCGTACCCAATGGGCGGCGGCGGGTCGTGGTCGTTTCCGGCCGGCTCGGCGTCGAAGTCGCGATACGAGTACTTTGAAGAAGACGATGACGACGACGACGAGTCTCGCGAGTCGGGCGACGGCTCGGGTGACGGCTCATGCGAGCTCTCGTTTGAGGGAGGTGAGAGCGATGACGACGGCGGTCGGACACGCCTGCATTTGCCGGACTCGTCATCATCATCATCGAGCTACGACGGCTACTCGAGCTGACAAGAGCGAGCAGGAGGAGAGGGGCGACCTTGCTGGCTTTTACATTCACACATATGTGACACACATGTGGCCCAAGAGACGGGTCCAATCGGACGGATGCCTACTCGGCGTCCTTGCCGGACTTTGCGCTGCTCGAGGCGTCGGTGGCGGCGGCCGAGGCAGCGGCAGCCGACTTTGCGGCGGCAGCGTCGGCGGCATCGAGCTCTTCATCGGCCTTTTGCTCCGCAGACTTGGTAAAGATCTTGTTGTTGAGCAGGTTGTGGAGGGCAAGGACGGAGCGGATGAGGGCAGCGAGGTAGAGGACAACCATGTTGTCGTTGGTCTTGACGGCAAAGGCCTTGACCATGCCCTCGGACGAGATGTTGGGCAGGAGGTTGAAGACGTCCTGAATCTGGGCGACGATCTCGTGGTTGACCGGAAGCACGCCGTTGACCACGTTTTCGAGGTACTTCTGCATGGCGCGAAGGCGCTCGCCGAGTCCGCGCAGGCCGTTAAGCTTGTGCTTGACCTCGTTGGAGAGGGTCGAGAGAGTCGAGTCGTTGATGTCGCGGAGCAGGTGCTCGACGCCGACCTCTTCGGCCTCTTCGGCGCCAATGTCCGAGGCGATGTGGCGGAAGGTCTTGCGCGGCTCCGAGCCGTCCTCGGGAATCTCCTCCACAGCGTAATACGCCTCGGTGGGGAGACCCGACTCGCGGGGTGGACGTCGATGATAGTCAGGACCGGGTCGCGGACGTAGCCGCGGAAGATCTCGTTGATGGCGAGGTCAGACTCGCGGATCTTGGGGCCCGAGTGGTACCAGCCGACGATCTTCTCCTTGGCTGCAACCTTCTTGAACATCCCGAACATGCGCTCGAGAAAGTCATGGTTGAGGTAGAAGATGCCCGGGTTCTTGGAGTTCTCGTCAAACGGCACTGTCCCCCGCACCGCCCAAATTACACACAATCCCAACCATGTCGGTTAGTTGCCCCGCGCCCGCCAGCCCGTCAGCCCGCCAGCCCGCCAGCCCGCCAGCCCGCCAGCCCGCCAGCCCGCCAGCCCGCCAGCCCACCGTCAGGTCGCCGTCGTCACCCATCGTGAGTCCCGCGCCTTACCCACCCTTCCCCCCCCCCCCTCTCCTTTCCTCCCACAGCACCACAACTACAACTACAACTACCACAAGCATAACCACATGGTTGCACTCTCTCTTCTCACTGACAGCAGCTGGAGAAGCTCTTCACGTACCAGCGAACGAGTTGGTAACGTCGATGCGGCCGTCCTTGTACTTTTCGCCAAGGAGGACACCGACGACCCGCTTGTTGCGAGAACCCGAGGCGACGCGGTTGTAGTGGTCCACAACAGAGAGGAGGACCACAGGGTGAACTGTCACAGACGTAGGAGCTTGCATCCCCACTATCTGTTGTAAAGGGTTCTGTGGGTGGATGAGGGGTGGGGTGGGGTGGGGTGGGGTGGAGTGGGGAGGTACGCCGCAATGGAAGAGCGGCAGTGCCACAGGTCGCAGAGGCGGGGAGGAGGGAGGGGAGGGGGCTTTCGGATGGGGTGTGGATAATATAGGTGACATCAGTGGATAGCCATGACGGAAAGTGAAAATGGATGGTACTCTGATCATGGTGGGGATGTGATCAAGTCTGTGGTTGGCATGGCTGGCCTAGGGGGATGCGG